TTTTGAATTCCTATGCAAAAAATGAAATCTTTAACCGAGGTTCAATGTTTTTTACTTTTCATTGTACAGGTGGTCGATGTACCATCTTGCAAAATTTGACTCCACAGTAGCATTATACTAGCTCCCCGAAAGCAACTACAATATACGCAAAATAGGAAATGCTATTTTCGAGTTACTGAATATGAAAAATCGTATGCAGTTCTAAACTACAAAAAAATAAAACTTGCTCTAATAACAAAAAACTTGTAATGCACGTGTTTGACACTCTTTTGATTCACTTTTACTGATCAGGATAACGAATTATTAACAATCTGTCAATGTGATCTAATCCAATTATTCATTTCTATTTCAATTCGATATCGATGTACTGAGACATTCAGTGCACTTCATGCGCCTTCCAATTCGACATTTCATAGTTCGTGTATCGTAATGTCAGTCGCAGCGCATAGGGCAGCGTTCTCACACACGATTTTTGCCTTTTTGCGCATAAGCGCGAAATAAAAAGCTGACATTTTTTCATGCAGAAAATCGATCGGCGCATTGCTCGGCAATTCGCAAATTTGTGTAAAAAGACATAAAAGATAACCCCGAGAGTGAGACATATCTGGCACTCAGCTACGTTAAAAGGTATCGGATGAAAATGTGATAAAAAGATGGATGTAAAATAAAAAACCCCATTTAGGAGACGATGAATTTAACGCACGTACACAGAATTGATAATGATGAAGACCGAGAAGGCGCGAAGGTATTATAAGGCCTTTGGCGAGGACACCGCAAAATAATCATGCTCAAACGATTAACCATACGTCCTCTTCTCTCTCTCTCTCTCGTTTGTTCAATCTCCGTCTTTCTTTCTACAATTTTAGTTTTTGTTGCTGCCCGTGACGTAAATACGAACTTGTCGTTGATCGCGGAAAGGCAGCCTGTACTAAATACGTGTTAGAAATTTCATTCCTCGTTTCTTGGTAAAAATGCACCCAAGCGCGTAACGTGCGAGCTCGCAAAGCGAATCTTGGTCGACGAATCTTTTTTTTTCTTTTATTTTCATTTTGTTTTCGTTTACTGACCGGCTTTGAAATGAAGCAATTTCGCGAGACGCACACTTTGGCAGTTTTATTCGATTGATTCTGGTTTTTTCATTTTTTTTTTTTTTGAGATCAAAAGTGTCGTTTAACGCTAATCAAGCGCGTGTATAGTAGTTCGATTGCCCTCTTTGCTAATGACTTCTACGAGGGTCATTGTAAAACTTATGCAATAACATATCCCGTGCTATAAATATATATTTTTGAGTGTTAATTGCGGAGGATGCTTGTGCCGGACGATGTAAATGTGTCGCTTATGCAAATCGATTTACAGAAACACAACGACACGGGTTCGATTCAATGATTCTTATCTCTTACTTCCGTTTCTTTTTTTTATTTAACTTAATGTATACCAGATCTATGTAAATATAACGTTATGTTAATTTTTACTTTTTCCCCGTTCCAGAATATGTGACAGCTAATTCGGAAGTGTTTGGTATACGTCGACACGAGCAGTACGACATCGCATTTATTAAGAAAAACTCAGAAGTGGCTTTTAATTCCGGCTTGAATCCCCGCACTAGACGATCGCTTTAAAATTCGAGGAGTAGCGATTGTTCGATCGGCTTCAAGATACAATATATGAAATTTCATTTTTGGAAGCACGACAAACTAATTCAAAGAAATTCTGTGAGTATTCATGAAAACATAGTCAAAGGATTTTAAAATGTATATAATGCACACGTGCATGACAATAGTATCTAAACCAAACATTCTTTATGACGTATCAGCCGGTTATTGTAAAATTGATAACGGCTTTGTTAGCTTCTTGATTAGAAATGAGCAAATTCACGTAAGAGTCACATCCTTCATTCGATCGAGCGTTACACGAATTGTAGTAGATACGTGAAATCGCAACCCTTTTTACATTTCAACAATATTTCTGTAAGGTGGTTGTCGAACGATTTATGATTTTTCCGATTTTCGTTCACATTCATTAACGCTCTGAAAGAAAATGGCATATATGAGTGAATAAATATTATTCTGCGTCTGAAAAAGTATTATTAGAATTCAAAGGAGTAGATTCTTTTACCTGCAACATCATCAAAATTAGTATTCAAAGGGAGTACAATCGTAAAAAGTAATCTTGCGAATGTTACTCGGAAGTTTTCAAAATTCATATGACGACTTTTCAGTTCAAAACAGAGGCATGCCTTTGCACTATAAACTCTTCAAAAAGCACAGAGTTTTTCGTTCCCCATCGAATATTTTGATAATATTTAAAGTATAGCTTTGCTAGCACTTGTAAGAATAGACACTTTAAATAAAAACTTGCTAAAACATAATTTAAAAGAACTTGATGTTTTTTTTGCAAGTACGCTTATAGATATCAGTATAATAGATTCAACAATTATTTACTTTACAAACCTATGAGAACAACAGGGAAAAAATACACTCCACTGAGATTTAAAAATACATGTGCATTTTATTATATATTTTCAAGTATGTTATATCCATACATTCACATACACATATGTAGAAAAACCTATTCGCATTAAAATTTCCTTAATTTACATGTATGGAAAAAATATAATGTACATTTTTAACAGCATGAAACACATAATTATACTTCTAATAATTGATTACTGGCGCCCGGATTTAAAAAAAAAACACGAATTTTCGAGAGGCTTTGTAAAATTTAGGCTTTTCACAAAATGTCGCGTATGCATGTGAATTCCATAACTTTTAATGCAAATGGCAGCATTTCGAGCGTTAAATATAGCACGCTAAATAATCATTTCTGATTCAAAACAAAGGCACTAATTTACTAAAAACATTTCTAGAAAAATGTCCATGATCGAATAAGTGAATTACGTTGCTAGAATAATGACTAATATTCAACATTCGATGTATCAGGAAAAATGATGAAAACTAGAAATTCGCTTGCAAGTATCAAAGACGTTGTTTTACCTTTTAAAATACAATTTTTATTTCATAATATTTATTGCCATTGGTCTTTATCTGGATGAAAATATTCATCGCACAAACGAGGTATGTCTGAAACGTTTCAAGTCAACTTCGCACCTTCACCGCCTAGTGTAGTTTAACGCTTTCGATTGCAATTCTATAATATTTGGCATCATTGTAGAAAAATATTAAACTCATAAATCACCGACAATCTTGTGATATTACAAAATATTTCAAAAGTTCATAATATCAGACAGAAGCCGAATAGTTTAGAATTCGTTTAATTAGGTAACAATATTTATTCGAATTGGTATTAACAGTTTGAAATTTAGTTACCATCATATTTGATGAATTGTTAGTATTTAATCAGTCGAATTCCTTTGAGTTTCTTTTAATATCGCATTTAAGAAAACTTCCATTTTGATTCTTCAAAAGCTCTCAATTTTATCTTTTATAAAATACAGTTTTATTTATAAGACGCTCTTAATATGCTTAATAATGGTACTTTTATAAGTAGATTATATAATTGCAAGTGAACGTTGAACTTCGACCATATCGTAATTTTTGGATTAGCAACCCACTCAATCTGCTGAATAGATATATTTTTATGCAAATACCTAACTGAAACAATAAATTTATAGATTACAACAATATTTCAATAAAAATCTGTTTAACTGTTCTATTGTAAGTTATCTATAAAGTTAACGAAGAAGTTTATAAACAGGTGCTTCCGTTCAAGATAATATATATTTTAAATTGTATACATGTAAACGTATAAGTATTTACATATCAAAACGTTTTGTACATTTTAATCCATCTCCAATAACAAGGTTGTTTTATTATTGCCAAGATCATTTGTTTTAGACGTTTTCAACTAGTGAGAATTGCAAAATGGTAGTTAAAATATATATTATGACTTCGTAATTGGACATAGTAATGTATCATTTTAATAATGAACCGGATTTCTTGCATAAACCGGCCTTGAACATCAGTCCGAAGTCGCAGAGTCTCTCAATTTTTCTGGAAAAGTTACGTTTAATTTGTTATGGCAAATATTTAAAAAATAATTGTCTAAATAGTTTTAATTTCTCAATTCATCATTTTATGGCTTATTATTTTCATCTTAGATATGAAAATAAATTTAGTAATGTTTACATACCATATGATATGTATGATCTTTGTATTCTTTATCCCTAAGGATGCTCTACTGTTTCACTTTCTCATCTACATTCATTGTAACTTTTATTATCTTTCATATTACTCATGTTGTACTGAATTCATTTTAAATGTTGTACTTTGATAGTTGTACTTTTCCAGAAAAAATGTATTCTCCATTGACAAAAATATACATGTATTTTATTATTTGTAATTTATAAAAATTACAAATTTTATGTGCGCAAAATATCTAAACATGGATTACTACAAGCTTCTTTACACTTCTTATGATTTTAGGAAAGCGGTTCACTAAAAATATCCTTAAGCGATAATTTTTATGTACGTTTCTTTTATCTGAACTTCTACTTTTTACGTAAACTCAAAAAGCAACCAAAATACTCGACTTAATACACAGATGGAATGCTTCATTCGATATACGTAATGAATATCACTATGTTCAGCTAGAAGTGAACATCTTACGATACATTTGAATATCAACTACTTTTATTTGTAACTTTATTTCAATAAACGATAGAAAGTTTATTAATTATTACGTAGCACATTAATATTTTTCAATTTCTCTCGATAAATTTTATTTTTTAAACCATAAAGTTTTGTCTTTAATTTTATAATAGCGATAACTAGATTGACTTATATACAACTATATTCTTTTAATATACTCTATATGCGGAAACCGCTGTAATACTGATTGGACAAACGTTTCGTTTGATATACGTCTGTCATAAGACAAAATTTATATAAAATGAATAACCGCAAATAACAACAATAAATTATATAAGGATCCATTAATACTACAAAAAAATAAAAATAAAAATATAATAAAAATTTAACTTTTTTAAAGCTAAAATAAGATGTACTTAAATAAACTATGAAAAAACTACTTGAAAAATGTACATCTGAAAAATAACTATGTAATACCTCAATCAAAATCTCTCGTAAACTAACTACCTTACATAGTTCTAGCAGTAAAAATAGTTTGCTCAGAACTTAGTCTTTTAGAGATTCTTAGCTCAGAGTCATTTCTCATAAATAAAGTATAATTTTAAATTTTAAATTGTAACATTCAATCTTAATATCATACAGTCTTGAAGGATTATTGCATTCATCTTCGAAAAATTACAATTTAAGCACGAAGCAATGAACATTAGCTGACTTCATAACATTATTTGTCGAACAACTTTTTAAAAACATCAAGCCAAAATAATGCAGTGTACAATCTCTTTAGTCTTTCAGCTATATTTCATGTGCGCGTTGCTCTCAAAGAGCCGTGCTTTCAAATGGCGACGCTGGTGGACATTGTTCTGGGGTTCGACAAAGTTCTTGAAGTATTGCTGCCGAGCCGTCTCGAATCTTGGCAAGATCGACATCGGCGAAAAAATCACTTTTCATCGTACCCAGTGCACTGTCCGAACCGAAGCTGTCCTGACGTTCAGCTTTTTTGTACCCATAAAGAACGAAATCACTCAAATCATTTTCGATCAGCTTGGCATTTTCGTCTTCTTTCATTTCATCTTTCGATTTTTCGGCTGTTTCGGAATTTGATTCGTCAAATGAGAAACTTTCAACGTAACCGAGATCTGATTTGCCTCTCCTTCGATTTTTCCGTCGACTGCTTCTTCTCTGTTGCGATGTCGTTTTCAACTTCTGTTTTCGTTTTGGCGATTCCTCGGTCGTTTCATTTTCCATAGGTTCAATTGTGAAAGCACTTTTTAATGGTGATTCTTGAGTCGGTGATATTTTTGTCCGCCTTAATGAAGTAGTGGTCGTCTTGTTCTTAACGTCGACTTCAGAGCTGTATGAACTGGACGAAGCGTTCTCCTTGTCAGAAGTGGTTACTATTGACTTACTGATTTGACGAAGGTATATTCCAACGAGATTACCCGTAGAATTTAATGATTTAAATTTTGCATTTAAATTTTCTCCTCGCGAATGAGAAACTTCACTGCTGGTAGAATCATCCAATGATTTTTTGGCACTTTCACGATGTACTCTATAGGAGGAACGCTTGTGTTCGTTGCTACTGAGGATCGAAGTGGATGTAGGAACTACAGGTGTTACCTCAACTTGGCCAACGTATTTGACTTTTTCAATAGGTGGATAATTTTCTTGTGTGAAATTTCCAGTGGACTTCTATAAAGCAAAAGTAGAACTTTAATATTTTAAATACTTAACGAAATAATGATTGATTCCTTACTAAATTGCTACAAAGAGAAGAATTGGCACTGCGTCTAGATTCTATAGCAGATAAATCGTCACTGCAACTGGTCTTGCTGCTTTGTCTCGAGTAAATTTTGGATGGTTTATTGATGTTCTGCCCTGTTGCCGAATCTATTGGTCGAATATTTTTTTCTGACACTTTTACATTTTCTTTGCCTTCACAACTTTTCAAGTAAAAATCAGATTCCAAAGTACTATCATCGCAACCTTTACTTCTTTTTTCTTGATGAACCTGTACAATAACGCAAGAGGTTTATCACACGAGATATATAAATAAAGTATAGGTAATTAAAATAAAAGAGGACATCCTACAAGTTCTTGATTAATTATTTGGCTAATAACTTGTGGAAAAAATTCAATAGATCTTGATTATTTACCTGGCCTTCTGTTATGGTCCTCAATTGAGGGCTTAACACTTCGGGTGTAGTCGTTTCACTGTTACTCGGACTGGAGCCTGCATAGTTTTTTATTTCTGAATCTAATCCATCTGGCATGGGTGTATTCGTAGACAAATGCCTAGCCAAAGCTTCCAGCCATCGACCCATAACTTCGAATGGTGGTCTTTTGTCTGGATTTAAGTCACAACATAAAAATGCGACTGTGTAAAAACATTCAGGACAGCTATCGCAGAATTTTTCCTTGAAAGCTCTCTTGTTTAGGCCGAAATCCGACGAGCGAGGTAAATAATCTGGATCCGCCTGCACGCGACCGATGATCTCGCACATGACTATACCGAAACTGAAAATGTCTACTTTTTCATCGTACTTATTACCTTTCATCATTTCTGGTGCCATCCAGTACGGATTACCGACAACTGTGTAACGCTTTTTTCGCTCTTTGCGTGAATTTCGCAATTCACCATCTGATCGTCTGGTATATTTACCAGCTGAAATTTAAAATAAAAATAGTAAAGTTGCCTATAGATACAGAGAGTTTCAATTTCAACTGAATCTACGAACCTGGACTAGTTCGTTCGGGTGCAGTGCCATTTTGAATGATCCTAGCCAATCCAAAGTCAGCAACGACTACAGTCTTATCTTCGCGCACCAAGCAGTTGTGCGAGTTCAAATCTCGATGAATGATGTTCATGGAATGTAGATATGCCATTCCCGCGGCGATATCCTTGGCGAAGGAAGTGCGTTGATCCCACGAAAGCAACTCGCTCGTGTCGTGTAACAAAGCTCGTAGTGTGCCGCCTGGGATGTATTCCGTGACAAGATGTAGCTTTTTATCTTTATATAAAACCCCGATAAAGCGGAGCACGTTATTATGATGAAGCGAACGTAGCACCGCGACCTGTTGACGTTTGATAAATTCGTCAGTTTGTATTTACATTTAATTAGATTCGGAAAAACATTTTCCATTAGAAAAAAAAAGAAACGAGTAAAATTTCACCTCTTTTAGAAAATTTTTCTGTGCTTCTTCATCAACCCTGTATAACTCTTTGAGCACCATTATTTCGTTGGTGTCACGATGCGTAACCTTGAAAACTTGTCCAAAGAATCCCTTGCCCAATAATTCACCCTTTACGAGGTCACTGGCCCTAAATATTCGTTGATTTTTTGGTTCAACCCTGAATGATCTCGTTCGACTTAAATCGCAAGCTGAACTCGTTGGCGACACTCTGAAGTACAAAAATATTGTTCGTCAATTGGGTCTAATTTTAGATTCGAAGGATTCTAACAGTTAAATATTTACCCATCAAGTAATCTAGACATGGAGCTACTTCGTTCTTTTTGTTTTGGTTCCTTGGTTCTGCGTAATGGTCGACTTCTGGTGCTGCTGATGTAACCCTCGTCACGACGCTTAAATATACGCTCCTTGTTGCTATCGGGACTGGTTTTGGGAGTTGAAGTTCGCGAAATCGTAGAAGAGTGCGCCGTTGAAAATGCTGCCGGACGACATGATACTGCATCCGGATCGTGTTCAATGGTTAACTGCCAAAGCGTTATCAAAATTATAATATTTGAACATAATGGTGTTGATGTAAAAATAATACCATCTTAATTGTACACATTTTGGCAGAAAAATATATATCAATAATTTTACTATCAAAAAAATCTAATATTATCACTTCTCAAAACGATCGTATCCCGATTACATAGCGTGCGGAACTACTTAGCGAACTAATTTGATAGTCAAAACATGTGAAATATTTCGCCAACGTACATAACTCAGATAAGATAAAGAAACAATATCATTGTTTATTTTATTTATTTGACGTTGACGGCAATTTTATCGAATCTAAAGTGTAGCACGTTGAATCAGAACACTTTTTACCGCTAGGTGTATTTCAAATATGTTTTTGTAGAACTTGAATAATTGAAAACTCACTTGTAAAACTGTATCGGAATTTCTAATAAGATCTTCGATACTTTCTATAGGTTGATCTTTAACAGGTGTACCATTGACTTCTAGTATTCTATCTCCAATGTGCAAGGACATGAGATCGTTGGACATATTAAGCCTAAAAACAAACATTGATGATCATTTTCGAGTTAAATTTTTCGACTTGACTAGATTTTATTTGCTAGTTATACATGCATAATAATTGTAATTAAAATCAATTGTGTTTTATAATAGAATGTGAGGTGAGTAGACGTCATTATATTATACCTTTGAAATAAATCAAAAATAAGCATTGCTATTCATTTGAATTTGTTACTTTTATAAATAAATTAGAATTATTTCCAATCATCAAAATTTAAGTAAAAAATGTTATTGAATAATTATATCACAAACTATAAGCAAGTTTTTTTAAATTTTTAAAGCAGCAAAAAATATTTACAGATCACATTATCTTTGAATGCTGTTTAAGGCAAAACCAATGCCTTTTATTTATATGTATCTAAATAGAGTTGTAGTTTTGTAATAAATAACATGCAGTCATTATTGATTTATTATTGGTAGTACCTATAATTAGAGAAGTGGCAGCATAATCTAAATAGAACCTCCATCATGGAGGCCAACAGCTTACAGATCTTTCCACGAACATTTCTCAATAACCTGCATTTTAGTTAAGAGTTATTATAAGCTTTAAATAAATGCAAACTATACAAATTAAAATAAATGATGAACATTTTTTAAACATAAAATCTCTAAATATACAAGACATGCGTAGATAGTATCATGCTATATTAAAATATATATCAACCTCAAAACTTATTTAATTTTAATGTTATAGCTTTTGCATTTAAAGTTATAATTTTGACAAACAAATGTGATATTTTACAAGGCGATTGAATATCAAAATATAAGTCAATGTTTTTTTATTGAATTATATTACTTACTCTGAAATTCTGAATAAAGCACCACCACCGCTGTGTGGTCTTGGGTTACTTGGCGCAGTATCTAAAGTCAGTCTGATTCTTCGCTGTTTTTCTTGAAGATTTGTGTTTGGAGGGATTTCTACCAGTCTTATACTGTGTGGTTTTCTTACAAATGGATAGTTTGATTTAGATGTTTTATTTAGAGGTTGCATTTGAAGTTGATAACACCCTCCACAGTATAACTTTGATCTTTCTACAAGTGCGTAGCTCTCTCCATCTCCAATAAAGGTACCACAGGAGTTGCAAGCAAAACATTCCGGATGAAATTTATGTTCTCCAGCTAACATTACTGGACCAGTGATGATATGGCCACAGCCTTGGCAAGCTTCTCCATAAGCTGCCCAATAATCTTCCTTGCAAAATAATAATCCATCTTTTTCAAAATACCAAGAAGATAAAGCATCGTCACACGCTGAACACCTGTTGTAAAAGTTTTATTGTACAAAGTTATCTGGGAATTAAAGTTATTGTATTAGAGAATAAAATATAAAGCAATCGTACCGAAAGCAATCGATGTGCCATTCTTGACCCAGGGCTTGAATAAACTCATCTTCATCAATGGTATTGAAACACCCTGCACATACTGATGCATCTTTTTCTTCTGTGTCACCACCACCACCATCACCACCATTATCTGTAAATTTTTAAAATATTAAACAGTACTCGATACACTTTACTTCAAAACGGCCATAATGAAAAAATTTATAAGCAATAAATTCTTCGATATTGATATTTATGACCTCAACATACCAGAAGAAGTAGCAGCCTGTGACTGCTCCATCGTACGTTTTTGATGATCGACTTTGAGTTCTCGCTGCCCACGAGTTTTTTCATTCGCGAGCTGCTGCTGCTGTTGCTGCTGCCGATGTTGATTGTCGGGACGACCGCTTGCGGCCTCGAGCAGCCAGCGATAAAGTCCTGCGAGCCTAAACTCCGTTTTGTCGTGTTGCTGCTGCAAAGCGATGAAAAATCGTCGAGGAAGGCCAAAACAACGCGTGCATAGCCGCTCGCGCGCACTGACACTGACTCGCAATGCAGCCCTGTATACGTTGCGTATATGCAGATAGTACGTGTAGAGGTAAGCTCTCGTATTATCGTAGCGTCTTCATTGACGATCAATTGCTGCGCGCTGCGACACGATAAATTGAATGAAACATTTATCCGTAATAATAATTAGCGCTCGGGTATCGTGCAGAAGCCAGCAGCAGCCGTACAAGCATCCTTAATGGCATTTTCTCGATTGTTGTTATGATGATACGGGTGCAATTGCTTTTTCGTCGCGACGACGCCACACACACTGACAATGTCGTAATGTTTAGCAGTGCGGTATACGTATCTGTACGTGTATAATGCACACTTATTATATTTCTGTATACACGTCTACGTACACACGCAGATACAGACACATACGCGTACACACTGCACTTACATTCAGTACACGAGATTCGGAAAAGAGAGGTAGACGAACACTGGGCTATGTGCCACGGCGATGCAAACGTATGCGCGCATATAATGCTGCATTTTCACGCATATAAAAGCAACTACTACGTGCACGTATAAACACAGCGCATATCGCACGGAGCGCAAACAAACTCGATACTTTTTCGCACTTGTTTGTATACACGTACGGCACGAAATGAAACTTTCGCTTGAACGCCAACGTCCCCCGTCCGCATCCGTCTCTTTCTAACTTCATGCGCGTCGCGCATATGATACAGCCTGGCAGAGTCGTCCTTGTTTTGCCACAGTGCGCGCGGGGCCGCGATCATACATATTCCCAATGTAAGTGTGCATGTGTATATGTGTGCAGTGTGTGCAAAGAGTCGAGCTATATAGATTTCGCGGTGTGCTGTTTGCACTCTGTATATATACATGTATGGCGGAAAACCGAACGTCTGTGTGCGTGCGATTTTAGTTCGGGTGCACTCGCCCCCCTCGTGACAACTTTGCATTAGGAAAATTTCCTATGGCCGAGTACACGTTTACCTTCGTGAATAGGTGATTTTTAACTGTAAAAATCGCTCGATTTCTTCATTTTTGGGGTTACCAGTCTTGAAACGATTCGTCATTGTTGATTTCTCTTTTAATTGTAACACAAGTGAATATCTGTCACTTTTCATGTGCAGACGCAAAAAATCAATTTGTAAATAATTTTCACTACAGTTAAGACAAATGTGTATATTTAAAACCCAGAGTTGGTGCATAGTTATTTGACAATCAGTCGTCACGAATTATCATCTAAAAATATGTAATGATACTCTGTAGAATACATTCCTCAAACAAGTGACATTATTTAGCATCTGTCAGATTGAGTTTCGTTATGTCAATGACACATGTGCCGAAAGATGATCACAACTTAAAGTAATTCGAAGTATTTTTCTGTTGTGTTGACAGATTGACGTTTCGTCTGCTCGAACTGAAAGCCCAATAGCTGACATGAATCATGAACATTATTTAGCAATTAAAAAGTTTAATTCCTAAATTAAAATATCTTGAAAATGTCATTTCTACGAGGATCTGCTAACTATGTATGGTGCACAACGAGCGTGCTTGGGAAAGGGGCAACTGGAGCTGTGTTTCAAGGCGTTAACAAAAATAATGGAGAACCTGTTGCAGTGAAAACATTCAATCAAGTTAGTCTCATGCGGCCAGTTGATGTGCAGATGAGGGAGTTTGAAGTTCTTCGCAAAGTGAAACATGAGAATATTGTTAAACTCCTAGCTATTGAAGAAGAGCAAGATGGGAGAGGCAAAGTTATCGTTATGGAATTATGCACAGGAGGTAGTTTATTTAACATTCTTGATGATCCAGAAAATACCTATGGCCTTGCGGAAGAAGAATTTCTTCTGGTTCTTGAGCACTTGTCTGCAGGAATGAAACACTTGAGAGATAATAATTTAGTTCATAGAGATCTTAAACCTGGTAACATCATGAAATTCATTGCTGATGATGGAAGTACCATATATAAATTAACAGATTTTGGAGCAGCTAGAGAATTACAAGAAGACCAACAGTTCATGTCATTGTATGGAACTGAAGAATATCTGCATCCGGATATGTATGAAAGAGCTGTCTTAAGGAAACCTGTTGGAAAAAGTTTTGGCGCAACAGTAGATCTTTGGTCTATAGGTGTAACTCTATACCATGTAGCTACTGGTCAGTTACCATTTCGACCATACGGAGGACGTAGAAATAGAGAGACTATGTTTTATATTACTACTAAAAAAGCCTCTGGTGTAATAGCAGGTGCACAAACATCTGAAAATGGACCAATAGATTGGAGTCGAGATTTGCCAAACACTTGTAGATTGAGTACAGGACTTAAAAAATATGTAACTCCATTGTTAGCAGGATTATTAGAAGTAGATCATCAGAAAATTTGGAGTTTTGAAAGATTTTTTTCCAGAGTAACTGATACTCTGTGCAGAAAACCAGCACTTAATATTTTTGATGTGCATACAGGTAGTCTAATAAAGATCTATCTTCATCCTGAAGAAGAACGTTTAGCAGCTTTTCAAGCTCATTTACAGGATCAAACAAACATTCTACCAAGATCGCAAATAATATTAAAAAATAATACATCACTTTTGCATCATATCGAAGAATCAACTCCGGGTAAAGGATATCCGGAAACTTCTCTAGAAGAACCATTTTTCCTTTTTTCTCGTGAAAATAATAATGTAATTGTTCCTATAGAAAATGAAATCCCAAAGTTTCCAACATTTGCTAGTTTAGTATCTGTAGAAGCTGATGCTAGTTTAGCTAAAACTGCCTGCTCAGTTGGTCATGAGTGCAAAAGAAGAATAAATAAAATGGCTAGGTGTAGTAAATTATCTCAAGATGCAGTATTTAATTTTGTTGATTATTTAAGTAAAGAACTAACAAGAGTTTTAGAAAAATCTCGAAAAATTAAGGATCTTACCAAAGCAATAGAAGATTTAGTAATTGCAGTTGAAAGAAGTGAAGCAATAGCTAAACAAGTATTTATGGGAATTAAAACTCATCAAGGATCTGGGAGTTCAACAGCACCCTCATCTATCAGCACTGCAGAATTAAACTTGCCCTCATCAGCGCAAAATATGACTATGCCATTATTTGAAACTAAAAATTGGAAAAAAGAACTTGATATAAAAAGTAATGAATTATTTGTGGAATTAGCTCCTGCGATTTCCCAATTACATCAAAGGTAATGAACTAAAATTCAACTATTTAATTTTGTAAAAATTGTTAATTTTTTGTAAAAAATAATTATTAATTTTTCAGGTACGTCTATGAAAATAGTTTGAAAGCTGAATGGTCTAAAAGTACTCAGACTTTATGGTGTCCATTTGCTGGAAAAGCTAGTCAAAGAGCTTCTACTCTTGTAGATCGTTTGAGGGAAGGTTGGCAACATTTATTGCGAGATCGTGCGACGAGAAGTCTCACATACAACGACGAACAATTTCACGTTTTAGAACGTATAAAAGTAACTGAAACAGGGAGACGATTAAAAGAACTGCATGAAAATCATGTAATACCAGCCATTACTCATCGATCCGAATGCTTAGCTGATTGGTACAAAATGGCTCAAACTGTTTATCTTCAAACACAAATTCTTGACAAAGACATAGATAATTACGAAAGAGCACTTGAAACTTTTTCATTGAGATTATCACAAGAAAGTAAAGAACGTTATGATCATATTTGTAAAACTTTAGACTCCTGGCTACCAACTGTTAGCAAACAGTTTAAATCTGCAAATAATCCACAAAAAAATAATGACGAAGAACATCGCATGAAAAAAGCTAAGGAAAACAAGTGGAAAGACATTTGCTCCACCCAAGAACAAATATTGTTATTACTCTACAATAATAATGTGCTAGTGGATGAATTGACCAAATGTATTAATGATGAGGCAAATAAATGCAATGATAATGAAGTGACTGCAGAACTTAGTCATCTGCAAGTTTAATAATAATTATTTAAAATGATATAATTTATAAAATTATTTAAAATTAAATGATGTACTGTATGACAAATGCTTTTGAAAAAATTAGTATATGAAACTGATGAATATTTTTGTAAATTTGTTAAAAGGAGTAAGGAATGATAATTGTTATGATAATAGAGTACTATTTACACTTTCAAGACTGAAAAAATATGGTTTAATAAAGTTGTTGAAAAAATCTTTATGTGCTTATTTATATACATTTACAATCATCCAATAAAATTGTACAGCATAAAAAATTGTTTTATATCACAGAAACAATAGTAAACTTTTGAAGTCTCAAAAAATATTTTTTTATCAATAGATTACAACAATGTCAAATAATTTTTTTTAATCCTTATTAATCAAGGAATTTTGGAACAACATTATAAAATGTTTACATGTAAAAGTTGATTTTAATGAGCGAAACAAACGACTCATTGAGCAAATTTATGCAAAATTGAGTGCAGATGAATGCTCAAAATTATCTCGAACAGAATAGATAATTATCTTGTACAAATATAAAGCGTTTTTATAAAATCGCGATAGTAAAAATATTTTTATAATAAATATTTTGAGTATATACTAACCATCATTAATATTAAGATTACTCATGTCAGAAGTAATTAGATTTCTTTGTTCCTGCTTTTTCTGTTCATGGTGTTGTTTTTGAATACTTACAAAATGATCAAATAATTCTTCGAAATTAATTTTATCTCGTATTGATTTGGACACTTTTTTAGCAATAGAATTTTTTTTAGGCATGTGCAAATTCATGGCAGCAGAAGGTATAGCTAAAAGTCTGCGTTGAAGTAAAAGGAAGGTATCACTTTGAGGAAGAATCATCAATAAACCGCATAATGCTCTAATAAGTGACTCATTTTGCTCTGGCTCCAGAAGTTCTAATCTCATGACTGTAAGTTTTAAGTTATTAATAAATATGTTCAACATGAATTATAAACATGATATACTTACAAGTGAAAATTGGTGACTCGATTAATTGAATTAATTTATCAATTTCTATAAGCAATTCTAATGTGATTTCAAGATCAGCACTGACATTTTATTAAGTTAAGTAAAATCATGGTATTTCAATTTATAAAATAATTGTGTTTAAATAAATAAATTGTTTAAAGGATACAATGCTTTTACTAAATTGTAAGCATGATCATAATTTTGCGATAGAAAACATAAAGAGACTGTACACACAGGATTGTGGCTCCAAGATTTGTACATTCCAATAAAAACATCCATACTCTCCTAAAATAAAAAATTCATCATTTGGATACTTTTTAAATTGGTTAGAATTAAAATTACTTAACAATCTTACTTCACAATCTAGATTTTTCAACTTTAAACGTAAGTCAAACAGTTCAGGGCAAGTTAGCAAAATTTCATTCAAAGTCTGCACCATAAGACTAGCAAAACTTAAATTGTGTTCCTCCCTTAAAGTTTTAGCCAATACTTTGAAAATTTTTTCAGCATTTAACAATACACAAAGCTCCCTAATTATGAATGATCCTCTGTCCTCTAAAAGTTTTCTATCTGAATCGAATAACCTTAGCAAGTTTACCATAAATTTAATGAAATATTTATTTTCCTCTAAATTTGTTGATCTGTGATCTATTAATTCAGACATAACGACTAAAGCTTTGGTAACAACTTCTTCAGAGTTATCACCCATAACTTCTACTAATACTGGAAATAATTCTTCTACATGAAGTTGCATTTCTTTTGGTAAATTTTTTAACAAATGATCAAGCCATCTTAAAATTGCCACTTTTGTTTGTACAGATAGTTGTTGCATTGTTAAATACTTTGTCAACACTTCAATAATGCTGGTTAAATCAAGACTATCAGCTATTGAAGTTTCTGAAGTGGCATTTTCTTCTTCCCTTTTTGAAACAAGTAATTTTAAAAGAGTTTCATTGACATGATTAGCAGTTTTTTTTATGCTTTTCTTTGTATCTCCCTCATAAGATAAACAAGGTAAAATAGCAGTAAATATTCCTGAAGTGTATGGTAATAAATTAGATCCAGATAATCTGAGAAATTCATCCAACCAAATAATAGCTGTAAGTTGTTGACTTTCATCTTGACTTTGAGCATGAACAATCAATATATTCATCATTCCTGTAAAATCCACTCTAGAAGGATTTTGCTTGATACTCTGCATGAATTCAATAAAAACGTTATCAGCAAATTTTCTTATATCTGGCTGTGTATCTTCTAAAATTTTAAAAAGGCCATCCAATATATCAGGTAAAAAAACAATGATATCAAATTCAGGAACAGCAGATAATACAGATATCCAAGATAATAGAAATGTTTTGGCAAATGAATTTTTAGTATATATCCTTTCCCTGACTAAAGGCACAAAAGCTGGTATATCAAATTCCAAACACTCCGTAACGATATCCTACAAAATCACATCAAAATTAGCTTTTAGGACATAAAATATTATTCTTTACACAAACCTTCATAAGCCTGTCCAATAATTCTGTAGCTACTTTGACAGATTGATCAGTATCACAGCACAACTTGCTGAGAGCTTGAAATATATCTGCAAAGTATGGAATGATATCTTTTCTTGCTACTTTAACAACATTATAGAGACTTTCGCAGGCATAATAGCGAACTCTAGAATCTGAGTCATTAAAACAGCATAAAATTGGGTGAATCAAGTCTTTCACGTAATTGCCTGTATGAGAAGGTCCTAGGCCAACAGCTACGGCTGCCAAACCAAGCAAACCTCCCTTTCGAGAATGAGGATTGTGATTTAATGTCAAATCTTGACCCAATACTTTAATCAGTCTTTTTATTTGAGTCGTGTTATTATGAGTGACAAATTCTTTTACCATCCTGAAAGAGTAATTAATGTTGATTAAAATCATCATATTGTAAAATTGTGCATTTCATTCATGTAACCTTACTTTTCAACTTCAAGAGCGGCGGCTTTTCGCTTTTCATAAAGTTTATCATTCAATGATTTGACACAAGCTGCACTTAACGGTGCGTAATCCATCATGAGTTATTTAATATAACGCCTATTTATTTATTTTTTCTGAATGACTCTGAGGACTTTGTTTATAAGCATCAGGCTTGTCACTTGTCAGGCATTGTATCAACAGTTCATAGCAGACAGCAGACTATAATAGGTCAGCTGAGATTCAGTCGTAACTCGCGCTCAGTAAATCGAAAAAAAATATTGGTAAAAATTAACTTTTCTATGATGATCAAGTTCTCGAAAAAACATGTCCTAATCACTTGCAAAAGCATCAGGAATTTTATAGTTAAAATCAGAAGATTTTTTATTAAACGTTTGAAAAATCATTATAGCACTCCCACCAAGTGTGGGTCAAAAAAAAATTCAAAATCATGAACAAAGATTATTTTTTATTTCATACTTTATAATATGTCTTTCATAATCAATGCGATTTGCACTTAATCATGATTTCCCATTTTTATGATATAAACGCATTATTTGTAAACTAATACGGGTGTGAAGAAATGATTTAATTAGTATGTTCGAAAGATAAACTATAATAAAGATGATAAAACAGATAAATGTACATTAATTATCATATTAATTAACATATACTGCTTAATTCAACTATAATTTTAATTATTAAGTATGATAATTATTAAATATAAATTATTTATTACTTAATTTATTACATGAAGAAAAAATTTGAATTTTGCGCTCAATGCGAGTGCTGCTATGCTTTTGAGAACACGCACTGCTGCTTGCTACGCGCATCGGAATGTGTACGTGTTCTTTTCTATCGAAACAAAGTGTGGTGAATAGACCTCGTGTGGACCGTTTAACGTAAGTTGAGATTTTTTTATTACATTTTCTTATGTGTTAATTGTGTGCTAAAATAATCGTAAGTTTACAACAATTATTAATGAATTTGTGCATCGGATTACAACTGTCAGTGCGATTTTTTTATACTCACGGGTTGGGTTACTTTACGCTGCATTTGAGGTGCAGTAATCACCACGTGGTTTGAGCCTGTGTAATATAATAGATGATATTTCCTCAAAAGGTTTTATATTTTACCTTAAAATGTTTGATGCCCATTTTTTAATCCTTATTTTAATATTTTGGATTTTTATTTCATCTAAAAACTTACATCCCTAAGAAAGCGTGTTTTTGCAAAATTACAATGAAATTGTCGAAAATTAAAATCATCATTCTCTTTATATTATGAGGCATTAAAAAAAATATATTTTTCCACAGGTAAATCCATAAAAAGATAAAATGTCTGGAAGCATTGAAGCCCTACAACTCCAGGAGCAGGATGCGGTTAAAATCCTCTCCGCCGGTGCTCACATTGGCGCTGAAAATGTAAATTTTCAAATGCGCCCATACGTATATAAAAGACGTGAGGATGGTCCTCACATAATCAACATGCGCTGCACCTGGGAGAAACTGCTCCTGGCTGCCCGCGCCATCGCCGCTATTGAACACCCATCGGAGGTGTATGTCATCAGCGGTCGCCCATACGGTCAGCGCGCCGTATTGAAATTCGCTGCCCACACCGGTGCTACCGCAATTGCCGGACGCTTCACCCCCGGTGCGTTCACCAATCAGGCCCAGGTACGACTATTTCTATTATTTACTTGAAAATTAATAAGAAAAAAATATGGAATATGATGATACAACTTTACACTAGAACATAAACATGTTAGTATGTAATGGCTTAATCTTTTCTGAAATACATACTTCATGTAAGCATCATTTCATCTGTGTTTGATTCGATTACTAAATAATAATTGACATTTTTTAGACTGCCAACTTCCGGGAGCCACGTCTCCTGATTGTCACCGACCCAGCTGTAGATCACCAGGCCATCGCTGAGTCTTCTTATGTCAACATCCCAGTCATTGCTTTCTGCAACACTGACTCACCCCTCCGTTTCGTCGACATTGCCATCCCATGCAACAACAAGGGTAAACTCAGCGTGGGTCTCATGTGGTGGTTCCTGACCAGAGAAGTCCTCAGAATGAAGGGAACTATTCCTCGTGAAGGCAAATGGGACGTTGTTGTGGATCTTTACATCTACAGAGACCCAGAAGAGGTTGAGAAGGAGGAACAAGATGCCTTGGCCGCTGCTCCAGTCAAAGAATTGACTGCTCCAGTAATGATGGACACCGCTGTCGCTGAGAACTGGGGTGCTGATGATGTTGCTGTTGTTGCACCAGTTGCTGTACCAGCAATTGACGAATCCGTCACTGCACCCGCTGTCGAGAGCTGGGCTGACGATATCCCACAAGCTATCAACTGGGGTGCCACCGCAACCCTGGACCCCAATGCACCCACGTGGGGTGGCAGCAACCAACCCAACTGGGGTTAAATCATAAAATCGTGATTTCGACAATTTGACAATCTAGAGAACTTCTTTTATTACTATTGACATCATCTTCACTGACTTCTATGAGCCTTCAAGAATATTTTTATAATCATGCATTGACAGATTTTAGGATCCAAGTCGAATTGTTATCTCAAGAGAGATTCTTTTGATATCTACTTTTTGAAAAGATCATTCAAATAATGTAATTAACTGATTGTCGATTTGTAAAGAAAATTTATTTACATTCAGATCGATAATCTGACATTGAAAAAAGATAGAGAAAGATGTAAATAGATTTTTTATAGGGGAGAGAAAGCGGGAGAGTGAACAAATGAAATAAACAAACTACCCGTACTTAATTTAGTATTGGGGGAAAAAATTAAAAATGATGTACAAATATACTTTTTTATTTAATACCTTTATTTGACGTTCATAGAGCTTTTAAAATTTTGATTTTTGTCATCAATAAATAACGCACTTAGTAATTATTTCCAATTTTTTATAATAATTGCGTAATTTATATTTCATGTACAAAAAAGTTTTAACAATAAGAAAATTATTTAATTACCTCAGTGTCAATATATTATTTTCAGTAAATTATTCTTTCAATCAACATGCTAATAGTAAATTAATTTTCTTTTTGCAAGAAACAACAGTACAAATTTAAACATTTTTGAATAACTTGTGGTTTTTCCCAGAGATTTTTAACACATAATAAAAGATCAGCCATTAACATAATTGAATTTTTGTTTTCAGCAAAGTACGAGAATTATGGTGAGTATACAATTAATTGCATCCATACTTCATAATTCATAAATATTTTTAATTATTTCCATCTACGACAGGCTTTTTAAATATTCACGATGGACACTTAATTTTTATACATATGATTTCCTTTATAGAAATAGTCTATCACATACCTAGTGAAAACAATAAATAAATAAATCTGTATTATATAATTTCTATTCTTATTAAGATGAAATTTTTGATCAAAAAGACAAGAATGCCTTTTGATAATTTGCAATTATAAAATAATGAAAGTTACGCTTGCATACCCACTTATGTACCCATTATTATGTACCCAAACTTTAAATGTAACAAATTTTGCACAACGACTATTATATATCGTGTATAAACATGATAGTTGCTAAAGATGACTTTAAAGATAAAATTAGCTCGCGATTTTAAGTTGACTCAGGGAAAACTATAAGTGTAATTTTTCTCACGTATATTTTATTTCACATAATTGTAATCAGCTTAATCGAAAGTTGAAATAATTGAATTAGTTGAAAAAAAAACTTACGATTAATATACCCATTAAAAATACTGGTTAGTTTTAAAAACACGCGATTCAACTTCGGTTAACTTTTTTACTCTCGTCTCGTTTGACACAACTATTTAAACGCTATTACACAGTAGACACATAAAATGTTTAACGGACACCCATACATATATAATGATTTACTCAAAAACATCGATGCAGCGTGCGAATAACAATCGTTTAATAAACATATATTATTTATATAACATGACATAGTATTTTTATACCCCTTTCTCAAAAAGCTAAGACAGTAAAGCCTCGCATTTTCCCACTAAAAATTTTAATTATACTTATATAGGTCGGAGGCAAGGGGATCACTAAAAAAAACGTATCCCATACATTTCTATCGAGTGGACGCGATCGGTTGCGACGACTCGACAAATACAAACTAAAAATCGTTGAAAATGCATACTAGTTTCTAATAGTTTTCCTCACGCATCACCGTGACTTTGTTAATTCACCCTTTTTATCTTCTTCTATCTAAATTTATTATATGTTATGTACATGTGATCTAATTTTCAGATATTCTCGCACACACTGATGTATACAGTCACAATTGATTTTTTTTTCTCATCACATACTCGTATAGAAACTTCACGCGATCCATCCTAAAATTCAACGGCTGTTTGATCGTAGTAAAAATACTCTAATTTTATACCTCGTGTCTTTCGTTTGTTTAAGTGCTTCTGTTGTGAATAGTTTATTGGAATGAGAGGTATTTTTTTCATTTACATCGTCGCGAGATAAATAAAATTTACGGTATAGAAATTATAAAATGATGTTATTTTCAAAAGGTAAGAGAATAGTTATTGAGCTGTTTCGAGCGTAATTCGTGTTTTTCGTCGACGCTACAGAAGGTACGTTAGAAAAAAAATTGTATACTGTTCTCCATTGATACATTTACGATTTGCTTTAATTAATTTTTTTTTTAATACTGATAGAATTACAGATTTTGGCTGACTTACAGTTGGTTGCTATGTATCATCACAATGCGTGGAATGTGTTTAAAGCAAACTTGAGTTAAAAAAAAAAAAACGTACCGCGGATATATTTTATTTTCGTTTCATCAGTCAAGATTGTCGTTTCTTGTGTATAGTATAAATACGCAATGATACAAGTAAAAATAACAAAAAAAAGATTCAACAGACATATAAACAAAAAAATCTAAAATCGATGATACATATATAAATCGCGTACGCACTTTTCGATATATACATTTTGCATATAAGTTATTCCTGTTTTTTTCGATTTAACAAATAGCATACATTCACAACGTACACACAATCATCAAAATGGATTTTAAAACCAACACTCGCTGTTATTTTCTATACATTTTTTGTGATAGCCCGACAGTGTACAAGTTTTTTATTTTATTTTTGTTTTACGCATTTGAACGCTCGATACGCTCGTTTTTTTTTGTAATTATTCGTTCTTACTTTTATAATCGTTATTTATCACAGATGTTTCTTAACAATAATGATTTTCAGACGCGCTCATCTTCGTAGGTAATTCTCTCGCAAATCATTATCGTCGCTTTTTCTGCTTTACAGATTGTACGCTCCCTATATAAGATTTGGCCCGACTCGCGTTGATATTAACTATAACAATAAGTATTTAATGACCTCGGCGCATCACAGATTGATATTTTGTTTTTAATATATTTCAGTTCGTTCGGCAACGGTATATACGTTTTATATACACAGCAAGTTTTCATTGGGCTCGCGTTGTAGGAGGACTGAACCTTTTCATTTATGAATTTCCGATATACCTGTGACTGTTTTTTTTTGTTTGTTCTTTCGTCCGATCATCTTCGACGAAAGGAGTCCGCGAATTTGACTAGAAATTTGTTAATACTAAAATTTTGTGTAATACAATTATTTTTTCAACTCATCCACGGCGATCGGATAATTTTTTTTTTGTTTTTGCATAATCACGAGTCGTACGTTAAAATGTATATAATAAATCTGCTGTAAATATCGTGTGCGCGTAAATAAGCACTCTTCGTCCGTCTCCGTATCATATAGATGTATGTATATAAACGTTTGTATAAGCAACATATACACATCCGTTGGTCCGCTTATAAGATCGGATCGATAAAGGTCCAGCCCTCCGACCATCTAAGCTATATATATGTGTCGCGGCTACGCGAGCCCTGGGCCATCCTCGCGCGCGCTTTCGTTTCGGCATCTATACAATATGGAATATCTCTCTCTCTTTCTCTCTTTTCTACGTGTATTTTGTAAATGAAAATTTTCCTACGAACGGGGCACCCTCGACTGTCCGTTCCTATCACTCGGCGGCGTTCGCACTATGTATCATCGATCGCTTCTCGATTTTTTTTAAACATTCATGTTTCGCGCTCAGTCTCTAGCACACGGAGGAAGGATTTATATACGCTTATTTATGACTATTGAGAGACTGATTGATCGCGTGCAACAATAATACATATATAATATATACGATCGATCGTTTTCCGCTCTATTTGTTCGCGCGTCTACATAATCTCGCAGGCGTTTTATTTTATTTTCATTTTTTTTTTCTCACTAAGCGTTATGTTTTTTTTTTCATTATAATGCATTTGATTTTTCCAGTTCTTTTTCCGGATCTCGTCATTCTTTTTCTCGTAACGCAGCTTCTAAGGCCTGCTCTATCAGGTACAAAAATATATTGGTTTTTCTTGCGCGCTCGGGTCGACGCAATTTTCATACACGTTTGCGCGTTGAACTTTTATTTAACACAGCCACACCCACGCATATTACACGCTACTTTTGTTTCGCCTCGATAGACTCCCGTGGTTCGGCCTATCTTGTTATATTTTTGTAAAATTATGTACGGATACACATATCGTTCGCGTAATGTGTATATAGTTGTACGGAAGGGGTGTTAGGATTAACTCTTTATGCGTGAGTGTGTTTTTAATCGATATATAACGAGCATCTCGCGCGTTTTTACAGGCGGCACGAATTTACAAGCACAACGACGACGACGGAAGTGGCTCACGATAGTTAGGTACTACACAGGGTAACATAATTATTTCGCGTTCACACTACTGCAGATTATACGTATATAACACGCGCACACGATTACATGTATTTTTTTTCTACTTATATAAACCGCTGCAAGCTCAGTCTTGGATATTTTCGTCATTTACGTAGTTTTTCTTCTATTATACGGAGATCTTCGATTTATGTGGCTTTCACTATGCTCGGCTATTATCTATCTTGATTGGCTTGCCACGATGACTTCTTCTTTTCATCAATCATAACTCGTTGATAATCTCGATTATTTATGATTACTAGTTGCGATTCGTGCGTATTTGTGTTATAATGCGAGCTCGATAAAGGACATGATATTTACTTATCATCTGATAATTCTCTTGGAGATTGGAAGAAATGGCTTTGTCGTCTTTTGCTCTTCGTTTCTTTTCTCCTCTGCCTCGACTATTCGTTACATGACTTGTGCAATTGGGCACGACTTATTTATATAAATCTAGTTTTTCAACAATTGGGTTCTTGAGGATTATCAACATTGCGAGATGCGTCGGGCGCGTTGTGCTTGCACGATCAATATGGTTTATTTATCTATAAATATACATCAGGTACACGCCGTGCTTCAATGTCACTACTTTTTCTTCTTTTTTTGCTCTTTATTGTAAATACACATGTATAACGTCTCATCTTTTTAACTTTTTGTTTTTTAACGATAGAAAAAGATCTTTCATACGACTGCAGTTTAAATAGGCTCTCGTTATTGTTAAAACGTGTTTTTTGCGTTGTAAAGACGATTTGGCTTAAAGAGATATAAACACCACAGCACACATACATTTAATGTTTGTTGAATTGGATATATCTATTATCAATGATGATATATTTCATTGATTGTTTGATTAGGATATTTATCATAACATTACGTTTAATGGACACCATGATCTAAACGCTCTTTTTATCCTTATTTATCTTTCACGTTTGTGTGTTTATAATTGTGTGATTTGTACCATCGCCAGTTATTTTTTGTTTTGTTTTCTTACATAATGTCTTGATATAATACACTTTTTTTCTGTGATGCACTTAATTTTTGCGCGCGTTCGTGCAACGCTCGTAAAGCGCTTAGCTCTTCTTCGACTATATATAGGACGGGGCAGATTTCGAGTATTCTTCAAATCCATCGTCGTTTTTTTCTTCTTTTTGCACGAAAAAAAAATCATCCCATTTGTATTACTTTCTCAAAAGATCTGTATAAATTATCGAAACGAGTTGTGCACGTATCAGTCCATTATCATCTCTGCTTTGCTCTTGGAAGTATGATTGATAATCTTTTTTTTGTAGTAATAAGCGCCTTCTTTCTTGTTTGCTTTTTTCTGTACATGTATAATTTAATCACAGCATGACATTTAACAATAACTTGATCTTTTTTCCTTTATTTATCTATTAACGAAAAGGAGTTTTTAACGAAAAAACAAAATATTTATAATCTATATATTCTTAAGGTATATATATGCTCGAGCGTATCCGATTGGTCTTGGTATTAAAAATAACCTCGGATCGCGGTATGTTCCTTTAAACATTCCGTTGCATTAGCTACGTCTCTTTTCCATTTTTAATCTTGTGTAAAACTCAAATCAGCGTCATTTTATTTTTTCTTCTACTCACATGCTTCTATAAGATCGTCTACTTTTCATTTAGTATTCATCGTTTCACAATGAAAAGAGGGGAAAAACTATTCACTTTTAATCGAAATTGTCATTGTCGTTTAAATTTTTTCTTATATTTATATAGATATATCCTATATTATTTCTTCGACGAACTTGCGTGGATACCATAGGATATTTCAAATTCTTAACTGCTGCTAGTGTAATCCTCGATGAATTAATCTAGTTAATTTTGTATTTGTGCTCCCATCTGTTATTGATCGAACTCTTTTTGTTTAATAATATATAATATATCCGCTCTTTAAAACAGAGCTTGCGTCACAAAAGACTCTCGACTAGGTATCTTGTGAGTCTTGTAGTCTAAGATGTACCTCTCACTCTCTTGTTCGCTTCTTTTATAAAGATTATTATTTCATTCATACTAAGATTTTTGTAAGTTCTATCTATGCGGACTCTTCGTGGAGTCAAATGCTCTTTGTCCATAATTCTTACTTATGTACACTTGATTTTAAAGCGTCCTTTCTTTCGATGTTTCTTTTAAATCTTCTCACCCTTTTTTTAAAGACGCGGTCAAAGATTGTTTCGCGTATTGATCGAGTGTTTACAGATTACACTTGTGAAAAATACTACCCCGATTTTCGAAAAAGCACCTTCTTGATAACTTTTGTGAATTGGGCACATGTCGTTGCCAGCAATGAGCGATAACGTTTTTCGAAAGAAAGTCCGTCATACGTAAAATCTTTTCGAAAAAATTATAAAAAGTACGTAACTGATAAAGAATCTGAACAATAGTGACCGTTGTTATTGAAAGACATTACTTCAGATCTTCAAAAACGAGTGGCAATATCGTTTCTCTACTATCGCTGTCAACAGGATCTACAACTACGTCTGGCAATTCATCGACGCTAAGTAGATGCCACTGCTTACCCATAGCGCCTTTTATTTCCTGAAAAAATATTAGATAACATATTTAGTAATATGTGGGAATTTAGAGCGAATAAAATTGAAACAATTTGCACTCACATCTATGATTTCGTCAATGGACAACCCACATTCTAAATCGTGATCAATGTCAATTTCTGCAAATTCGAGTCTTTTCAATGTGCTGGGCTTCACGCGAACAATTCCAAGTAAATTATTAAGACTATACGATCTGCCAAAGTGCACGATTTCGCGAAGATTTTTACACTTCCACGCTGCCAATACCAATACATCAGGACTAAAAAAATATATTTACATGAATGTGATGCTTTGCTTATATTATTTAGTGTTGAAACTTTTTTGAGCTTACTCTGCTAAATTGTCTACCATCCTCTCCACATCTTTTGGATAGCTTATAGAATCAATCCATACAATTGACTTTAATTTGTCCGAGTACCATTCTGTAATTTTATTTAGTCCCATCATATTCAAACATTCACAAAATAGAACTTTTATGTGGGTGAGAGGCATTGCAGGTCTTAAGATGGCAGAGTCTAAAAATCTCACTCCATTGAAAGAATGAATCAGATTGAGGCGTAACTCACATTTAGGACTGAAATACATAAATAAATATATAAATGTTTTCCATACATTTCACAAGATAAGATAAAAAATATTATAAAAAATTATACTAACTTCTTTTGAGTAAAAGCAAGCCATGCATTATTATCAGTCCCCATGTACTCTCCATTATATGAATGCACATGAACAACCAATCTTTCCAATTTACCATTATTTAAAGATAGTAATAGATCATTACTTAGATGATCATAATCAATGGCTAATAATGTAAGTTGCGTGAAATTTTTGAACAATGAAACTTGTAATTCCAGATAGTCATAATGCTGTGGATCTTCTTTCACAGAAGCTAAACACAAATGTTTAAGAGAATTAGTTGAATTTTGTGTAAGTATTTCTAGCCAAGGATTAAGATCTTCTGTTGCTTCTTCTATGCAGCCTAAATTAAATGTTTCCAAATATTTGGAATTCCTCAAAAGATTCTCCACTTGTTTAATAAAAATATCTGGGTTGCACTCTTCAGATGATTCCTCAAACATACACCTGGTTGGTTCAATTATTAATTTACGCAATTGTCTATTGCATTTCAATTTTTCAAGAATTTTAAGAGCTTCTCGGGTAAATACTTCAGCAGAATCGCATCGGATGGTCACTTCACGAACACTCGCATAGTATGTATCCGCCAAACATCTGAAAACCAGTTAAAAACAGTGAACAGCTGTTTACAAGATGACTTGTATAAATAGAGAGAGTGAGAGGGGGAAGAGAAAAAGAAAAAAAAAAGAAATGCATTCAAACCTGGACCACATAATGTTGTCATGATTGGAGAGGCAAAAAGTTATTTTTTTCCAGAAACTTGGATGAAAGAGTGCGTACCTCCACTGTCTGCATACCTTGAAAATGAAAAACAAAGTATGATGCATACATTTCAAACTCTTACATATCGATCTTTGATCGCTTTAATCGCTCTTGTAGTCCCAATCAGTTTATGTTTATACAATACATGACAGCTATACGAAAATAATCATTAAAAATGAGGCGAGCGTGACTACACGAGCACGTAATTTGACAGTTGGCTTGGGTAACATCGTTGTGATCAATCATCAAAAACATAAGACACATAAATCGTAAAAACGTAATTACATTGCGATTATTGCATTTTCCATACGGCAGTGCACGCGTCACAGTGTCAGAGAAATCGATATGAAAAACGTACGAATAAACATCGGGTGAAAATGGGCTGAACCAAGTATAACACAATGAAAGTTTACGCCTCATACCTATATATGTACGTATATAGGATACATGTATGTATACTGATTACGGCTCTCGAACACATGACGTCTGTTATACATGCTTATATGTATAACGAGAATACGATAATAATGCATCATATACCTGTGAAGCTATCAAACGGCTTTTCTGCGGCAAGTAGCAGAAAATTTCGTAGAGCACGACGTCGGGCGCGTTGTTCCAGTGAAAGGCATTGTCTTGGCAAACCAGAGGATTGTTGTTGTTTGTGCTCAAGGACAGATGACTCGGAGCGACAGTAGCAGCAGCAGCAGCATTAGCAGCCGCGATCGAGTTAGTGGTCGTCGTCGTCGTCGTCTTCGTCGTTATCGTTGATTTCACGTCGTCTTCGTCGCGGATAAACTCGTCGAAAGCTTCGTACTCATCCACGTCCATTCTGCGATCGTTGCAATCAACCCCGAGCTTATAATAATTGTATTTATGTTATTAATGTTGAACACGTCTTGAGATCGTTGTGCTGCGGGGCGGACAACACTGCCTGGCTGGCTGCACTGCACTTCCAGAACGAATTATTTCGCGCTCTCGACTTTTGACAGAAAGACGTTATTTTGTGTCGCACAAGTGCATGCCTATCGCAGCACGTACGTTATATATCGACGACGCGACGATTACTCTCTGATATACACACACACGCGCGAATTCACATCGGGGGACAATAATATCTATAGATATAGCACAACAGCGAGCGATACGAATCAGCTCCGACGAGACTCAAATACGAGGACCTCAGTAAGACGGAAAGTTTATTATTTTCGAGACATTAGGGAGACAGAGAGAAAGAGAGAGAGAGGGACGAAGCGACGACTGCGAAAATTTGTTGATCTGTTCTCTCGGTTATAACAGCTAGCGTAGGTACGTTATATATACAGAGGTGCGAGTCAAAAGTATTGTTGATGATTATGTATTATTATTAACGCGCCGTGTGTATACAGAACTATTACGCGCCCGCGCGCCCGAGACTCTCCGCGCTCACTGACATTTCCCATCCGCGCGCGCGAGCAAGCTCCGCCAAACACGGACAGACGGACGACGACGGTGGCAGCAACGGAGCAGAAATTCTGTGCTGTATTGCAGAAGAGAAATCGTCGAGCATTTAAGCTTGTGTGTGTGTGTGCGTGTGCGCGAGCGCAGTGCACGTATATATGTAGGTCTCATAACTTTTTGCAGTTGTTGAAGTGGGACTGCGCGCGCGACCGAGTGTACGTGTACTGTGTTGTACGTGTGTGGGTGAGTGCATATGTTTCAGTCACGCTTGCGCACTGACGCGCGCGAAAATTTCACGCGCACGACAGATCGTTAGAAATTGCACAATCGCAAAATAAAAGTGATGCGTTTCGTTTAATTTTCAAATTTTGCAGATCGATATAAAATCGAGGCAAATTTTGGTGTAAATTTTAATTCAATGTTTCTTTTTAATCTCGTAACGTAAGAAAAGAATGAAGTCATTATTTGTCATCGACGAGAGGCGACTAGTGTAATAGGTACAGTTGTACGCAGATGGAGTAGCCTGTCAACTGCGTCAGCGTGGGTTGGCGAATCAAACACTACACAGTACACGACTTTGTCGACGATAGTACAGTAGTCTGCAGTCGATGAGATTTGAGGCAACTCCGTTTGTCAATAACATTTCCAGTTTCATTTAGCTATTACAAAACGACCGAATCATGTCTGGCGAGAAAAAACGTGTCCTCATGGTCTGTTTAGGTAATGATCGCCGACTCGAGTGCTTGAATAAATTTTACAAGCGTACTTAACGTTTTACAATCACATTCTAGGAAACATTTGTCGTTCGCCGATGGCAGAGGCAGTCTTTCGCAGGATCGTAAAAGACCAAAATCTGGAAGATAAGTGGGAAGTAGATAGTGCTGCTATCATAGGGTATCACACTGGAAAATCTCCTGATCCCAGAACTATTGGAGTTCTCAAAGAAGAAGGAATCACCGATTACAAACATAAAGCAAGAACTGTAAGTTTCTATTTAACATACTATAAACTGTATCATGCTTTATTCACATGAATTTTCATTGCGCAGGTGAAAAAATCAGATTTCCTTGAGTTTGATTACATATTTGGCATGGATAAAGAAAACATTAAAGATTTGAAAAGTCAGGTCCCAGAAAATAGTAAAGCTAGCATTGAGTTACTTGGTAGTTATGATCCAGAGGGAGGAGATATCATAAGAGATCCTTATTATGTAAGTATTAGTTTATCTCACTTTTAGTAAACCTAATACAGGAATAAAATAATAATTTAAACACTATATTTTTGATAGGATAATGGAGATTATGGCTTTGTTGAGTGTTACGCTAAATGTGAAAGAAGTTGCTTGGCATTCTTGATGAGAAAAACTAATGAAGAAAAATAGTAATGTAATGATATTTGTACTCCTAAACAAAGTGTAAATATATTGCTATATTTTGGTAAGTTTGTTACATGAAATAAACAAAGTATGGTTTCATATATGTTTAATTTAAACATTTTTACAAATAAAATTACTTTTAAAATAGAAGTACATGAAAATATATTAGTTCTATAGTATGCACCTGTCATGTTTTTTTACAAAAATTAAAATATTTTTACACAACACGCTGCCCTGATACATAAACTTCCATAATATTGCGATCATCTCCAGAATATATCAGTCGCTGCAATTTTTCTTGAAGAGTATAACTCTGCAAATTATCTAATACGCTGTTTGGTGAATCTAAATCAATAACTAAAGCATCAAACTCTTTCCCAACTTCAAAATTACCAACTTTATCACTCAATGCCAAAGCTGAAAATGTGAGAACATTATTTAAATGAGGTTTTATTAAATGGAATAAGTCTTATAAAAAATTAATTTTTACCTTCAGCTCCTCCGAGAGTAGCTAAACAAAATACATCTTCATAAGTTAGAGGTTTGTATGAATCATGAATAAATGACAAATGTGCTGAAACTTGTAAAGCAGCTCTCATAACATCTAGAATGGATGGGAAATTACCCCCAGAAACATCTTAAAAGGAAATGAAAAATAGATCAGTAATCATTCAATATTTGAAACAATTTTTTAAAATATTTTTAGTACCAGTTCCTAGTCCAACTTTTACATTAGCAGCTTGCAATCTACGCACATCACAAAGGCCACTTTTTAAACATGTGTTAGAGGCAGGACAATGGATAACAGCAGTTTTTTGTTTGCTTATAACTTCAAGTTCACTGTCTGTTAAATATACTCCATGAGCTAATACTGTCTGAAAGTAAAGTTTACAATATCGATGATTGAATTAAAATAAAGATAAAAAAAATTATTTAATTTAAACTCTTACTTTATCAGTTAGTAAACCAGCTACATCATAAACATCTGCATAATGTTTGTGTTCATTATAAGCTTCTCTTACGGCTAATACTTCATCTTTGTTTTCAGATATATGGGTCTGTAATAAATGAATATTGCAATTAATCAAAATAAAAATCATAAAGGTTTTATTGGCATTACAAATTTACCTGAATGTGAATATTTTTCTTTTTAGCAAGATCTCCCAATAGTTTCATCAATTTCATATCACAACTCAAAGCAAACCTAGGTGTTATTACTGGTTGAATTAATGGGCTCTGGAAATGAATCAAGTTGTTAAAAACTTTCAGAAATCAACAATATTTCTGCACTTGCTGTCAAGTTTCTTACATTTAGTTTTTGAACTTTATTAATAAAAGCCTCAGTCACACTCATGGAATTTTCACAGCTCTCGCTGTAACCATTGCATTTACTCGAATTCATGTTAACTTTACCAACTAATGCTCGCTGGCCATGTTCAATTGCTTTTTTAGCTAAAATGAGGGATGCCTCTTCATGAATCGAAGCATAGTAGCAGGCTGTTGTAGTACCCATTTTCAATGTTCTCCTCTATAATAATAATAATTTAGCATTGCATCTTTATTTCTATCAGTTAGTTAACTGAAACCTACCACAACAGCATCAAAGACTTTTTCTGCAAACTTTGCATCAGAATATTTCTTTTCCAAAGGAAATGTGTAAGCATCAAGCCAATCGAGAAGGCACTTATCGTAACCAATGCCAAGATTTGGAAATTGCACAGCGTGTATGTGTCCGTCTATGAGACCTGGAATGAGAAATTCTCCATTCTTCAAGTATCTCGTGGTTTCTTTGTTGAGATTATTCTCGCCTGGATTGACGGTGAACCTTTCGATCTAAAACCAAGAGAGATTCGATAAAAGTCGTACTTGTGAATTCAAAACGAGCAATAACATAAATCCATTATTATCCAACCTTTCCATCCTTCAAATCTATCCGGACGTTATCGTGAATGACAAGCTTCCTGTCACTCGTCGTATGAATCACTGGACCGACGATATGCTCGATCTTCATTTTGGTAATATATCACTTATCTGGAATTATACACGAGTGAAAAATTAATAAGCAATAATTAATTTTCCCGAGCAAGCGAGCGCGCGGAGAACGTCGATCGATATAATTTACTTCGGGAATGAGTGTCAGTGACTCGGAGTCGTTGACCTTGTCCTTTATAATATTCGAAAACAGCACGACTCCGAATTGATCGATACCTCTGCGTATCATCATAATAAAAAACACGCTTCTGCTACGTTCGCACGCGAACGAAACACGTGAGAATTTCATAGGGCCAAAATGGTTGGCCAACACCGCCACCTGCTCACTTTTCCCACGTACTATTAATAGAAAGCCCGCGCGATAATTTTCGCGCGCTATTCAGACATCATGCGGAGGTGCAACAAAAGGAGTTTCCTCGTAACGCGCATAAATTGCACTCTCAATAACGATCGTTTAAATTTTTACGTAACACGCGCGCGCGCGTGCGATCGGCGCGGCTTAATTTATCGATCAGCGAGTACTTAACGATCGAAATCGCGGGAAATCATGGAAATTTTGCAAAGCCGCCGGGGGCGTGGAGGGGAACAAAATGGAATCATCGAAAACCGGTAAGTGCAGCACCGTGTGTGTCGCGTTTCGCAGCATATAAAAAGAGCATTCATCATTGGAGATGACCACGCGCGAATCGAACGAAATCCAACGAGGTGTATTATATATACACGATACGATATACCCACGAAATTATCGCCTTTCCCGCAGCGCAGTGCAGCGTCTCGCGTTGCGCCGGGCAGAAACATCGTACAAGATCGGCAGACATAATATATATATTATTCCAACAATTAGACTGCGCGCGAGCTCGCTTGTAACGCGTCGTAAGTAACTCGAGTATTATATGCATGAAAAAAAAAAAAAAAGAAAAATCCCCCGAGAGCCATTACTCATTGAACATTTTATCAACTGTGTATACGAACATTTATGAATTGTGTATGAACGGTACCGCGATCGCGCTTTGAAGGCGATACAGAAAATCGCCTCTGAACGTTATAACTAATAAATGTTTCTCCTCGACGATGATCGCTTTATATAAAATTTTTACATCTAACACGACTGCTGAGATCGACTACTTCTGCGAAGCTACACGAACGGCGGCGGCGGCTGCGAGCGCGATAAAGAGAAGCTTTTTTTTCTCTCTCTCTCTCTCTCTCTCTCTCTCTCTCTCTCTCCTGAAGCACGAAGCAACATCGAGCATTGGAAAAAAAAATGGAAAGAAAAAAATCCGCGATATAAAATATTAAAGATCTCGTAACTCAAGAAGTGAGTTATAATATCGCGATGTTACGAGCCGAGAGCGAGCACAAAGAGTTAATTTATCATGCAGCATTTTTGTTAACAACCGTTATAACGAGCGGCGGCGGCTGTGGCTGCTGCTGCTGCAGCGGATGGCCTGTCCCACTTGCAAGACATGCACGGTCGCGAGCGCGCGAGGCGCAGAGCTATAATAATGTTGCATACAAATATAAATATAACGCGGCGCGTCAATCAGTTTCCCTTTCGGACGATTTATCGCGCTCGCGATTCGCGCGAGAGAGAGAGAGAGAGAGCGACAGACGCGCGATTTTGAATGCAATCATTTGACATTTTGCCGCCGCGCGCGATCTGGCTAACTGATTCGAGGTCCTTGGGTGTGCGCGCGTACAAAATTACGCAACGACGCGTAACAATTTTTACGGATGGAATGTCCGCGATGCAGGATACTGGCAACAAAAAAAAATGAGATCGACGACCGGTAGAAAGGGAGAGACAAAAATGCAGAAAAATATGTTAATACCGAAATCCTTCGGTAGATTTCTCCTTCGAAATATAAGTGCCACTTTGCCGCTGAGCTCGCGCGCTGCATAAAAGCTCACGTCGAGCATAATTTTCTTTTCTTTTTTTTTTTTTACGACGCGGCTTCTTACGTTACAGGTTTAAGTATGAGTTTAGCAATAAAAATAATAATAGAAATTTTCCGATTCAAATTTCTTTTGTGACGCAATAAAGACTATTCTGATAACGACAAATGTTTCTTACCTCGGGTTACAAACGAAGAGCTGCTACGGAAGGCTCGCTCTGCCTTCGAAAGAGAGAAACCACCCCTGTGGTCCGAAAAAAAAGAAGAAGAATAGAAGTGAAAAAAAAAGGAAATGAACTTTGAAGTGAGTGCAAGAGAGAGAGAGAGAGAGAGGAGGTCAAGAGTCAGGATTTCGTCGGAGCGGCGGCGCGGCTCAGGAAGGTTCGACGCTTACTGATGATGCAAAACACTGGCTAACGAGCGGCAGGCTCTCTTCTACCACTTGTGGCAAGTATAACATATATATTATACCGAGCCAACTACGAATACTCCAATGGCGTATTGTGTGTTATACGTGTGCGTGTGCGCGTGTGCCGCAGTGTAATGTACCGATAGTGCGTGCCGTGCTCCGAACGTGTCCGTAATGGAAGTGTACACGACGCTGCATTCGTGCGTGTATATATATAGCCTCGAACTGCACAACGCGTATATGTATATACTCACATATAAATACACGAGACTCGATTGGTATATATGCCGTGCGGAAATTATACGCTTTTGCAAAGTATGCAACTCCGCGCCGACGATTTTTATGTGTGCTAATATAATATGCTACGCGCGGACTATTTATTCGAGCTATAGCTTCGCGTACGCGGCAAAACTGGTTCGCTTAGAAAAAACTCGTCGCCCCGTGATGCGTTACTGAATTTATGAAAAAAAAAAAAAAAAAAAAACATTTATATGCAATGTATCTCGCGGATACGCGAGTGATCGCTTTGTCGTGTCCCGTTACGCGCGCGCGCGCACTTTTCTTTCTTTCTTCTCTATCGCCCCTTGAAAATGTTATATGTATATATAGTTACCAGATACTAACGTAACGAGCCTTCGAAAAACAATGATCTTACCTCGGACCTTTTTTTTCGTTTTATGCGCGCGCGCGCTAGAGAAGAACCGCGCGGCTGATTCTTGCGTCAGATAATTTACGCCCCGAGATCTCTGCGCTGTGTGTATACAAGATTCGGATCGCGGATCGATCTCTCTCGCGAACGGTTTGTATTTCATTGTATATATACCGATCGAAATCGCTATTTTTTTTCCCATCTCGCGCGCCGCGCTTATCGTCGTCTACTTATCTCTCTCTCTCGCGCCTCCCTACCCCTTTTATCGTATCCCCGTATTATGTGCGAAATTTTCGACGAAGAGAGAAATTCGCGGATACTCGGCGGCGGCGGTGGCGGTGGCGTTGCCCATGGAATTGCGCGCGATATCGATTCAACGAACTATTATTGTATCGTATGTATCGCTGGCTGTTGTTTCGAGCGAGCTCGGCTTACGCGGAACGCGATAGCTCCGATTTCGGGCAATTTTCGTATATAGCTGAAAAAATCGCGCCGTACAGCGAAATCTGTATTCGTATTCAAAGAAAACTGTACAAACGCGAAAAGAGGGCACAGGAAAAAAAAACGATGAACGGAGAAACTAGAGCTACCAGCGCGGATAGGCAATCGGCCGGCAAGAGCAATCGTTTGAGATCGACGTCGGAAAAGTCGTCGACGGAGTTGCATCGGGATTATCTCGACATGGACACCGACGAGGAGGAATTCGGTCGTCAAGGTATTGCTACTGTGCTAAAAAGATAAAGAATTACTTTTGCATCCAAAAATAAAAAGACGAGAGATACGTATGTAATGCGACATCTCGTGCGCGACGTCGCCCGAAAGATCACGATTTCTTTTCTCGAACTCGGCTGATTCGTCGATACTCATCTGCTTCAATAACAAACACGCGAGACGATAAAAATCGCAAAAGCGATCCGCAATAAACGAGATCCTCGAGAGTCTCGTCTGCGCAGCACGTGCGCACACCTTTTTTCACAGGCGCGACGATTCTTACACACACACACGCACAGACACATTCGATTAATCTCCATTCAGCATCGGTACGAGATTCTCATTCTTTCGTATATTATATTAATTGCGGCTTAATCAATTTGCACTTCTGCCGTGCACATATTGAACGTAACAATATTGGGATTCGCTTGTAGATAAAATTTTTTTCGCCCACGCAACAAACATTACGAGACGCGTTCTCACAATAATAGATTTTTATTGTCACGTATACGGAGAGCGCGTAATTTTTTTTTCTCCGCTTCTTTTTCTGTTATTTCTCTCGGTTTACGCGATCAACCTTGCGGACGTTTATAGTGCGCTCATATACGCGCGTGTAACGAGCGAAGAAGAAAAAAAAAGGAATCCGATTATGTAAATCGTAACTTTGTCGTAATTATTGCGAGCGAGCTTGGAAAGTATGAATGTATAATTTAGTCGATACACTATACGCGTAGAAAATGATGTCGCGCGATTCGTCATAACTACCACCCTTGGACGGACAAAATTCTCAATGTTGTACATCGTACAATTTTTGCGAACAGAAACACCGGAAACGGAGAACGACGAGCCGATCGAGCCGGACAAACCCGTTTACACCTCCCAAGAAATCGATCAATTGGTAAGTGCATTCATTGTTTTCTCTTCTTTTATTTTCGTGTCATCGGAAAATTCGGTGAACGAATATAAAAAAAAAGGAGAAGAAATATTGCAGGCTTCGAACGCGCGGAGTTTAATAAACGCACACAACGACAATATTTATTAATCCTCGTTAATAAAGGCGCGCCTTCAGAATACGTCCATAGTTGCCTATGCAATATGTTTGTCAAACACAAAGTCTGCGCGAATGCATTTGAAAAAAAGAAAGAAAAAAATCAGTAGACGAAGGAAATTTTCGACATTCCGTTTGCTCTGCGATCAAAGCGGAATCGTACGAACGTCGCGCACAATTTACACGCGTAACGATCTCGGATCGATCGCGTTATAATCTTTCCGCTCTCTGCCACCGCACAGCTGAGCACGATCAAGGACCTGACCATCCTGCCGAAGCTGCGGCCCAGCGCCTGGAATGATCCGGACTGCCGCGAGATCGTGGAGAGGTACTTTCGCGATCCGGCCCACGAGCTGCTGACGATCTATCTGCGTCGGGGCGCGCTGCGCGCCCTCGTGGACGCGTATCCGCGCGAGCCCACCGACAGCGGCCTGTGCTACTTCGCGCGCCGCGAGCCCTGGCAGATCTTCCGGCCGGAGAGCTTCGTCGGCCAGGTGCAGTTCGGCTGCCTGACCGATCGCCGCCTCGACATGGCGATACTGAGGTTGACCGAGGCCACGTTCGCGCCGCTGGCTTTCAAGAGTCCCGCGTGGCCCGATGGTACAGTATACGCAATTCTATATATGCATAGTACGATATGATACGAAGTTATAGTATTGCCGATCGGTAACATCATTGAGTGCAGTGAAGCGAGACGAGATCTTCAGCAGGATCAACGACTTCCTCGAGACGGCCGTCGACGCGACTTATCGGCCGCTCGGCATACCCGTGCTCTATCAGTCCTGGGAGGCGGCGAACGCCCGCGAGGACTCGGTCGACGTGGTCGAGGCGCAGAAGCGGCCGGCGCTGCTGCTCCGACTGGACCGCGTGGCGCGCAACTGGATCAAGCGGGTGCGCGAGCAGCTCAAGCTCCAGCCGGTCAAGCTGCTGCAGCAGTCGTCGTCGTCGGCCGGCGAGGATCAGCTCTACGACGTCATCAACGAGTTCGAGTACTGGCACACCAGGTGTAAGTGCAGTATCGCTATATGATATAAGACGCGCGGGTCGAATCGATAATAATAATAATAATCATCGATGGATATTTCAGTCGAGAATCTGTCGTGCTTGCTGCGTCAGTTGCGCGGCGCCGGCGTGCGCAAGACGACGCGACTGCTGCGTCGCATACGCTCGACGTGCGTCGACGATCTGCGCTGCCTGAGACGGCGCTGCAGGCTCGCCCTGGCCGAGACCGAGGACAATCTGGCCTATCTCGACGCGCTGCTCAAGCACTGCACGACCCTCGACGATCCGGGCCGGCTGCTGGCCTCGCTCGCCACCATTCTCCACATCGTCCGTTTCGTCTGGACCGAGTCGTCGTACTATTCCGAAACGTGAGCTCGCGACTGATATATATGCGCGCTATTGTCGATGATTATTTTATTGATTCATCGATGCGCAGATCGAACGTCGAGCGGCTGCTGTGCTCCGTGAGCGTCTACGTGGTCAGGGTGTGCGTAAACAGCGTCGACGCCAAGCTCATCGTCGATCGGCCGCTGGACTCGGCCAAGTCGATCGAGGCTTGTCTGGCCTGCTGTCGGGATTACCGCGTCATTTACGACGACGTACGGTACTATACGTTACCTGTATAACCCTGGATTAAGGGCACACGTCAGAATCGATGAAAATCTCAAACGACTCTTTCTTTTTCTTCTTTCTTATGCAAGCAGATCATAAGCGGCTGCATCGAGAACGAGAGCAGAGAGTGGAAAGTCGACAAAGCAGTGGTGTTCAATTGCGTCGAGGCTTTCGAGCAACGATGCGAAGATCTCTTGGATATCTGTCAGACGATCGTCATTTACGGAAGGTATACGGAACCTACAAATCCTTCGATCGATTTATCCATCAAAGCTATTTGACCGTAATTAACATACTCGTATCGCGTCGCAGCCTGAACAAGATCAATCTGGGCGGCACGCGGGGACGCCGCCACGAGGCGCAGTACAATCACATACGCGACTACTTCATGCGCGTCGTCGAGGAGACGCGCCAGGCCTGCGCCAGCTGCGCCCTGGACGTGCGACGCACCGACTGGTTCCCCGTCGCGGTGAGCTTTCGCGCGCGAATCGCCGATCTCGAGAAGACCATGAGGACGCTGCTGCTCGGCCTGTTCGGCGACGACGGCGACGGGGACGACGTCGAGCCGGCCATCGAGACGCTCTACGCGCTCCAGAGATTTCGCGATCGCAAGACCTTTCGCTGCCTGCTGCACGACAAGTGGACCCAGGTCTGGGCGATGTTCGATCGAGAGATCGCGATGCCGCCAGTGGACGACGCGAGCTTGTACGACGAGATCCCCGCGGATCGGTTCAGACTGCCGCGCCAAGACGAGCTGAGAGATCCCGAGATCATCCGTCGAAATTATCTGAAGAGGCTGCACAGGATGATGATCGACACGTCGGACTGGCTCGGCGACTGCGACGCGCAGCACGAGGTTCTGGCGAAATATTCCGCGACGGTTTGAAGAACGAATCCGAGAGTGCGTCATTTGTACATTGCGTTATATTAATTTTCTTTTTCAGACACAATACTTAGAACCTTTCTTAAAGTCCACTTATATAAATTTAAGCTTCGTTAATCGATGTATTTATAATCAAATTTTTTACTTTTTTACTATCAATAAAAGATGCAAGAAAGCTCGAATGATTATTTTTTCCAAAGATGCAATTACAAAGTTATTCGGGGGCATCGATGATGAAGATAAAATAACGATCTTCACGATTTTTCAATGAGATAATCACCGCGTTTATCGTTACCATGAATGAGTCGAAGCGGCGAGTGTTGTTTGTTTAAAATATCAATCAAAGGGAAAAGTACAAATCCAGTGTTATGCTACAGTGAATATGGAGCACATTCCCAAAAGTACTTCTTTTTTTTAATTCTATGTCTTAGGGTACCAAAACAATTTACATAGAAAGGAATAACTGTGGACTTAAAATTTTTTTTCATTCAATATTATACTTTAATTGAATTATTTGATTTTGATCAAAATCTATCAAATTTAAACTATATATAAATACTGCTCATGTAAATGATGTAAAAATACAAGACGTGTTTTTTCAATTGTGAATTTTATATCATAAAATTGTTATATTACAACGTCTGTAATCATGATTTAACCCCAGTTGGGTTGGTTGCTTCCTCCCCAGGAAGGTGCGTTGGGGTCCATAGTTGCGCTGGCACCCCAGTTGATAGCTTGCGGGATATCATCAGCCCAGCTCTCGACAGCTGGTGCAGCGACGGATTCGTCAATTGCTGGTACAGCAACTGGTGCAACAACAGCAACATCGTCAGCACCCCAGTTCTCAGCGACAGCGGTGTCCATCATCGGTGGAGCGGTCAACTCTTTGACTGGTGCAGCGGCCAAGGCATCTTGTTCCTCCTTCTCAACCTCTTCTGGGTCTCTGTAGAAGTAGAGATCTACGACGACGTCCCATTTGCCCTCGCGTGGGATAGTTCCCTTCATTCTGAGGACTTCTCTGGTCAGGAACCACCACATCAGACCAATACTGAGTTTACCCTTGTTGTTGCATGGTATGGCAATGTCAACGAAACGGAGGGGTGAGTCAGTGTTGCAGAAAGCAATGACTGGGATGTTGACATAAGAAGACTCAGCAATGGCCTGGTGATCTACAGCTGGGTCGGTGACAATCAGAAGCCGTGGCTCACGGAAATTGGCAGTCTGAAAATGTCAATTATTATTTAGTAATCGAATCAAACACAGATGAAATGATGCTTACATGAAGTATGTATTTCAGAAAAGATTAAGCCATTACATACTAACATGTTTATGTTCTAGTGTAAAGTTGTATCATCATATTCTATATTTTTTTCTCATTAATTTTTAAGTAAACAATAGAAATAGTCGTACCTGGGCCTGATTGGTGAACGCACCGGGGGTGAAGCGTCCGGCAATTGCGGTAGCACCGGTGTGGGCAGCGAATTTCAATACGGCGCGCTGACCGTATGGGCGACCGCTGATGACATACACCTCCGATGGGTGTTCAATAGCGGCGATGGCGCGGGCAGCCAGGAGAAGTTTCTCCCAGGTGCAGCGCGAGTTAATTATATTTATGCCGTCGTCACGACGTCGATAAACATATGGCCTCATCTGGTAGTTCATGTTTTCAGAACCTAGATGAGCGTTCGCGGAGAGGATTTTCATCATATCCTCCTCCTTCAAAGCAAGTACATCGATTCCTCCCGACATTGTTAGTTCTTTGTATTATGAAAACCCTGTGGATAAAATATTAATTTCACATTAGTTCGAATTCATGGATGATTTATCATACAGTCGCGCGCAAAGATTATGGAATACCGACTGAGTTAACACGTGGACACAATACATATAAGGGCATAAGCATAGAAATTTTTTCTTTTTTGGCATTTTTTTGTCTTGTAATTGGGATTCGTTTAAGTATCTCAAAAACTAGAATTTGAGGGAAATAATGCATGTTACAGAATCAAAATTACACAAACTTATTTTTCAATTAAGTTTCGAGGTTAACGTAGTTTAGCAAAAACACGACTTTTTTAATAATATTTATACATATATTGTAGAGTTTGTTTACGGATGAATGAAAATGCTATTGAAAACATTGAATCAAGGAACAAAAGAGGGTGTTGAATTGTTGTTAATTTATTTCAAGCCTCTAGCGTGCTTTGACCACGTGTAACCGTCTGCAACCTCGATTGCAGCGGTAAAGAACCGTGAAAAGGAACGTAATTTCACATGCCATTGCAATACGAATCGCAGATTTATTAACAACTGTTCAATAAGCTCGAGATTATATTTATTAACACATCTATGTATGATACGTACAAAAATGTAAAAAAAAAATTAAGCAACTCACGTTTTAATGCCACAAGAGAGGATGTTTCATTACGCCGTACGCAACTGGAAAGACTCGTAGCGTCGTATTGAAATAGCGGTGTAGCTGTAGGCAGGCTTGTTGAATGCAGCGATGGCGGCGCCTCCACTTTACACCGTCAATGTCGCGTCCGTGCACCGCTTGAACCGCGCGCGCGCGACAATTGAAATGAGCCTCGTGCACTTGTGCCTCGACTGCTCTTCAAGCAATAGCCATTGAGTTTTGTTCAGATCTACTCGAACGGCTCGAGCACGCGACCCTTAATACAGCTTGAATAGATAGATTGTTTGTTGTTGACAATTTTTTTTAGAAAACTTGAATTAAAACGCTTATTTTCATGGTATTTTTCTGATCAACACTGAACAAGCTATGGAGTCAACTGCAATCTTCAAGATATTTAATATCAAATACGTGCGTTGTAAAGAAAGAATTGTTTAGATAATTGTGATGAACATAAAAAATAATGACAAAATACTTTTCTAGACTATGAAAACAATTTCATATAGGATATGTGTTTGGCAAATCAAAATGCATTCATTTAACAGATAAGAGGGTCAAAAAATTATTATTTATACGTCATCTTTGCTTCTTCATACAATAGTACAAAAGTAATTGATTCTTTGGAGTGAACCGAGTCGATAAAATTATTTTGTTCTTATAAAAAATACTGTCGTCTGTCGTGAATACAATAACAATCTCGTTTGTCTAAAATATTTGGTAAACTCTTTAAAAAATAAATGCACGATTAAAATATTTAAATATGTGTACACATCAATTTCTATAGTCAATTATCTATTTTTTTTTTTCGTTCAATTGGCTGGCTCGACGAGATGCTCGTGTCGGTAGCTGGCGATGTCAATGTGAAAGACAGAACTGCTCGAGGATTCGCTGCACTCCATATCGTCTTCGCTTCTGCCATTGTGAATTTGATTTTCATTGTTTGCTGGCAACAGCAAAACCAACGAAGATGCTATAATCGCATGCCAGGCACTATGAACGTACTAAAAAATAAATTTATTGATATCGTTAAAAATTTCATTTCCCTTTTTTTAGTCAATTATTACTGTTACCTTGTAATTAGATTCTGTTTCGACTAGACAAAATAATAAAATTCCAATAGTGGCTAAAATTAGGCCAAAAGTTAGCTTCCATTTGTTCTTTGGCAACATGAATTGTTTAATCATAAAACACGAATGAACGTGAGACGTTAACTGCAAAAACGAAAAATATGAGATAGTATAGAATTCAAATACTTTTAAAAGTAACTATATGACAATAAAAATTTACCACAATAATCGATCCGATAACTAAAGGACATGAAACACTTAAAAGTCCTCCTTTATCTGATTGCACACCAATCGTTATAACAATAACTCCGAAAACATGAAAAAAGGCTAAATAATTTTTAGATAGATTAGCCATTGCTATCAAGGTAACCCAAAATGACAGAATACCGGAGAAAAAATCGCAGTACTGTAAAACCTGCAACAAATAAACATCTTTATAATATAACTTGTCTTAAAGAAAGTAAAATATTTGTAAACCATCAACTCACTTCATATTTTGCTATGCAATAAGAATAAAAATTTTGATCACAGGCATGATAAAAGGCCGAGAATAACATCGTACAAATATACACAAATCCTTCGGCATAAAATTTTCGTCTCAGAGCTATGTACACGGCCGGTATGAAAAATAAATTGCTCAATGTGAGCAGTAGTGTTTCTAGCAAGATGGCAAAGTCAGACATGGCATTCGTTGTGTCAGTACACGTCAAACCCTGTCGACCACCGTAACATTTGCAAGCGGTGTAATAAAGAAGTCCTTTATGAATCTCTTGACACTCGCCGTAGTCACCACATGATTTTTTACTTCTGTTCATGCAGGGCGTTAACTTAATTTTCAGCAGCACCATTATCTCTTCCATTTCACAGCGTACTTTGAAACTTGGGATAATAATTGTTACTTTAACATAAATTTTCCATTTAATTACTCAACAAACAAATGTATCTTACCCATTAACTAAACAACGTGCATGAAGTAAAATGTACCAAGTATCCGGTTTAGGATAAGGTATCAATAAACTTTTAAAATGGTTGGATTTATCGTTTGATAAATGAATTGTTGTATGCACATTATCACATTTATTCATTTCTTCAGGCTCCCTGACTCTTGGCACACGACCACGATTCAAACAAATTAAAACATCTACCCTTTGCTTCGTCATTACCTAATAAAAAAATAATATTAGAAATTTCATAGTGGAAATTGCCAATATATATTTTTGAGTTATAAATACTTTATCCATTTCAAGACTTGCAGCAATGCTTAATGTTCCTCCGATGTCAACCAATGGAAGAACATCAAATTGAGTGACAATTGGATGTCTGTCGCTGAGAGTTAACCATGATGTCAACCATTCTCTACTCTGTGATATTCAAGTTTTGTTAATTTTATAAACAAAGCAATGTTTTTAATAAGTAAGAAAACTTTAAAAACTTTTTACCTTAAATAAATAGTCACCAGAGAATATGCTGTTTTCTTTGATCCGAACCAACTGATATTGTGGTATGCAAGTTTCTCTGTTATCATTTAAAATACTAACTTTTCTGTCCTCTTTGTACTCGCTTCCATTGAATCCTTTAGAAAATTTACCTTTGACATTCTTGAATTGGTTTTGTCGAAAGGGAGACTCTTCCATTGTTTTTATTAAGCATTCTAAGAACAATCTTTAATTAAACGCACAGAACTTTTTAACAATTTGAAAATGTGCAGTTTTTTAATTTACATACCAGTTACTGTAACTTTTACATTGAATTTTATAGGATTGTTAGATACTATCATAAGGTAGTACCACTCATCTTGAAATGGAGATGAATCCTCAAAAGTATAAGTATCCACAGGTGTCAAAGTTACATGTGAATTTGCTTCTGAATGATTATTGTACGGCATGCTTTTACCTTTTACAGACACATTTTTAATGCAAGGACCTCGAATGTTTTTTGTCGTGTTCAAAGAAATACTGCAGCCCCATACATCAATTTGAAAACTCAAAGTGTTCATTGGAATGAATATTCTGTAAATTAAAATTTTTATAATTATTATTGATGAAAAGAAGAAAAATCTAAGATACTTACTTAAAATAAGAAATTGTTTCACTTGTTTTCAATTCTACTTGATAACCTAAAGGAATATTCTCTATAGTAACAGTTTCTGACCACAATGCTAGAGCAACAAGATTATAAGTACAATCAACTCCTAGGCCCTAAAATAATATTGGTTTTACATCTCTAATTTCATGCAATTTTAAAGAAGAGGTGATATATTTAAATTACTTTTTGATGTACATCTTTATCCCAATGAGATAAATAGGCACCAACGAACCAATCTCCAGGTTCTGGACTATATACAGGAACAATTTTTGCAATATTTATCAAGTGATGATCAGTGACCATGGATACCTGAATAGTATCATTATTATCAGTGTACATTTGAGGCAGATGCGAAGCATTATTTACAGATATAGCAGGATAGCTGCCTGACTTTAAATATCTGTAAAATAAGGGATTTATGAATTTTCCAATTTTGCCACTCAATACTTATTCTTATAGTTTGACTCTCGATATCATATCAATACTTACATATTAACAGTGCGCCTTGGACATTCATTTTCACTAAATGCAATAAATTGCCATGTAGCACGGACTACCTGCTTTGGCACATTGAAGTGTAACATTAGAACATCCTCATAACTTTTAAATGTATGTAGTGCACCGCTTTGACTAGCTTGTTGTATAATGCAGGCTCCATTATCGATGTGGATAGCTGTGAGACACAATATAGTCATCGTTAATAAATCATACGTGCAATCATAGATATTGACAGAAAAAAAATCGTTCCAAGGCCGTACTTACCAGTGATGAAAATGAAGATAAAAAGTCGAGACACGTAGTCGCAGTACCATCGACATAGTTGTGATTTTTTTAGACCGATTGTTTTCGTCTTTTCAGTCTTGAACATTGAAAATGCGATCTACGATGATCGTAATGCTGCCCGCTGCAACGCTGTATCTGTCAAACAAGGGCACTCTCGTTACACTCGACGCGCAAAAAGAAAATAGAGAGAGAAAAGAAAGGAGTGAAAAAAAAAGAAACAAGAACGAGTTCGTCGATGTACTACATCGACAAAGTCGCGCAGTGAGAGAGAGAGAGAGGCAATGAGCGTAATGAGATTTATTACTCACCTTTTTACGGCATAGGTAAAAACGAAGAATCGTGCCGTTGTCTAGTAATCTCATCAGCAGCAGCAGCACATCGGCTCATGGCCACTTGTCACAAACTATATTATATACACACACAGTACTCACGCACACACAATGCTCTGCACACTGCGCGTTAGGTCCGTGTGTGTGTGTGGTGCACACGTTAACTTATCTGCGCTGCATACATACAACGTCTATTACTTTATATGCGCGGAATATCTATAATCTCGCAGTACTGATCTCGGTGCAGCATAATGCAGAAGCAGATATATCCTGCGCCCCGCGCGCAGAGCAGAGCAGAGCTCCTCGTTGCTTGCGCGAGAATGGAACGATATCTCTCGTCCACACATGCGCGCGCGCTTGTGTTACTGTTGTGCATAGCACGTCGTGCACGTGTGGGCGGAGAGGTCGGTGACGTCGAGTCGCGGGACTCGGAGGGGTGCACACTCGCAGAAGACGAGGCCTACATAATATAATGCTCGGCGTCGAATTGTTTGGGCTGCTGCTCGCGCGAGCACGTGCACTTGTTTATGTACGTGTGTATATGTGTCTGCTACTACCGATAATCATCTGAAGCGAGTGGGAGGTTTGAACTTGACCAAAAAAAAAGCTCGCGAAAGCTTCGAATCTCGAGCACGCAAGATTTCGTCGATATATTATTTAATAGAAGAGATGGCGTATTTAATTTTATCATTGACGCCACGAGACGCGCGCCGCGAAGACAGTCGTCACTCGTGCGCGACCGAGCGATACAAACAAACAAACAAACAAACAAACAAACGAGAAAGACGCGCAATAAGAATGTGAATTATAGAGCTACTCGCTAGCTCAATGGTTAGCGTTCTGGTATCAGATATAAGAGACCGCTCGAGTAGCCTGGGTTCGAATCCTGGCGAAGCAAAATCGGATTCTTTCGATTGACGTTCATGAGCGACCGCTGATCACGTAGACCTCGGCCGAATGCTCTATGGCGGCGATAGCGCGGGCTCCCAGGAGAAGTTTCTCTCAGGTGCTGCAGCGCGAGTTAATTATATTAATTCCGTCTTCACGCCGTTTATAAATATACGGCTTCATCTGGAAGTTGCTATTTTCTGAACGGAGAGGATCTCCACAAAATTTTGCTACTGGAGCTGTATAATAAAAGCTCATGTCGAGCATAATTTTATTATTTATTTTTTTTTTTTTTACGACGCAGCTTCTTACGTTACAGGTTCGAGTGTGAGTTTAGCAATAAAAATAATAATAGAAATTTTCCGATTCACATTTCTTTTCTGGCGAAATAAAGACTGTTCTGATAACGACAAATGTTTCTTACCTCGGGTTATAAACGAAAAGCTGCTACACGGAAGGCTCGCTCTGCCTTCGAAAGTGAGAAACCACCCCTCTGGTCCGAAAAACAGAAGAAGAATAGAAGTGAAAAAAAAAGGAAATGAAGTTTGAAGTGAGTGCAAGAGGACGAGGCCTACATAATGTAAGCTCGAATAAAAACATCGTCGGCGCGGCGCGTAGCAGCGAAATGTCAAGAATTCGCGCGCCGCAGTCGCCGCGATGCACGAGCGGCAGCGACCAACGGTGATTCTCCGACTCCGCAACTTCTTTAGCACCAATATGTGTTGCGCTGCAACAGCAGCAGCCGCGGCAGTAGTGCTGGTGCACCTCCTATATCGGCGCATACACACACACACACAAACATATATAGGAAAGAGACAGGGCAAGATTTTATATACGTATATGTATATACAGATGCTGCAAGTTATATAGGAATGCGCGTGAGAGAGAGAGAGAGAGAGAGAGAGAGAGGGAGAAAAGCAGCGGGATCGTATATAGACTTTGAGTGGATTAAATGGAATGAATGCGGCGGGGTACACACTTATAAACACACACACACATATGCGCGCGTAGAGGTAGTAGGGATGGAATGAAGCAAAAGCAAACGATCGTTCACTATCCATACATATGTACATTTTTTGTATGTGTGCGCGGGGCCTGGAAGGGGCGCGAGGGGCAAGAGAAGTGCAATACAACATTGCTCGGCTAACGCGCGCTCTCGCTCGCACACACACAATACACACACATACAGGAGAGGAGGACTGCCGAGATATTGTGTACGCGAGTGTGCGTGATATACTATGCTAAGTGTGTGTGTGTGTGTTTGTGTCTATGTGCGCTGTCGGGAAAGAAGTTCTCCCGCACCAGCGGCAGCAGCAGCAGTCAGTCAGTCTTTCGCGGACGTCGTGTCGCGCGTTTACAGCAACACGCAGCTCGTGACATTACAACATACATAACGATAAATACGAAAATATATATACTATATACGCACTCGCGTATTGGTATGTTTATAATATACACGTACGTGAAAAGTAGTATAGTAACGTGTACATACATTTATTTATAATACGGTATCGGTGTGTACGGATTAGATTATAAAATTGCAAATTCGCGTGCAGACACGATTTCATATTATACACTCAGACACGCGCGACAAACAACACTGTGCGCGTGCAAAGTTCACGTCCGCGAAGGTGAGAAAGGGAGTAAATAAATAAATCAAAAAAAGGAGCAACAGGCCGTCGCCGAATCTGCCGCCGCCGCCGCCGCCGGTTCCGTGTATTCAGCAAGAAGACTCCGGCGTGCAGAAAAAGGAGCAGAGAGCAGCGCGTGTTTACCAAAAGTTACCGCTGCGTTGTGTTATTTAACGTGCGTGTGTATGTGTGTGCGTGCTGCGCGTGTGTTACAGAAGTGCAAAGTTGATGTCACGCGCGACGAGTATCCGTTCGTTATTATTATGTATCGCCGCTATTGAAGGATACATACGTGCCTTCAAAAAGTGACTGGTGCGCGCGTGGGATACGGATCGCAGAAAATTTCTCTCCGAATCAAAGTGCCAATTGGTGTCGTTGTCGTCGAGCAACGGTGTTATTCTCAAAAATTCAAAAACGAATCGATTCGCGTAAAGAAGAGCGAAAGAGGAGCGAATAAAATTGGGAAAAAAGAGGTACGGATACCGGCGAATCGAACGCGCTTGGGTTAACTGCAGCAGCAGCAGCAGCAGCAACACACGCTTGGCTCTCTCGTCGCGCCATATGAACATTTTCGTATTCAGGTAAGTTTTGCGCGATTTGTTTATTACCTATATGTGTATATGTACGTAATATCGGTATACGTGTACTATCCTCCCGACTGTGTTGTGTCTCTCTCGAATGCGTGGGCTTCGCGCCGCATATACACACACGCAACCTATACGACATATGCATACACACATAATATGTGTAATAGGATTTTACAAATCAAGTAACGCACAGATGTCTCGGTGTACATTCACGCGTGTCTGTTACAGCTTTTCGATGTGTGCTGGTGTAGTATATACGCGTGCGTATATAATGGCGCCGCACGTACACACATATATAATACGCTCTCGTGTCTCGGCTTGTGTGTGTGTGCATAAATTCGCGAGCGAGCGAGAGCATGGAAATATGCGACATTTCACCATTTCTCCTGCTGCTACGCACACACACAAACACACACATACGCATACGTTATATTATAACCGGAGCCGCGGCAAGGAGCAGAGCGACATACGTACATATTACAAACTCGGTTGATGGCTTTTGTACTTATCATCGTCTCTCTCTTTCTCTCGCAGCGGCAGCGGGGCTATATATAATGTGTATAATGTACACTGCACAGCAGCAGCAGCAGCAAATGCAACTGCAGCGGTGTGCATATATACGCGAGAGAGGAGAAAGCCTTTCCCGCGCGCGTAAAACCGACGACTCCGAGACTTGGCAGCAGCAGTATTATATTATACAGTGTGCATTACGGTGCAGCAGTGCAGCGGCAGCTCAGTTAGTAGTATCGTCGTCGCTCTTCTTTTCGCAACGCGCGCCGCGTTGTATTTATGCGGCCGAGCCGACGACTTCACATACGTGGTATATACCCTATATATACATGTATATATCTACTGTGTATCAATGCAACAGGTGGCTGAGCTGCTGCTGCTGCTGCTGCTGCTGCTAAAAGAAAGCAACGTGGATCGCTGGCTTTTGCGCGCACGTTTATTTATTTATTTTATTTTTTTCGGTCGCTTTTCGTTATTCGCCGCGACCCGTACAATATACGCCTGCGTGCACACACACACGCGCACATTTACGCGAGGATATAAATTCTCATTATTCTTACAGAAGGCAAAAGGCCAATTGGAAATCGGCACGATTGTTAGTAGCAGTCGCCGAGGGAGACTGCTGCAGTTCGGAGTCGCGCTGCATAGCTCGCGCCTATATATATTTTATATATATACACATCTATATACGCGTGTGTGTGTGTAACGAATGGTATGCGTTCGGTAAAACAACATGCTGCCTGCCAGAGAGAGGAGTTTTCGTTTCGCGTGAATGCCTTGGGTGCGAGCAGCGGTGGCGGCGGCGGCAGCAACGCGTTCTCGGTCAGAGCCCGCGCGTGAGAGAGACAGAGAGAGAGAGAGAGAAGGAAGAAGGAAAGGAGAAGAAGCAGAAGAAGAGGACTTGTCCTTCTCCATCTCGCTCTACTCCTTGATTCTCTCTCCTGTACTCTTTGGACTTGTATGTGTGTCTGTATATATATTTTATACCGTATATACGTATATAAATATATATATTCGTGTATATTTATTTATATATGTATGTATAGCAGTATCGATACGGAATGCCGCGCCCGAGATTTCTGCCCCTCCGCTGCCTCCCCACTCCTCCCTTTATACTCTCTCTCTCTCTCTACTTCCTTCGTCTGCCTGTCTGTCTATATATCCTTATATGTATAATATACCAGACGTATGCACGATTTCTTCGATTCAGCACATATATATAAATAAAATACTAATACCGGAGGAGTCTCGCGCGTTTTGTTTATTGGAGACACACGAGCCATGACGTGCATTATTATATTATACATATGAGCTGCGCCGGTCTCCGATTTCTCAGCTATTTACGCTTACAATTAAATCTACTAGCGAGATATTTTCTTATTACATTATCGTCTTTCTTATAGGCGACGATACGCGGCGAGTTGTGTGTGACTCTCCATAATATCTACGTGAAAAATAAAAACGATACGCTTCGTCGAGTTCAAAAATCCCCCTTTGGATAAAAAAAAGAGAGAGAGAGACGAGGAAGATTTTACGGTTTAATTGCAAAATTATCAATCGCGATCACGATCTCCCGGCGATATACTACTTTAAATATGTCTTCTCGCGGGCGAGGAGGAATCGTTTTTACTCAACTCCGTATACACATAAACTACCACATATACGCTGCTTATACGCACGAGGCTTTTTAATAATTGATGCATGCAAATTTATGACGAAACGCAAACATTATTTTGCCTCGCTTTGCCTCGGTACCCCCCCGAGTACATCACGGAGTTCGTACACTAACTCAACACACACACACACACACACACAGACGCGGAGCAGTACGCTGGTCCCGGTATTGATATATACTCTCTTGGCATACCTATATATATACGCACGCTCGTCTCTCTCGATCCTCTCGCTCCGCGGCGCGCGTATTTACCGTTCGACAGCCGCGCAACACACAGATGAGAGAATTCCTTTAAAAGCGCCAGCAGCAGCGGCGGCGGCGGCGGCGGAGGCTGTATCATTTTGGATAATCATTATATATACCGCACAGTGTATTAACCCGCATGTATATATAATACACACGGGAGCGTAGGCGGCGGTGTACACGTTGTTTCTGTTTCCTCTTTTTGATTTTTTTTCTTCTTTTTCTTCAACTCCCCCTCCCCCCTTTTTCAGCCTCGAAATCGTTATCATCCTGCACCCTGGAGCGATCGAATCAAGTAGAGAAAAAGAGAGAACGATACACGTAACGGGCACGCAGGGATTGTACGTGATCGCGCGCGCGCGCTAATTTTCGGGGGCTAATAATGCACCGCGAGGTCGTTAAAACTTCTCTCTCTCTCCCTCTCGCCTTGCATACAATTACATACCGATCGACCGTATCGTCGCGGTGAGCTCTTCTTGTTATTTTACGCTAATCGATGCATCACATATGCCTTCGACATCGAGTGACAAGCATAATATTATTAATCTGCTCGATACGTGAGCCGATATACGAACGTACTCGTGTTCTCGCATGCATAAGTTATTATTCATCGATAAAAGGCGATCCTCGTTTAATCCGAGTTCCTGCCGGGTCACGTGCGCGCGCGAGAGTTCAATTACCAGACACGCGTCGTTTTACGTTACAAGCCGTATACGATACATATATTATATATACATGTATTGTTATTAGTCGCATCTGTGCGCTCGCGAGCTCTCGTGATGTACTTATTACTGCCTCTGCTTGGACCGACAGTTTCGATACGTATACATATGTGCTTCAGTGTGTGTTGTACGCGCAATGATGCAGAAAATATTTTCGCCGAATGTCGCGCAGCAGCGGCGCCGTGCATCATGCAGTATAAAATATAATACGCATGTATAAGCTCGCTTTATCTCGCAATTAGATCTCTTCTTGCTAATATAAAACTGCCTCGCATGTGCACATTTATGATTCGCTTTACTCTCTCTCTCTCTCTCTCTCTCTCGCTCTCTCGTCGTACTTATATTAACGAGCAAGATGAAATTACATCTATGTGTTTTTCTTTTTTTTCTCATTTAATCGTGACGATGCATCAATCGCGTTGATTCAATTAGAAACTTCTCTCCCTCTCTCCGCTTTCTGCTGAATTAACGTTTTAAAATGTTGAAATGTGCTCGCCCGAGAAGGGGGAAAGAGAGCCCTTTCTTTTTACGTTGCATTTATCAAGCGTATCGTAGGCGAACACGCATAAATACGCATAGCGACACGCGCGCTCGCGAGTTGTGCACGTGCCACTCGTTAACTCCAACACGCGCGTATACTACTGCACAGGCATTTACATATATAGTGTGTTTTTGTCAGTCTGTGTGTGCGCGCGACTACCGTGTGCAGCGCGTAAAAAAAAAAAAAAGAAGAGAGAGAGAGAGAGAGAGACAAGAAAAAAAAGTACGCTTGTAATACAATATATAAACGTGCGACTGCTGTGCGCGAGAGTTCGTGCGAGTATATATGTATTCTGCACAATATATGTGTATGGATATAATGCCGCATGCGCGACCGTACAGTCGTGGGTGCATTTCTAATCTCTTACAAGCCAGATTCAATTAGCATCGCGTTTGTCTCTTTCCGCTGCGGTAACGATCGCGTATACTACATTATGCGTATATATAGATGTTATATACATACACCGAACGACGATCGCTAAATGGACGCGAGAGAGATAAGACGATCGGAATAGGATTAATTAAAAACTGGCGTGAAAAAATAATACGTCGAATTCGAGGGAGAAAACGACAAATACAAAGCACGCTGTGCAGGCGAATTTCCGAGGAATAACACGATCGCTTTTTCCGTGCCGATTGGAAACCCTTCAAGCGAGCGACGTCGGAGACGACACTGCGCACCAGTGTACCGTGCAGCACGTATATTACATACATTTACGCCTTATATATATGTATATCGAGAGACCGGGTCGTCGACGTCGCGTCGTCTGGAACAAAATCCAGGGTCGTTACATCCGGTGGCGCACATTATACATATTATATATATCATATACATGCACGTTGCAGTACGCTTGTGTGGTTTCCACATGTGTGGCTGTGTGCAGCGAGGTATATAGATGAGCTGTGTGCCGCTGCTCTCGTTGTTAAAAAAAAAAAAGAAGAGACTTTTGGCCTTGTGTAGAGTGAATATGCGTGTAGGATGTGTGTGTCTGTGTTAGTGCATGCAAAGAAACATCTGCTCTCTTGTATTTCTTCACGGGCTCGAGAGAGTGAAAAAAAGAGAGAAAAAATAACAGAGCCTTTGATTGACCCCCTCCCCCATCTTTTCGCTGCTGCTGCTGATGATGATGATGATGTTGTTGTTGCTGCCGCCTTAACGGATGCGGAGTTTGCTTAGGGGAGTGTGTATTATTATTATATTTATACCAAAAATGTATGTTGTGTGCGCTTAAGATTCGTAGCTGTCGTTCGAGTACTCTTCGCTTATACAAAACGCAAGAAACGGCTCACTTGTCTCTCGACCCCGGACGAATTGGTTGCGCGTATACAAGTATACGCCTCCTCTCTTCGCTCCGAATTTCATAATTTTTATGATAAATATTTCGTAAACGCGCAAGCGCCCGCGCACTTATCGCGTGTCTCGATTATCGACGGATTTCGATGCGAAAAAAAAGCTGTCTCGTGGATCGTTCTCCTGTTTTTTTTTTTTTTTTTTTTTTAACGTGCGTGTACCAATTTGAAAATAATAAAGTCATTCAACAATATGTAAGGAGAATTTTTGTAACATTGTAGACCCCGAAAATTTTCTCCAAGTTTTCGCGTAAGATAGATGTCAGATTTTTCCAGACGGTGCGCTAAGGTCTTATGAGCCAAAAAGTTATTATTTTTAAGGAGATTTAATTTGTTTGGGTCGAGCGACCTAAAATGTACAATTCAAACGTGGCGGCGCCGTAAGAACTAAGAAAGCCCGAGTGCATCCACTCCACGCCACTGCACATTGAGATCGTAGAGGCGCTGAAATCGCCAGTATAGTTTCGTGGCTCGAGAGCACGTGCTCTCTAAATTTCATAATAATTTTCAGTTCAGGATTAAGACGCCGTAGCGTGGACAAGAAAAGATCGCATCGTTTTTAACAAGTGTTTTTCGTGAAAAAAAATTGTGACTGTGTGTGAGTGCGCAAAATCATGAAGTGTTTTGAAATCTTCGATAAAGCACTATATTTTACCAGACGTCGTTTTCACGGATGGGTTGAACATGGGCAGTATATCGATGCATTGATAAACTGTAAAGAATCGACCATTTGGGAGGATGAAAACGATCGACTTCGATTGCTTCAAGCATTTGCTGACTTAGGCAGTGTTTATAAGGGCGCATTTTCATTCCGACGCATTTTTCGGACCGAACAAATTAAACGTCTCATCTTGGATTCCATAAACAAACAGTTTATATATCAAGGACAAATAATCATCGAATTCTTGGCCAGGAGCGGGTACAAGGACGAGCCCGAAGTTGATGAAAATGGCAGACCAGTGACACGTCGCACCACACCAATTCATCGCGCGGCTGAAAACAATCACCACGGCCTCATCCATAGTCTGTTTAAGATTTACAACAGATTTGACGTGAATTTCACCGACGAATCAGGCTACACGCACTTCCACGCGGCCTGCCAGTCCGGTTGCGAGTATGCCGTCGCGAAATTCCTCGAGCTCGGGCAAGATCCCAATTGCCTCGTGCCAGCAACAGGCGATTCACCATTGCTCTTGGCTGCGAGGTACGATCACACGAAGGTGGTAGAATGGCTGCTGAGAAGTGGCGCCCGTCCGAATTTGGCCAACGAAGATAATTTGACACCTTTGCACGCCATTTGCCGGCATGGCCAGTACGTAGACACGGCGAAGCGGTTACTCGAGATCAGCGACGAAGTCAATCGACCGGTGGAGATTAACGCCCGGGATAAGTTTGGCCAAACGCCGTTGTATTTAGCTGGGAAAAACGGTTTCGAGGAGATGTTCGCCCTTTTGCTGAGACGAGGTGCGAATCCGAACTTGGCTAACGAGCTCGGACAGACTCCTCTGCACGTTATTGCCGAGGCTCGTGAAACCCCAGATATGATGGAGCTACTTTTTCAGATCAGATCAGAGAAACGTCAGCCGGTGCGGATCGATGCCCAGGACGAATCCGGTAAAACAGCACTTCACTACGCTCTGGAGCTCCGACGCGAAAGATCTGCTGAATTCCTTTTGAAAAACGGCGCCAATCCAAGTTTAGCCGATAAGTATGGATTGACTCCTCTGCACATTATTTGCGATAAGCCTGCGCTTGCGGAAAAATTTTTTCAGATCATGACTGATCAAAATCAAATGGTGGAGGTCGATGCCCGGGACAGTTGGGGTGAAACACCACTACACTATGCTCTGAGGAGCGGTCACAAAAAGATAATCGAATCGCTACTGATGAGAGGCGCAGATCCGAATCTCTCGAGCGCAACGGGATCAACATCTTTGCACATAATTTGCGAACGACGCATGCCTAGCGATGACGATATGATGAAAACATTCTTCGAGATTACTGACGAATTGGGACTGTCGTTGAACGTCGATGCCCGGGACAAGTGGGGTTGGACACCGCTGCAATGGGCCGTCGAGAGAATTTTTCCGCATTCTGTCAATGTTCTCTTGGATCGTGGCGCCGATCTGGCAAGTTTTGTTTTTCCCGCTGAGAGTCCATTTAACAAAATATTTCAGTCGCGACTTAATTTTACTTCCGAATCGGAACTAGTCGGTCTTCTGTGCATCATCGATGATCTAGAGAACAAAGGATACGAATTGGCTCAAAGCGGCGCCCTAACGATTATGAAAGTGTTCGCCGATTTTGGGTCGTTCGCGACGACCGAGGATCTCGACAAATGGTATCACGACGACGAGAGGTTCGCGATAAAAGCGAAAAAAATTATGGTGAGTTCGAGTCTGTCGCTCTACGATTTGATCCAACTGCGACCCAGGGAGGCGGCGAAATTACTCACGCTTTTGGATTACTACGATTTCGTGTCGTATGGATTTTCAGAAATCCCTGTAAGAATGAGAATGATTTGCGCTCTGCATCTGCGCGAAATACTTTCGAGAGGATTTTTCCGGCCCTGGGCACTGGAATCTTTCGCGGCGTTGACGCACTACCGCCTGCCGATTGTCTGCTGCGAGATGATCATCGATCATCTAACGAACCAAGATTTGTATAAAATTTGCGTGGCGGCTGCAGGCCTAAGTGATGTCAAAGAAGTATCGCAATAACGATAATCATATTTTCGGCATTTTTCATCAGTTAATATTAAAAGCCAATAAACTTGAAATAAAATTGAATTAATTTATTCGCTTGCATTTTAATTTTTCGTAAAATATGTATGATCATTTTCACCCTTGTATAATGAAAAAAAATTCCAACCGCATCCAAAAAAAATCAAAATTGCCACCACCGGTGACATTTTTGAAAAATTGCAAAAAAAAACAGCACCAAAAAACTCAAAACTTTTCAATTGAAAAGATCCTCAAAAAATCCCTTTGGATACTTACATTTTACAAAAAGTCTTTTTACGTATTGTTGGGCGTGACACGATTTTTTTTCAGATTTAATAAAACTGGTCCGCACGCGTTTTTTAAAAGGCTCGTCGTTGATTACTAACTGGTACCCCTCAATGAATCGAGCTATTCCTTCAGATTCGAGTGAAAGCGATGATCGCGCATGTTTTATATTACGACGAACTTGTCGTGTGTACGTAACGCTTAAATGTGTGGGACCTTAGTGGCGATTTCGGTGGGTCGTTTTTTTTCTGAAAAATCACGCAATATACATAAAGACGCGTTGAGCCGCAGACACGCATAATCTTCATAAAATACAAATCCATCGCCACCGAATTGGCTAATTCAAACGGCAAGGAATTCTTTCTTTTTTTACACGTGGACCCCGAAGATCGTAAGCATTCATACATGGATGTTTCGTTATAATATCTGTCTCGCGTCTGTAGCGAATCTCAAGTTCAACAGCGTGTCTATCGATCGGTCTCGCGATTGTTTCCGGAATCCATAAATTTTCGATCCACTTGTGCGAACAACAAGGATCGGCGCGTACTCCATACGTTATTTCGTTATTTCGATGCTCTTCTTTTCGTCAAACGAGCCGTGTACTTGTACATATCTCGTTCAGTAAGTAAGTAAGAAGAAAAAAAATCTCGAAGAAGCATGAGACGAATCGATCGTCTATATATATATAATACAAAAATGCTCGAAAGATACGCATATACAAACGTTGCCGGCTGTCGCACTGATTGCTTAGAGATTTATCGGTTCTCTCGGCTCTTCGTTATCTCTACGCGCGCGCGCGGCTTTCGCTGTGTGCTTTTCAGAGTCGCTTTATACGTATTGGCTTAAATGTACACGTACACAATGCAACGACACACACTTTATACCGATATATCTACGTACAAATCGTGTACAGTGCACGAGGGCAATGTGTGTATGTGAGAGACCGGCAAGAGTCTCGCCTTTTTTAGGTATTACATTATATACTTGCAACACGCTTCTGCTGACTTGCCATCGGACGCGCGCTTTCGTGCAACGATCATCGTATGCCACATTGCGAACGTATCGTAATAAACGTACATAATACAACGACGCGATAAGATTGGCAAGCGCTTTCGCGCTTTATTATTTTTCTTCTTTTTTTTCCTACGATATATGCTGGTACTGCATAACGAGTGCGAGATGACGATTAAATCATAAAATAATTTTAAATTTGCAACGCAACAACAATGGCAAAAAAGGGAGAGAGAGAGAGAGTTAAACGAAAGAAATACTTTTCGCGTCGTCGTTCTCGCTCTTTTGCTGCAGTGCTCGCGACAACAACGATGACGACGACACAGTCGATGCACTTTATATACTCACGCACGCACGAGCGAACAGGTTGTTCGAGTGAAAAATTATATCGCGCGCGCGCGCATAGCGCGTTTCTCGGATACTTAATGGGTTGACCTTTTTCCATTTTTTTCATTTTTTTTTTTCATCTTGGTTTATTTCGTGTATTTTTTTTTTGCTCGCTTCTCGAGCCACGCGCGTGTTTGTTTCATTCGAGAAAAGAATGTCAATTATATCGATTTGGAGAACGCGCCGCGCGACCAAGTCGTCGACGCTAACTTTTAACAATGATACCGAATGTATTTTTCATTTTCTTTTCTGGGAACATTTCTCAAGTAGGTATACGATCGCTATTAAAACCGGATTTTTACCTCGTTGCCGCCGTCATCTCGTTTGTTCTGTCTCTCTCGCTCGATCGCATGCTCCGCATCTTTTCTCTCTCGCTCCGTCGCTCGCTCGTTGTGCGAAAAAATCGGAAACTTTTGATTTTTATTTATTCGATCCAATCGTTTCCAAATTATCCACGTGACATTGACATTTTCATCCTACACGATCGTCGTCGTCGTCCGCAGCCGGAGTGTCATTTCACATTGTACAGGCGCGATGACAGTCGCGTTAAAAATCGACCGAGTGCGTTTAACCAGCGCACCGACCCGCATTTCGTAATGTCGACGCGAATTGAACAATTTAGGTACATATAAACTTTCTAAAATGTTCATCGACGAGATCGTTTAAACGCGCTCTATTACGGCGAGGCACGCCGTTCTCCTACATAAGACATATTTGTAACAGCACGCCTTTTACGCGAAAAAAAAGCGAACTCGCTGCTCGCACGCATCTCTCTCTGTCTCGGTCTCTTTTCTCACACGCAGCAGCGGCGACGCGCGAGAGGGCACATATACACTCGAAACAGTGTGTTCCTTTTTTTTTTCAATTACACTTAATAAGTAGACACTTATTTTGGCTCGAGGAATTTTAACTGGACTACCGAACACGCGCGGTCGGAGTGTACACATTTATACGGTGAGAGCATCGTAATTTTTCGAGAGGCCTTGTACGAGAGGCAGGCTTAAATATATAGACACACACACTCACGCACTCGGAGCACATGTAACAGAGGCAGGTCACAGGCTCACGCGCGCGCGCGAGTTACGACTTTTCGAAATGATGAATTGTTCGCGCGGGGCATTACTCAAATTTATATTCCTTCGGCATATCGATGTATGTACCGATACGTCACGCGCGCGCCGCGCTTTACCCGGTGAAATACCAAAGCGGGAAATATGTTCATGTATGCACCTCTATATTATCACGGCGTGCATGAGCGATGATATTTTTAAGCGCTCGCGTGCTAAAGCTTACATAATGTGTGCACGCGCGCATACGTACACACACACGCAAACAAAAAGAAAAGAAAAGAAAAAAAGAAACAAATGTATACGTCTCTCGATGATCGTTAATGTCTTTGGTATTCGAAGCGATGAGCCGTGCGCTTAATTTCGTCGTGATTCGATCAAGTTTTTCGCGCGGCGCGACTATAATGTAGTTGCATGCCGTGTTTTGACTCATCGCTAAAACTCATTAGGCCGCTTCACCGGCGTATAATGAAGAGCTGCACTCGAGAAAGAGCTTTATCTGTTTTCCACGATGTGTATATATGTATATAATACGAATCTGAATAAGCGATCATCGATTCAATAATCGCGTGGAGGAAAACAGCTCTCCCTCGACGCGAGTGCGTGCGTGTCTCCGATAGATTATTTTCGCAATTTCTTCACCTACATTCGCCGCGCTGCACGTACATATATATATAAAATTGTCAATCTTCTATCTATATATATCCGAGCGCGACGCACTGCACATTTTCATCGCGAGTCACGACGGCGCGAAAGAAAGTCGTCGTTCTCATGGATGCAATATAATATATATGGGTCTAAAGCGCGAGGCAAGAAAACGTCGTCTTTCACTCGCATAGGCGGAATACGTTCCGCAAAACTCGAAAGTTTCTCCGCTATGTATACCTACCTACCTACTACAAGCTCTGTCGAAAGGTAACAAAAAAAAAAAGAAACAACGACAACAACAACAAAAAGAACAACAAGAGACAACCGACGCGTGTATCTCCTCGAGACAGCCGCATCGATTGCCATTTTGATTTAACATTCGCGCAATTAACTCTCGACTCGACGACTCTCTCTCTCTGTCTGGCCTATTCTCTTTTTGCGCGCAAAATTCATTATCGCTCTCGCGAGCTTATGCGTGGGTTGATAGACGATAAGAGATACGATATATAGGCATACATATATAACATTGTACGTGTGTGCGCAAGGTGTTAATAAGGTTGGCACACACGCAAACACACGGACATACGCATACACCCACGCTCGAGAGTCAAAGCGAGAGATAGAGCGAAAAAAAATATCATCATCGGGCGCGCTTTATTGCGCGATATACGTCATGTGCTTGTCGTGTCTGTGTGTATGTATATAGGTAGGAAAAAGAGTGTGCGTGCAGATGTGTCGTCGTGGGGCACAGACTGCCACGCGATGATAATAGGTATTAGTTACTTGTCGCACGTACGCTCGAATGAAGCGAACTGATTCGATTACCTGTTTTTTCGTATTTTTTTACTTTTTATTTTGTATTTTTTTATTTTTCATCGCTTTTTTCTCTCGTAGTTATCTTCTTCGCGTCGCGCGTATTCCCCCGACGCAAAAAAGTAATTTATACCAAAGTTTATCGGTGCGATACAGCCACACGTTATTATTCGTTTTTCTTTTAATTTAAAAAACCTCGAAACACGGTGGTGACATTCGGCCGTGGGTGCGTGTTCATGTGTGTGCGCGCGCGTTCGTGTGTGTGTGTGTGTGTGTAAATTAATCGCTCCAATTGGCGCGCGAGCGCGTGTCATTCATGTGCCGCTCTCGCGGTGAGCGACAATAATGGAAGAGAAAAAACGAGCAGCCAGCAGCAATAGAAGCGGACGCAAGAGCAGCTCCGTAATGATACAGCTTCGCCGGCCGCTGTACGATCCAAATGGTGAGAGTTGAAAGTTCGGTGATTTTTCTTTTCGTGTCAACGCACTCGTTACCGTATACGTATACAAGCAGGTACATCGTAGATCGACGAGTTTTTTTTTATATATGTACGTGAATTGTTCCACCGCACAGATCGCTTTCGAAGAGTCGTAAATCGCACCACTAATATAATTGCCCCGGTGTTTGATTCTTCGTCGGATATGACGCGCTCGCGATGACACTTGTCACGAGGCGTGTCGAGTATAAGCTTTAAATACACCCGATAAACCATGATTCCTCGCGGTGAAAAGGTGTGAACACGCAGGCTTACACACATATATCATGTAGCTAATTTTCCATATCTCACTGATTTCACTATGTGAGCGTCCACCCGACCCATTTTCTAAATAGCCTGGTGTATATGTATAAAAAAAAAAGAACGTCCGATACCGATACGCGTTGTAGCCGAGCTCTCCCCTTTCGCGAAACCGATTAACATCGTAAAAAAAATTTAATAAAGAGATAATCATTGAGGTGAGTGCGCGCGCGCGCGCCGCCGACTTTATATACTATACACGCATTAACTTCGATCGAAAAATATTTGAGGAATTCGGGCGACAGCTGATTGACGCGATCGCCCGCGAGGCGCATTCCAGTTATATTAAGCGAAAAAAAAAACAGCCAAGAAAATAATAACGAACGTATATAGATCGATAAGCTTGTGCGCTCGGCGTTCTCGAGTATCTGAATCAGCGCGCGCGCGAGCCCGACAGCCGCACCGGCGAGGGCGTTCGTATTTTATTCATTCGAGAGGAGGTAAAATTGCGTTCGAGTGGTTGAAATGAAAAATAAGCGCGCGTTTATTTTGAGATTAGTATGCTCGGAATGATGACGATAATGTGCTATGTCATAAGACAAACGTAAAGTGCGTACACACACACACATAAAAGCAAAGAGACACATGTGCTACATTAAGTGTTAAACATTACATGATGTCATAATGGTACTGTATCCTCTTGTAATCCCTCTCTCTCTCTCTGTCTTTTGTATCTGTGCCTGTCTCACTGTCCTCTCTGCAATATGTGTGTTTGTGTGACGCATAACAACTTCCGTTTTAGTGCCCATATATACACCTGATATATACGCGTGTGTATACAACAAGCAGCGAAGACAGGCGCGTGCGCCACCGCCGCCGCACCTGTCGCTATTTATTATGTAAGGATCGCGATAATTTGCATGCTGTATACGATCGCTGATTGATACCAGGAGAAAAGAAAGAGAGACGACGATGATGATGATGATGATGATACACGCGCTTATATCAAGCTTGAAATTATCGACGATCGCATCGGAGCTAGATTATACCATTAAAAAAGAGTACAAGAGAGAGAGAGAAGGCTGATGGATTATTCCGAAGACTTTTAAGTACATAGCCACGTGCAATCATACAGCATCGTTAGCGATTTGTGATACGCTGTAATAGCTAGGCACGTTTTTCTTTTTTCTTTTTTTTTCATTTCGTCGCGTGCATATTATACGTACGATATACATATAGGATAATGACGAGACGATAATATTTAATTTCACATATAATGTACTAACGTGAGAAATTCGTCTCTGCGGCATCGTTCGCGAGATATTTCGGCCGATCGAGCGGAAAAAGAGAGAGAGCGAGCGAGCGAGAAAAAAAATAAACACTTGTTTACGATCCGCGACTCGCTGTCTGTATATATACAAGTAATAGATGCACAAACGAGTTCGTGCGGTTCGACGTGCTTATTCATGCGCGCGCGCACCATAAGTTGTCAGTATGCCCCGCGCGCATAATATATTTCACGCTTATTACACGCGGCTAACGTCGTTATTTATTACTGTCTTTTTATATACACACACACACAGATCTCGAAGAAACGAATTAATTTCTTTTCCAAAATGTGAAGGAATAATACGAGGCGCGCATTCCGATCGTGCGTCGTATATATAATAAAATTATACGTCGCGCGCGTGTGTATAGAGAACTCGATTGCAAATCATCGGCTTTTCGTTGCGACGAAAAAAAAAAGCAACGAAAGAAACAAATATATAAAATAGCCAAGTTATTGTTTGTGTATCTCTCTCTGTCTCCCTCCTCGCGTCGCTGAAAATCTCGCCGTTGCAAATGTGCGCAGCGCGTCAAATCTTAATCTACGCGAGCCGCTTATAATCCTCGAGAGTTGCACAATAACAATTTATAGATAGTGTTGTTGTATTAAGCACATATTGTGTCGAGTGTGCATGCACGCGCGCGCCCGCGAGTAAACAAGAATGCGAGCGCTCGATGATAAACGGCGACGGCTTTTAATTCATTTTATATTTTTTTCTAATTATACGAGCGAGGAAAATTTCTTTGTCTTTCCCTCTCTCTCTCTCTCTCTCTCTCTCACTTGGCATTAGCTCCAATCAGCTCCGGTACCGTGCTCTCTTTCGAAAAAGAAAGAAAAGCTCGCCTTTTTTCCACACGAGGTTTCATCACATTAACATGCATACGTTACAAGGGATTATGTACATTTTTCCTCGTGTGCAGCGTGGCACGCGCGCTTTTGCGCTTAAAATTTCTGCTCGCGTACGTATATACAATATTACATACGTGCACCTATATACACACACAAAACGGTACCTCGCTGTATGTATATATGTATACGTGCGCACGCTGCACTGCACGTATTTTACAGGAAAAGAAAAGCCGGCACCTGTATGCGAAAGCCAGCTCGCGAGGAGTTCGTGTGCGGCGCTATATATATACAGCGACGTGCGCTTGCATATATACGTATACGTACAATATAATGTGTATGTATGTATGTACGTACACGAGACGAGGAATGCATTTAATATACATATATGTACAGCGCGCGGGCAGGTAGCAAAGGCAGCAGCAGCGGTGAGGCCTCCTCTCTCTCTAGTAACTGACCGAAGAATCTCCACGCTATGCTTAGGTATATATAGGCGCGCGCGCCTTCGAGTATCCGTAATACGATTTTATCGAGAAAGTGCAACGCGCAAAGCGAGCGACCTATGCACGCTCAACGTTCTGTGTGTGTGTGTGCGTTGTGTATACTTATATACTTGTAATATTTATGAAAATCTCGTTTAGTCGTTAACCTTTATTTTTTCTCTTTTTGCCTGTGTATAAGCGCCGAAGAAAATATTATAATAACGATATACTAACGCGTGTGCAAGTATTTTCTCTTTCTCCGCGTCCGTCTGACTGCACGTCTGCTGCACGCCGAGCGCGTTGAGTTGCGCAACCTGGCAGCAGCAGCGGTGTAGTACGTCTCGTCACCCGCGCGAGCGTGCATGCGATATTATGTTATGCACGCGCGTGCATTTACCCGCGAGTTTCTTTTCTTCTTCTGCTGCTGCTGTTGTTGTTGTAGCTGTTATACTGCTCCGCACTTGTCTCTTATTATTAAAATTGCCTTTTGAATTTTAATTATTCCTCCTATATACGTTGCCTTCTGTATCGGCGAAGCATATATACATACGCGTTACACACACTTAGACACGGGTCGTAAAATAAATTTTCATTAAGAGCAATCAACGACGCGCGATTCTCGTGTGCGCGAGCGCGTATTATTATATGATCGTTCGAGCTACTACCACTGCTGCTGCTGCTGCTGCAGAATATGGCTAGGCATTCGAACGTTATAAAAAAAAAAAAAATGATATAGTATATCATACGTATGCACGTACAAGTGCACAACCCGGAGTACATGGGCGCATCGTGCGTTAAAAAAACCTGGCGATACAATCATCATCATCATCATCATCATCGCCGCATCGTTGGCTATAGTTAAAAACTTGCGATTCGTATACTAGAGCGAAAGTATCATATACGAACGTTACGCTGCCTGTGCAATATATATTTTACGTCTCGCGAACGAAACAAAAATATCCGTGAACTTTCTAGCTTAAATTTTTTGTTATTTCTCGAAGCCTGCACCGTATATGCACCGTAAGCTTGCGCAGAGACTCGTATTATATATACATAATAATCATCGATATATCGTTGTACAGCGTTTAACGGTCCACGCTTACGGATCGGTATTAGGTATTATCGGTATATGCAGCGCTGTAGCGCGGTGCACTCCTTTTTCCCGCCTAGTGCGCGTATACAAGTTATCCCCAATATTTCGCGTATATGTATGCACGATAATAAAGCGATGCTTTATTTAAGCCTGGCAAAAACAGCTGTTTTTATAACTATATAGGAAAAAAAAGGTATACAAGAATATAAAGAATCGCGAGTGGCATTTGGCTCGTCGCATCTGGCGCACACACGTACCGTGCGTGTAAATGCACAAAATATACGTCGTATACGAAGAGTATCGTATTTTCTCTTCTTCTCCGCGGCATACGCTGCAAAGTCTTTCTCTCTCTTTCGCGCGAGAGGTATTAATGTGCGTGCAGTCGCGTTTTTTTGCGATCGCGCTCGCGCGCAAGCCGAGCGCAGCGATGCGACGCGGGCGTGGCGCAGCGCGGCTAGCTTTGCCGCGCGCGCTCCGGCTTATCTTCCTTCTTCCTTCTCCTTCTCTACTCCGCGCCTCCTTTTCTCGCTTCTTCTTCTTCTTCTCCGTTTTCTTCCTTTGCTCTTATATTCTTCGGAGGCTCGCTCTTATCACGCGTATATTACGCTGCTACTTGCAACTTATGATTTTTCGCGCGTAAATCCCCGCGTCTCCGTTTCTGCATATTATTATATTTGGCTCGCAAACGATGAAGTTTAACGAGCTCGCACAACGGTATTGTTGCAGGCGCGTATATATATTCGAAAAAGGGTTCGAATCGGCGCGTGTCGACCGGTACGCTTGCCCTCTTGTATGTGTGTGTACGAAGAAAGTTAAACTTAGAAAGTTTTCCTGCGACTTTGCCGCGGCGGCGCTGCATTTATGTCGGTGCACGCGGTTTGTACGTGCAAAAGCGCGCTTCCTGCGCGCCCGAGAGCTGGGGGCGTAATTGTAAAAATACATTTTACAACATATATACGTATACTGTTATTTCAATTTGTCGACGTTACGACCGATCTAACTCCTGGATTGTTTCTTTTATTTTCAGAAGAGGCATCAACACAGTATGAGCCGGTCGCTGGGCCGACTCGCCCAAGGTCGTATCAATTGTTTTGCCCAGCAACGCCGAGTAGTAGAAGCAGCTACGAGCAGCAGCAGCCACAGCCGCAGCAGCGATATCGCAACACCTTCAACGACGGCAACACCACTTGGCCGTCGAGTCTACATCATCACGGGCGCGGAATCGGCAACGATTACTATTACGACGAGCCGGAGCAGCAGCAGCCGCAGCCGCAGCCGCATCATCGCGCCTCGTGGCGTCGTCGTCCTGCGTCGTCGACGACATTTCTGTCACCGGAGCCAGCCTCGCAGCGGGAGCAGCAGCAGTACCAGGAGGCCAGTCTCATACAAAGGAGAATGACGCAGAGGGAGGATGCGCTCAAATTCGAGCAAAGCCGCATCAAGTCCCTCCAGGAGGAACGACTTCTCATACAGAAGAAAACCTTTACAAAATGGATCAACTCCTTCCTGCTCAAGGTGCGTGGCGATCTTCTTTTTTCTTTTTTTTCTTTTCTTATTTAATCGGCTTTTTTCTTACGCATCCTCGTGTTACTGTATTATAACGTTATATATACCGGCGCGGCGCGTATCCCATGTACACGACCGCTCGATCCGGCGCGTTATGCGATATTGCGTACCGAGAAAGAGACGGAAACAGGTCTTTGCCCCCCCTCGTCGTCGTCGTAGTCGTCGTCGTTGTCGTGAGACGGAAAGGTGTAGATACGTCGATGAGAAACGCGACACATGATCGATGCTCGATAAAGAAAAAAAAAATCGTGAGAAATCACGCCGCTCGCACGACGAGAACGAACGCGTCGCGCGCGGTATCGCGCATTAACGCACGACACGAAACAATCATCACAATATTACATATCCATTACATTTCATTATCTCACATACCGTGTTTACTTTATTATTTATTATTTGTCTCTAAAAAACAGGCACGAATGGAAGTGGAGGATCTGTTCGTCGATCTGGCGGACGGCAAGAAATTATTGAAACTGCTGGAAATCATATCGGGTGAGAGATTGGCCAAGCCGAACAATGGCCGGATGCGCGTGCACAAGATCGAGAATGTCAACAAATCGCTGGCATTCCTTCATACCAAGGTAAGAAGCCGAGAGAGCGAGATGGATTATAGATAGCACGGCTCTGCCGCGTGCATATAGATCGCGCATAAAAAAGTAAACGCGCGCGTCGCGGTGGAATCTTCTTTTATTTGCAAGCAAATTCATCGTCGTGTGTACATAAAACAAAATGTGTACATATCGTACGATCAACGATATCAATGAAGTACAAGGCCACGGAGCAAAACCACAAACGATCTCTCCTCGCTCCGCTTATATTGTAAATTCAACCGTATACACATGTGTGCGATCGATGATCGGCGAACGATGCGCTGCAAGTTTAACAAGTGCATTGTCAATTACGTACGTACGTATTTGTATGCGCAATATCCACGCGAGCTGAGTCATCATCGTATTGGAGAAAACAGCAGCAGCAGGGCTGGACCCGGTACGGAGCTGCTCCGTTTATACACGAGGAGGAGAGGAGCGCGGCAATTAAATTTTATCGCGCGCAATTTCTGGCTATTATCAAAGCTCGCTCGCGCGCGCGCGCCTTTTATCATCAATTAGCGAGCTGCACGACGATGATTTATATATCGTTTCGTGCTGTACGTGTGTGTGCGGCGAGCTGCTGCACGATTGAAATGAAGCGCGCGAGCGAGCGCTATACACATATAATGTTTAATATACATTTTACATTTTATACAACGCAAACCGTTATATCGTATAATGTGCGCGCTGCAGGTACGGCTGGAGAGCATCGGCGCGGAAGACATCGTCGACGGCAATCCGCGCCTCATACTCGGCCTCATTTGGACCATCATTCTGCGCTTTCAAATACAGGAGATCGAGATCGACGTCGACGAGGAGAACGAGAGCAGCGAGAAAAAGTCGGCCAAAGACGCCCTTCTGTTATGGTGCCAGCGCAAGACCACCGGCTATCCCGCGGTCAATATTCAAGACTTTACAGGTAAATGTACATTATATTTTTATTGTGTTCTTTTCAATTTGGCGCGCTGTAGCAAGAGCTGCCTGTATATATATATTCAGCCGCATGCTGTGACTCGAGAGCAATGCGTAAAATACATAAACGCGTCTATTATTGAGCGGAATAGTACTAGAGGCGCTAAAAAAAAGGTCAAGAGAGACGGAGAGAGAGAGTATAATTTATTGCGAATGTATATAAGTAGTCGAGTGCGGCTGCTGCTACTACAACACTGGTACACACAAGTGTTTTGTTTTCAATGAGCTTTTGACTACTACTCTAGACTATACACGAATGTGCAAGCGTGCACGCGCGCGCGCACTCGTATATCATATGCTCGAATATTGTTTCAAGGAAACGACGTCGCGCCTATAGTTATAGCCTCGCTCGCGCGAGCGCTAAAAAAGTGAATTAATCATCGAACGATCATTATTATTTTCATTATTATTATTGGCGTTGACACTTCTGCGAACTCGTGTAAATATTTTTCGTTTCACGCTTCGACGATCGAGAGCCGGGTGCACTTGAATACACACAAACACATAATAATAACGATGACAAATATTACAAAGTGAATGATTTTTTTTTTCTCTCGTGACAACAGGATCATGGCGAAGCGGTCTGGGTTTCAACGCGCTGATCCACGCCCATCGGCCGGACCTCATCAAGTGGTCGGATCTTCAGCAGACCAAGCACATCGACAATCTGAATTATGCGTTCGACGTGGCGAACTCGGAGCTGGGCATACCGCGGCTGCTCGACGCCGAGGACGTCGACACGCAGCGGCCCGACGAGAAGTCCATCATGACCTACGTCGCGTCCTACTATCACACGTTCGCCCGCATGAAGAACGAGATAAAGAGCGGCAAGCGCATAGCCAATGTGAGTGATCGGCATCGAGTTTATAAATGCTGTCGCGGTTCGGCAATGACTATATAACGGTGGTATCGAAATGTTTTTGTTTTTCCAGATCGTCGGTCAGATGATGGACGCGGACAAGGCCAAGATCCACTACGGCAAGCTCGTCGGCGAGCTGCTCGAGTGGATCAAGCACAAGATCGCCGTGCTGGAGGATCGCAACTTTCCGAACTCGCTGGAGGGCATACAGCGCGAGCTGCTGGCCTTCAAGCAGTATCGCACGGTGGAGAAGCCGCCCAAGTACAAGGAGCGCTCGGAGATCGAGGCGCTCTACTTCCAGATCAACACGCGCCTCAAGTCCCTGAATCAGCCGGCCTTCGTGCCGCAGGAGGGCCAGCTGGTGAACGACATCGAGCGCAAGTGGATCGAGCTCGAGCGCTGCGAGCACAGGCGCGAGGTCGCGCTTCGAGGCGAGCTGCTGCGCCAGGAGCGCCTCGAGCAGCTCAACTACAAGTTCGAGCGCAAGAGCGTGCTGCGCGAGGGCTACTTGAAGGAGATGATACAGGTGCTCAAGGACCCGAGATACGGCAGCAATTTGGCGCAGGTCGACGCCACCGTCAAGAAGCACGAGGCCATAAGTGCCGACATTCTCGCGCGCGAGGAGCGCTTCCACGATCTGTCCAACATGTCCGAGGAGCTGGTGCGCGAGCGGTACCACGGCGCCGAGCGCGTGAAGCAGCGCGAGCAGCAGGTGCTGCAGAACTGGACCGATCTCATCGCGCTGCTCGACCGGCACAAGATCAATCTGGCGGCGCTGAGCGCGCTGCTCAGTCTGATGCGCGAGATCGAGGCCAATCTCGACACCGTCAAGGAGCTGCAGCTCTGCTTCCAGAGCACCGAGGTCGGACCCCATCTGCTGGGCGTCGAGGATCTGCTGCAGAGGCACAGTCTGCAGGAGCTGCAGGTCACCGCGCTGGGCGAGAGCCAGAGGAGACTGTCGAGGCAGGCGACCCAGGTGCAGGCCCAGGTCAAGACCCAGGCGGACCTGACGCCGACCACGAGTCCGCAGCATCCGATCCTCGTCAAGGAGTCGCAGCTGTTGGACGTCAAGCTGACGCAGCTGAACGAGGCCTACGGACAGCTCGGCGAGTACAGCAAGGAGCGCAAGGCCAGGCTGGAGGACGCCAGGAACTTCTTCCAGTTTTTGCAGGATCACGAGGACGAGGAGTCGTGGCTGGTCGACCGTCAGCGAATCTGTCGCGCCGGTATACTGGCCAAAGATCTTCGTGCTCTCATATCGCTGCAGCAGAAACACAAGGCGCTCGAGGACGAGGCCAAAACGCGCCGGCCCAAGTCCGAGCAGCTGTGCCAGGCCGGCAAGAGGCTCGTCACGGAGCAGCATCCGTCCTCTCTGGAGATCGAGAACAGACTGGAATCGCTGCAGGAGCACTGGCGAGTCCTCGAGGAGTTGCTGGCTCTGAGGAAGAAGCAGCTGGAAGAGGCCGGCGAGGCTCTGCAGTTCTGCGCCGACGCCAACGAGGCCGACTCGTGGATGAAGGAGAAGATGGCTCTCGTCGCTTCCGAGGACTACGGGGTCGACGAGCCGTCGGCCCAGGCTCTGCTACAGCGACACAAGGACCTCGAGGGCGAGCTCAACGCCTATCGCGGCGATCTGCAGTCGCTCAACGCCCAAGCCGAGCGATTGAAGGCAGCCGGAGTGTCCGCGCTGCAGGTGGACCTGTTCGAGAACAAGGCCCAGGTCGAGCCGGTGGCCGAAGTCGAGCAAGAGGACTGGACGCAGGAGGTGCGACTCGTGCCCCAGGACGAGTGGGTGGACGAGACGGTCGAACGCATCGAGCCAAAGATAGTGCTGGAGGAGAGACTGGTGCCCCAGGTGCGTAGTCTCTATCCGTTCAGCGGCCAGGGCATGATCATGACCAAGGGCGAGATCATGCTGCTGCTCAACAAGACCAATCCGGACTGGTGGAGCGTGAGAAAGTCCGACGGCACCGATGGCTTCGTACCCGCGACGTACGTGCGCGAGATCGAGCCCAAAGTCATTCAGGTTCAAGTCCGCAAACCCGAGCGTGTGCAGGTCACGCAGCGAGTCAAGAGGACGCGAATGGTGAGACAGGTCGTGCCAGTGCGCCGTGTCAAATCGGTCAGGTCGGCCGTGAAGCCCGCCAAGAGACCCTGCCCGAGCGACAGCGAGAATCTGGAGAAACGCATGAAGGCCATCAACGACACCTACGGACAGCTGCAGGAGTTGGCGACCCGCCGACACGCCCTCCTGGAGGACGCGATCAGGCTCTATGGATTTTATCGCGAGTGCGACGACTTCGAGAAGTGGATCAAGGACCGTGAAAAGATGCTGAAGACCGACGACTCGAAGGACAACGTCGAGGCGGCCAGGAGGAAGTACGAGAAATTCCTCACCGATCTGTCGGCTTCCGGCAAGAGGATCGAGGCGATCGACGCGTCGGTCGACGACTTCATCCAGCAGGGACACAGCCAATTGGACAAGGTCCGAGCCCGACAGAAACACATACACCAGCAATGGGAGCACCTGAACTGGCTGAAGGCCCAGAAGGAGAAGAGCCTGGAGGGCGCCTCCAGCGTCGAGCTGTTCAATCGCACCTGCGACGAGGCGCACGACTGGATGCTGGAAAAGATAACGCAGCTCGACACGGCGGAACTGGGGCCGGACCTGAAGACGGTCCAGGCCCTCCAGAGGAGGCATCAAAATCTCGAGCGTGAGCTGGCCCCGGTCGAGGAGAAGGTGCGCAAGGTCAATCTGCTCGCAAACAGCGTCAAGAGCACGTATCCGAACGAGCTGGCCAACGTGAACGCGCGACAGAACGAGATACGCGACCTTTGGGACAAGGTCCAGCGCAAAGCCATGGAGAGGCGAAGCCGACTGGAGGACGCGGTCGGCCAGCAGATCTTCATGAACAGCACGAAGAATCTAATCGGTTGGGCCAACGACACGCTCGAGGTGATGGCGGTCGTGGAACCCGTCAGAGATATAGCCACGGCCAGGAAATTAATAAAGCAGCACGTCGAGCTTGGCGACGAGATCAAAACCAAAGAGGACGAGTGAGTTTTACGACTTTTTTTTCGACGAAACCAACTTAATTTGTCTTAGCATAGCTCTGACTTTGTTCTTGATTTTTTTTACAGATTCCGCGAAGTCGAAGCTTTGGGAGGACAATTGCTCATTCGCAATGCAAATAACAACGAGGTCAAGGAACGTTACGACAAACTGCACGGTTTGTACGATAAACTGAAATCCGAATGGCTAGGCAAGGAGGCCTGGCTCGAGCAGTGCTTGGAATTGCAACAGTTCAATCGCGAAGCGGATCAGATCGATGCCACGACAAGTTCACACGCTACTTTCCTCGAATTCGACGATTTGGGCGAGTCCCTGGACGACGTCGAGGCGTTGCTGAAGCAGCACGAGAAATTCGACAATACTCTTCAGGCGCAGGACGACAGACTGAAAACTTTCAGCGACGTTGCGGATAAACTGATAGCTCAAGATCATTATGACAAACAGAAGTGAGTGTAATTATTGACGCTCAACGATGCATTCTTTGACATAGTAATTTCAAATGAAACTTTTTTCCACAGTATCAATGAGAAACGCAATCAAGTTCTGGCGCGTAGAGCCAATGTCAAGAAAGCAGCCAAACGAAGAGAGGCTGCGTTGAAGGCTTCCGAACAGTATCAGCAATTCTGCGCCAAATGCGATGATCTGAAAGACTGGCTGAGCGATAAAATGAAAACTGCATCTGACGAGACTTACAGAGATCTGAACAACTTGGAGAGAAAGCTTCAAAACCACGACGCTTTTGAAAGAGAGCTGAGAGCTAACGAGGGTCAATTGAGGGCGGTTAACAACGATGGAAAAGATTTGATTTCCGGAAAAAACTATCGGTATGTATCGACGGATTTTAAGTTTCGAATTCGCGTATAAATTGTAATTCTATAATCGAATATATTACTTGCAGCTTGGAAGATGTTGGAAATATTTTGAAAGATTTGAATGAGCAGTGGGCTCAATTAGTCGCAATATCGATGGAAAAAGGCAGACGTCTACGACAGGCCGCTGCTCAGCACGGTTACAATCGTATCATTGATGACGCTCGTCAAGATCTGGAAGAAATCGACGTTTCGTTAGCTAGCAAACAAGTTGGCAAAGATTTGAGGAGTTGCAAAGATCTGCTGAAAAAACATCAAATGCTCGAGACAAAGTTAAACCAATGGGAACAGAAAGTCAACGACCTCGTGTCGATGGGTCAAGAAATGGCCCACGAAGGCCATTTCGATGCCCCGAATATTTTAAAAACCAGCCAAGAGACGCAAAAGAAGTTCCAAGGTTTGAAGGAGCCAGCCAAACGCAGGCGCGAAGCTCTGGAGGAGAGTTTGAGATTCCACAAATTTGGATTCGAACTTGATGCCGAACGTCAATGGATAAACGACCATTTACCGCAAGCGACGTCGACAGCGATGGGACAAAATCTTCATCAAACTCAGTCCCTGTACAAAAAACACAAGAAATTCGAGGCTGAAGTTCAAGGTCACGAACCGATGATCATGAAAACTTTAGCTTTTGGTCAGACTCTCATCGATCAATCTCATCCAGAACAGAAACAGGTACAGTTTATTTTCAATAATCTACTCGAACGAAAAATTGCTCAAGTAACAAATGATACATTTTTACGCGAATAAAATTCGTTCAAAATATTTCAACGTTTGACTAGTTGTATGAATTTCATTGTACAGTTGGGCCACTTATTCATCTGTTGGTTGGTCCGAGGTAAGGATCGATGAAAACCATGTCGCGTGTTATTGTTGTGTGTTTTATTTTATGAAAATTGTTTCTTCACATCGTGCAGTGTTTCTGAATTAAAAATTTGTATTCGTTCACATTTTACACTGTTTTTAGCTTTATTTTGTGTTCAAAATTATTTAATCATTTAATTTCAGAGAATGGCATTTCACTTGTTGCATTTTTATTACACTAGCACCAGAACAACTGGAGTAACTTTCATAATAGCTTCTGATAATTGTTGTTACTATTTTTCATGCTTGGAGATCGAACTAATTTTGTATAATCTGTTCCTAGATACTTGAACTGTGTAACACACTAGAAGCAGAATGGAAAGATTTACACAACAAATGTACGGAGCGCAGTCACGCACTGGACTTGTCACTCCGAGCCCAAGAATTCTTCTTCGAAGCCGGTGAAGTCGAAAGCTGGTTAGTCGAGAAGAACGACATGCTCAATTCGACGGATTACGGGCGCGATCGTGACGCCGCCACGAAGCTGCTCACCAAACACAAAGTGAGTGTATTATAGTGCGAATATTTATAACTTCAAGTTCAGACTGCGATCGTAACCCGCGAGATTTATTATGCAATTCGCGATGCTTTGCAAGAGCGACCTTGACCAGAATGTACCAATTTTCCACGATTTTGCAGGCGTTGGAGCTCGAAATAGACACCTACAACGGCATCGTCACGGAGATGGGCAACACCGCCGCCTCGATGATCAATTCGAAGCATCCAGACTCCAAGTCCATTGCCAACAAGCAACAGGCCATAGCCCAACAGGTGCGTGCTCTGCAGCGACTCGCCGTGCTCAGGCAGCAGCGGCTCATGGAGAGCATGTATAGGCACGAGTACTTCCTCGAGAGTCGCGAACTCGAGCAATGGATCAAGGAGCAGGAGCAGACCGCCGCCTCGGAGGACTACGGCCAGGATTACGAGCATCTGCTCTTGCTGCAGGCCAAGTTCAACGATTTCAAGCACAGAATCGAGGCTGGTTCGGAGAGATTCAATCAGTGCCAGGTGCTGGCTAAAAAGCTCATCGCCAACGAGAGTCCTTACATTCAGGACATCGAAAAGAGACAAGAACAACTTGGGTGAGTTTCAAGATCGGTTGGCTTTCATTTCTTGGCAGTGTGCGTTTTTTCGATTTTTTTTCATTCTTTTCTGGTGTTTGGAATGGTTTTTTTCTCTCTTTTAAAATTGAGATTTATTTTACACGAACTTTGATGTGCATGGGTCTTCGTAATTTAGTTTCTAAGGAATAGAGGTTGTAGTGGGTTTAAACTAACAACATTTTTTTGCGTAATAAAATGCAAATATAGAAATGACGAGGATGATCCGGTGCTCCAGGTGAATCTTAGACATAAATTAATTTGGTAAGTCTCCTGGGTGTTTACGATTTCTTTGAGGCTTTGAACATCGCATTAACATTTATTTTAATGCAACCAAATCTAACAATTTTTCTCGATTCATCAAGCTGTCACGCATTTTCTTTATTATTATTATTATCATGATTATTATTATTGTTATTGCTACTATAATGGTTTTGTTTGCGAAATTTTCATCAATCAGTCAGTTCGTTGCTTCAGCAAATTTGATTGATCACAAAACTTGAATTAATAAAAAAATTCTACGTCTTGACAGCGAGTCCTGGCAGCACCTTCTGAAGCTCGTGCGCAATCGCGAGCAACGTCTTCAAGCTGCCGGTGAGATTCACCGTTTCCATCGCGACGTAGCCGAGGCTCTGTCGCGCATCCAAGAGAAAAAAGCCGCTCTACCCGAGGAGCTCGGTCGCGATTTGAATTCGGTCCTGGCCTTGATCCGACGCCACGAGGGCTTCGAAAACGACTTGGTAGCGCTCGAGGCGCAATTGCAAGTACTCGTCGAGGACTCCGCTAGACTGCAGGTTTTGTATCCGGGAAATAATGCGGCTCACATCGAGCGTCAGCAAAAGATCGTCTTGGCAAATTGGGAGGAGCTGAGAGAAAGATCGGCTCATCGCAGAGATCAACTGCAAGCCAGTTGCGACTTGCAGAGATTCCTCGCTCAGGTATGCCAATATCCATTTCTTTTTCTTTTACGATCCTTGACGATTTTTTTTACATTGTATGATTATTTTTTATCTTTTGTAGGCACGAGACTTAACTAACTGGATTTCGGGATTGTGCGCTACCATGTCGACGCAAGACAATGTACGTGATGCTGCCAGTGCTCAAATTCTCAAAGCCGAACATGACGCTTTGAAAGGAGAAATAGAAGCTAGAGAGGATACCTTCAGTTCAGTTATGGATCTCGGAGAAGCAATGGTACAAACTGGACACTATGCTGCTAGTGTAAGTATTTTAATAAATTAGAGATTTTGAAAAAAAAATTTTTTACTCATAAAGTTTTCAAAACCGAATATACAGGAGGTTGAAGAAAAATGCACTCAACTTTTGAACGAACGCCAAAAATTGCACACGGCCTGGCAACAGAAAAAAATTTATCTGGATCAACTGATCGATTTGCACTTCTTTTTACGCGATGCCAAGCAGCTTGACAATTTGTCATCGACGCAAGAAGCTGCCCTTAGTAATGACAATTTTGGCGTCTCGGTCGAGGAAGTCGACGCTCAAGTAAAGAAACACAGCGAATTCGAGAAACTCTTGCTCACGCAAGAAGACAAGTTGGCGGCTCTGCAAGAACACGGCAACAAGTTGCTCGCCCAACACCACTTCGAATCGCGCACCATAGCTCGCCGATTGAACGAAGTGGTTCAGAGACGAGACGTAATTCGTGACTTGTGCGACGCGAGAAAGACGCGCTTGGAGGCGAGCTTGCTGCACGCGCAGTTCACCAGAGACGTAGCGGAAGCTGAAAGCTGGATCGGTGAGCGTCAAAAGAAACTGGAAGCCGAGGCTTCTAAGGGACAAGGGCCGAGTTTAGATGACAAAATCAAAAAATTGCAAAAACATCAAGCGTTCCAAGCTGAATTGACTGCCAATCAGAGCAGAATAATAGATATCAATACCAAGGGCGAAATCTTACTGGCGAAAAAACACTCGCTCAGCGACGAAATTCGCCAACAGCTCGATCACTTAATGTCTTCGTGGACAAAACTGCTCGAAGATTCCGAAAACCGTGGCCGAGGCCTCGAGGAAGCTCAAGACATCTTGGAATTCAACAGTCAAGTAGAAAAGATCGAGGCTTGGATACGCGACAAAGAGATGATGGTACAAGCTGGCGAAGTCGGCAAAGATTACGAGCATTGCCTGAGTCTTCAAAGAAAACTCGACGACGTAGACAGCGACATGAGGGTGGACGAGGAGCGCATCAATAAAATCAATCAGCTCGCCGATAAATTGATAAAGCAGGAAAAAGACAAAGAAACGAAAGCCATTCAGCAGAGAAGAGACGAGTTTAACAAGAAGTGGTTAGGTCTGCAGGGTGCATTGGGAGCTTACAGAGAAACCTTGGGAGGTGCTTTGGAGATACATCTGTTCAATCGCGATATCGACGACACCAATCAACGCGTCGTCGAAAAATCCATGATTATGAACACCAACGACGTCGGCAAAGATCTCGCGGGCGTCGAGCAACTCGTGCGAAAGCAAGAAACCATGGAACGCGATATGACGGCTATCGAAGAGAAATTGCAACAACATCACGCGGAAGCTCGCGAGCTGTCGCACAAGTATCCGGAGAGCGCTGCTCAGATCAACGCCATGCTGTCGGAGCTCGATGCCAATTGGAACGAGCTGCAGCGTCTGACGACCGAGCGTCGCACGAGCTTGAACCAGGCTCTCGAGCTGCACAAATTCCGCAACGAGTTGCGCGAGCTCGAGAGCTGGGTAACCGAGACGATCAAACGCATGAACGAGGTGGAAGCGCCGGCCACCATATCCGAGGCCGAGGCACTGCTCGAGCTCCATCAAGAGCGCAAGGCCGAGATCGACGGCCGGCAAAAGACCATTCGCGCTCTGGAGGAGCACGGCAAGCAGCTGATACCGCTGGGTGAAAATATTCAGGAGAATCTGAATCACTTGCAGAAGCTGCAGCAGCAGCTCAATGACGCTTGGTACAATCGCAAGCAGAAACTCAATCAGGCGCATCAGCTACAGCTGTTCCGCGAGCAGGCCAATCAGGCCGACGGCTGGCTGGCGTCGAAGGAGGCGTTCCTGAACAACGACGACCTCGGCGAGTCGCTGTCGAGCGTCGAGAAGCTCATGCGCAAGCACGAGGACTTCGAGAAGATGCTGATACCGCAATTGTCGCGCATCGACGAGCTGGAGAAGTTCGCCCGGGTCGTGCTGTCCGAGGGCCACTCGGACGCGGCCAGCATCGAGTCGCGCCTCGCTGCGGTGTGCTCGCGTCGCAACAAGCTCAAGAGCAGCATCGAGAGCCGAGGCGCCATGCTCGCCGAGAGCCGTCGTCTGCATCAGTTCTTGCGCAACGTGCTCGAGGTCGAGGGCTGGCTGCACGAGAAGCAGCAGGTGGCCAGCGACGAGAACTACCGCGACGCGACCAATCTGCAGAGCAAGATCCAGAAGCACGCGGCCTTCGAGAGCGAGCTGTCGGCCAACAAGGGCCGAGTGTCCGCGGTGACGAGCGAGGGCGAGGCCCTGGTCGCGGGCAATCACTACGCGTCCAAGGAGATACAGGCTCGCCTCGACGAGCTCGAAGCCGAGTGGGAGCTGCTACAGGAGACCAGCAAGCTCAAGAAGACTCGGCTCGACGACGCCTACCAGGCGCTGCTGTTCAGCCGCACGCTCGACGAGTTCGAGGCCTGGATCGACGAGATCGAGACGCAGCTGCAGTCGGAGGATCACGGCAAGGATCTGTCGACGGTGGCGCATCTGCTCAAGCGGCACACGAATCTGGAGAACGACGTCATGAGCCACAACGAGGCCTGCGAATCCATCAAGGAGACCGCGGCCACGTTCCAGCGACAGCAGCACTTCATGCGCGACGAGATCAAGGAGCGCGCGGACGCGACCATAGCCAGATATCACGGCCTGCAGGAGCCCATACAGATACGCCGCGACAATCTGGAGGATGCCAAGCTGCTGCACCAGTTCGCGCGCGACGTCGAGGACGAGCTTCACTGGCTGTCGGAAAAGGAGATCCTGGCGGCCAGCAAGGATCTCGGTAGCTCGCTGACCACCGTGCAGAGGCTCCAGAAGAAACATCACGCCCTGGAGGCCGAGCTCATATCTCGCGAGCCCGTGGTGTCGTCGCTGGCCAGCCGAGCCACCGCTATGGTTCGTAGCGGCCACTTCGCCTCGGAAAAGATCGACGCCCTGTCGAGAGAGCTGCAAGAGAAGCTGCTGCATCTACGAGATTTGGCAAGCATTCGAAAGCTGCGACTTTTGGATGCGGTCGAGTCCCAGATGTTTTATGCCGAAGCTTCGGAAGCCGAGCAATGGATCAAAGAGAAGCAGCCACTCCTCAATTCGTCCGATTACGGCAAGGACGAGGACTCGGTGCAGTCGTTGTTCAAAAAACTCGAGGGTGTCGAGCGCGATCTTTGCGGTTTCACCGGCACCGTTGAGAATCTGAAAAAATTGTCGAAGGGATTGGTCGAGAGGCATCACTTCGACAGCAAAAACATCGCCTACAAAATGTCAGAGATCGAGCACAAGTACGAAGACCTGCAGAACTTGAAGGAGAAGAGATCGCAGAGACTGCTGGAGAGCGAAAAGTATCACAGATTCATCATGCAAGCCGACCAAGTGATCGAGTGGATCTTGGATCAGACGACGATCGCGGCGTCCGAGGATTACGGGGCGGACGTCGAGCACGTCGAGCTACTCATTCAGATGTTCGACAATTTCATGTCGAGCCTGATAAGCAGCGAGAACCGCATGACCGGCATCATCGAGGCCGGCCAGAAGCTGATCGAGGAGAAGAATCCCGAGAGCGGCAAGATACATCAGAAGATCGACGAGACCAAGCAGCAGTGGGAGGATCTGAAGGAGCTGGCACACGCCAGGCAGGAGGCTCTGGCGGGCGCCAAGCAAGTACACACCTTCGACCGTACCGCCGACGAGACGATCTCGTGGATCCAGGAGAAGGAGGCCAGCTTGGGCAGCGATCACGAGTACGCGCACGACCTGGAAACGATCAAGGCGCTCGTGCGCAAGCATCAAGGTCTCGACACCGATCTCAAGGCCGTTAAAGAGCAGGTCGAGTCGGTGCTGGAGGAAGCCTCGCGACTGGCGGGTCTTTTCCCCGACGCGACGGAGCACATCGCCGTCAAACACGAGCAGGTCGACGAGGCCTGGAACGAGCTGCTGGAAAAGGCTGCTCAGCGCAAGAGCAAGCTCGAGCAGGCTGAGCAGCTGCAGGCCTACTTCGACGAGTATCGCGACCTTATCTCTTGGATCAACGAGATGCTGGCCAAGGTGACGGCGCCCGAGCTGGCGCGCGACGTGGCCGGCGCCGAGGCGCTGATATCGCGTCACAACGAGTACAGGGCCGAGATCGACACGCACGACGACGCTTTCAGCAAATTCTACGAGGACGGCCAGAAGCTCGTTCAGCAGGGCCACTTCCTGGGCAAGGAGATCCAAGAGAAGCTCTCGATACTCCGCCAGAGAAGCGGAGTGCTGGAGGAGACCTGGCAGAAGCGCAAGATCATTTACGAGCAGAATCTCGACACGCAGACATTCAAGAGGGACGCCGAGGTGCTGGAGAACTGGCTCGCCAGCCGCGAGCCCATGCTGCGCGACGAGCAACTCGGCGACTCCATCCCCCAGGTCGAGGAACTGATCATGAAGCATCAGGACTTCGAGAAGACGGTGGAGGCGCAGGAGGAGCGCTTCAATGCGCTCAAGCGCATCACCCTACTGGAGAAGGCGTTCCTCAAACAGCAAGAGGCCGAGCTCGCTGCCCGCCAAGCCGAGAAGGAGCGCGTCGAGCGCCAGCGGCTGGAGGAGCGCAAGCGCAAGGAGGTGCAGCGCATCACCGAGGAGCGGAAGCGCGAGGAGGACCGGCAGCGTTACGTCGAGGGTCCGCATCGCCACGCGAGCTCGCGCGACGAGATGAACGGCAACTACGACGAGCGCAACGACATGAACAGCAGCGGCGTCGGCAACGTCAACAATCGATCGCCCAACAAGAACAACAACAATGACCACCTCGTGGCGGCGCAGAACAACGCGCAGCCGGCCAGCGGCAAGTCCGGCTACGGCAGCCTCAGCCTCAGCCACATGCTGAGCGACCGGCTGCGTCGCAGCGGCGGTGCCGCCGACAACATCAAGCGCGCCGAGAGCATGAAGGTCGACACGAAGAAACCAAAGAGAACGCCGAGCTTCACGACGCGCCGGCGCACCCAGAGCTTCCGCAAGCATCAGCGCATCGAGAACGTGGACTCGCTGCCGCCCGTCGAGATCCAGGGCGTGCTCGAGCGCAAGCACGAGCTGCAGAGCGGCGGCAAGAAGGCCGCGGTGCGCTCCTGGAAGCCCTACTACACGGTGCTGTGCGGCCAGCTGCTCTGCTTCTTCAAGGACATCGAGGACTTCCAGGCGAGCAAGGCCGCCACCGCGCCCATCAACATCTTCAACGCCACGTGCGAGCGCGCCGAGGACTACACCAAGCGCAAGAACGTCTTCCGGCTGAGGTGCACCGACGGCTCGGAGTTCCTCTTCCTCACCTCGAGCAAGCAGGACATGGAGGACTGGGTGAACAAGATATCGTTCCACGCCAAGCTGCCGCCGAGTCTGCAGCTGATGAGCTACGACGACTCCCAGAAGGACAACTTCAATGCCAATCAGCAGTCGTCACTGGCGAGCCGCGAGCACCCGGAGGACGCGCTGTCGACCGGCAGCTCGCACGCCTCGACGCCCGAGATGGAGCGCAAGAATTCCGTCATCAGGCGAGACGTCGTCGTCACCACCCCGAACAAGCCGCAAAACGACAATCAACAGATGCAGATGCATCATTCGCCGCTGCAACAACAGCAACAACAGCAGCAACTTCATCAGCAGCAGTTGCAGCAGAAGCAGATGCAGAACAAGAAGCGCCTCGAGGCCAGTCCCGTCGGTGCGAGATCGCCAGCGCAGCAGCAGCTGCAATCCACCGACAGCCAGACGCAAAAAGAGTTCCTGCAGATGTACCTGCAGCAGCAGCATCAGACCCGCATGTCGCCTCAAGCGAGGCAGCAACACATCCAGCAGGAGAGTCACTACGTGAATCATCCGGTGGACAAGCCACCGATTCCACCGAGGGCCGCCCCGCCGCCGATCCCGGCTAGATCTCCGAGCTTTGACAACATGCCGATCAGACGAATCAGTGGTGCGTAATTTTCGGATTTTTAAGCATTTTTCATCTGTGATTGTTTATCGCATTGTATTTGTATTTGTGTATAAAATTTTTATCTCACGATGGTTGGTGTCTGCGCGACGATTGTTTCCACAGATGTCGATCTTTATGGAAATCAGCAGCGACCGCAGTCGTACGCGCCGGGCAGCGGTAACATGAACCTCAATGGGAACACGACGTATTTAAATGACGGTAATTGGCATAGATCGCCTCATCATAACGATCACAATCCCACCCTCCATCACATCCAACATCAAGGTATTCGAACTGCCAGTAAAATGATTGTTCCAATTCTTTTATGACTTTTTATCACGCCATGATATAAGAAATCGTATCATGATTTTTATCAAGCACATCATTTTTTGTCACCGTCACTCATGTTTTGTTTTTCGTTGCATTTTATTTTTTTCTAGAAATAGTACCCCCATTGCCACAAACTGCTCCGCCACCATCAAACAAAATTGCTCATTGGAATAATCCACATGACAATGGTTAGTTGTTCGTTTTTGTTTTTGTGTTTCATGCATTTCGCTATACAATTGTCTTTTTGTGCACACGGCATAATTCACTTTCTCAATTGCTCTCGCCTCGCGAATCTCGATGTAATCTTGATATAAAGAAGACAAAACTCGTTTTTCCATTTGCAGCTTACGGCAATCTTCCAGTTAATGCGAGACCGATACCGGCCCAGCATCCAATGACCACGTTCCAAGGTGGTAGACCGACGTCGCTGCCGCCGTACGTGGCGCCGCCGATGGCCTCGCCACCGCAGCAGAACATTTCTCCCTCACCGCAGAGCATCTCGATGGTGGACGGCAGTGTCGGCAGACGCGCCTCCGAGAGCGGCTCCGAAAGCGAGCACAGCTTCAATTCTCGCGGCAAGGACAAAGATTACAAGAAGAGCAACAACATGTTCGGAGGACTGTTCAGAAAGAAACCGAAGCACTCCAAGTCGTAAAAATTATAATATAACTATAAAAAGATGTGTTTATTGTTTGTTTTGAAAGATAAATCAATCCTTTTAGCGTTATTTTACCAATGGTTTTTATGATGCTGAGAGAAAGCTGAGTTTTTATATATATTTTTATTACTCATCGTTTCTGTCGTGTGCATAAGAATATTATTAGAAATCTTTTTTTTTTCTATAATTATATTATTATTTTTTTTGCTGTTGACGATGCTTAAATATTTTTGTTGATCCTAACATGAAGAAAGAAAAATAGCTTTATTTTTACCTATGTGCCCTACGTTTATGTAAAAGTAGAATATAGAGTGAGTAAATGAATTTCCGATCGCTACAATAGTGCAATCAGCATCGGAGCATCGTGTATGTTTGGTAAATGCATGAAAGAACGATTCTACTACAAAAAATGCTATGTATATGACGAAAATGAAATCAATGAGTGTAAGAAGAAGTTATTGAGAGAAATTAATGCTCGACCTTATAAGCGCCAACAGATTTGTGTATTTATTATTGTAAAGATTACTATATAACATATATGTGTTTGAATTTGTGTTGATAACTATTGTATATTCCACAGAAATTATATTCTATATATGGGTTTAAATATTGTTTAACTAATTATGCTGTATGAAAAATATCTGATTCTTATAAGTTTATGGATATAGATTATCAACTATTAATCATGCGTAAGAATGGAAATACTTTTGTGTAAAGTGTATCGTAATTATTGTATCCTTATTGACATAGTCCTATATAAATCATGTTTTGTTATTATTATTTATACTATGCTTTGGGACGTAGTACTAATAAATTATAAGTTTACATAATCAAGTCTAATTTAAAATAAAGACGTGACTGATTGAAGTTATCATAAGTTTATAATTATTTAATTTGTTAATAAAAGATAACATTTACCATTTAATCTAATTATAGAGTAATCAACGGACAAATAGATCAGTATTTAAGTTGCATTCTTACCTTTATGTTTTCTAATCATATTCTATCGATTAAATTGTGGTATAAAATTGGGTTCAAAAAAGGTAAATTTTTCTTTTTTTTATCAATATCAAGACGTTTATTTTCGATGTAATTGAATTAAATACAGAAAAGAATTATTGATAATGTATTTCTTTGACTTTGATTAACAATTGATAAGTATGTATAAAGATAACGAGAAAAATCAAATGGGTTTGACCCTATTGATCTCCAAGTTTTTTTAGGTTTTTTATCATCAATAAAAAAAATATCTAATAAAAAACATCGAGTCGCAACACGAAAGTTATACAGATGTTTTTGTCTAATTTGAGTCACTGACCTTAATTAAACATAAATATAAAAGAAAGATTGACAAGGCAGAGAGAAAATTGAATTCTCTTTTTTACACGAGTTAGGAAATGACGTGTACACGAAGATACATTTTGTTACACATTGTAAGTAAATTCTTAAAACTATTTTTAAAAAAAAGTCTCTCGAACGTATATACGAAGATATTGACACACATTAATCAATGCTGTTCAACACCCCGAAAAAATGCACTATTATCCACACAAATACACGTTAATAATTGTATCTCATGTATAGGCCAACCGTTTTCCGATATCTCGTCTAACACTAGGGGCCCATAGCGAGCAAACGTGAGTCTCTGCTTCATCAATCCTTAAAAAAAACTTAAATATTTTATCGAGTACACCTTATAGCACAGCGTGTAATCAATACAAATGCGCGTAATGGTATTTTCGTTCATCATATTTGTTTTTTTTTCTTTTTTTTGAATTTTTCGTAATTTTTTGTATGTTTTTGTTTGGTTGTAGTTTTGAGTTATAAATTTTTTTGTCTTTTCTCTTTTTTTTGTTTGAAGTTAAGTTTGTTTTTAGTTTTTATAGTGATCTAACTTGGATCAGCTGTTGTTGCCCAGTGAAAACTGCCTTCTGTCACAACACAACTAGAGCTTAGCACAATTAATGATGGATTTCTCGACATTATTTAGTTAATTGAAGATTCGGCTAATCACGTTTTTCATAATTCCGTATCTTAACATCGAAGATTCTGCAAGCTTGTTTTAATTGCCCGATATACATGTAATTTTCTTATGAAACACAATATTCAAAAAAGCTATATAATACACTCAAATGTAAAGCTAGTCACGCGCATCACAATTCGTGTCAAATGTTGACTCATCCAAGTTAATAACGGGAAAGTTCTCATATATCCAGAAGTATTGTTTTTCGAACAAACGATAATACTTTAGTTTATAAATCACGTTTGTCTACAATACTCATGATTTAAAAAAAATTGTAAAAAAAATTTCATTTTTAATTTATTTTAATGAATAAGATAAATTAAAAAATAAAACAAAAAAAACACAGAAAAAGTCCACTCGATTCTTAAACCGATTTTATTTAAGAATTAGTCAAGTGTATTTCTACACAGTTACAAGTAGCAGATAATCACTCGCATATCGCGCGAGATTTCTAGTATAAATATATATACACGTGTTAGTTCATATATTTAATACAAATATTTCTACAACGGACAACGCTCAACGCAGCTCTGGGTTTTTTTTTGTATTCTCTCTCTCTTTTCTCTCTCTCCCTCTTAGCTCTCCCGCTTAACTTGGATAAAATTCAAAATTAACCGTGAATTGAATTCGTTGAAAAGCATAACATTGATTGTAGGTTTTTTTCTCAGTTCGCTCGATGGTAAATTCAAAAAGTGTATTAATATATGTTACTTAGATCTTAAACTCCAATCTAGACATTCCTTAGAGGGGCTTAGATTGGGTTTCTTCTTTGCCCTTCTTAGTTTTGCGCTTGTTGAGTCTTGTTTCGGTTAGAGTAGTTCATGCGATTGGCGCCGCCCTGGCCGCCTCGCTGATTGTTGCCGCCACCCGTGCGGTACTGTCCCTGGCCCTGGTTGCCCGAGCGACGATCCATGGCGGAGCGCTCGCCGGTGTTGTTGCGTGGTCCACCGCCGGGTGCACCTCCTCGCGACGCGTTGTTGCTCGACGTGCGCTTGAACGGGTATCCACCTCCGTTGTTGCCGCCGCCGCTAACGCTTCCACCGTTGTTGCTGCCGTTGTTCTCGCCAGACTGTTGCCAGTTGTTGCGTTGTTGGTAGCCGTTTTGTTGATAATTGTTGTCATTGTTGCGATAGTACGAGCCGTTACCTGCGCAAACGTCACAAGTACGTTAGTCATTTGTTTACGATATCATTTAAACGAAGGATAGTTTGATACGATTAAAACAGATGATAATGAAAAATTAATCAAAAGATAAAAACAATTCAATGACACCTTAATCGGGAAATATTTCTCCGCTTATTTAAGACTACAAGTGCTCTTACTAGCTTATACGTAAACTAAATAATAGTTTGAAAGGAGAACTTTTGCTGGTCAATTTTTATGGACCTTAGCTGATTAATACATTTGAATAAGACATGAACGTACCTCTCTGACCGTTTTGTTGATAACTTCCGCGTCCACGATTGTTACCATAGCCGTTTGAATTACCCCTTCCTCTGCCACGGCCTCTGTATCCTCCGCCGTTATTACCGTTGTTAGCGTTATTGTTACCACTGCTGATGTTGTTTGTACGCTGAGCTTGCTCAGCCCAACTTGTTTCGGGGTTTTGCATTTGTGATTGCTGGTGCAATTTCTCCGTTTCTTCAATGTGAATATGAAGAACATCCTCGAACTGCTTCTTCTCTGCACCGAAATCGACGAATTTGTTCACGACGACGTCCGATTCATTTACGTATACCATGGAGAACTCATTAGTGTCTTCTTTTTCTTGAGGAGCTGACTCGTTGATAGTTGTTGGCTCATACGACTGGTTGGGTTGTTGAGTGAACTGCACATTGGTTGGAATGGATATTGGCATTGGCTGAGGCTGCTGCTGGGGGAGTGCTGCTGCCGCTGAACCAAAACTGGGCAGACGTGGTGCGATTTCTGCTGGTGGCTGTTGTTGATAAATCACCTGCTGAAATGGAAAACATTTATATATAAGTCTCATGAAAATTCTACAAAGCCTTTAGATGAAACAACAAACTAAATGTTTAAAAGCAACTATTTTACCGGATGTGTAGTAGTTACGACGTGCGCAGCAAATGACTGGTTTGTGAAGGTCTGCGTGGGAATTGGAGCATTTAGAGAGACAGCAGCAGCTACGACCGTAGCCGCTGGAGGAATGTGCGAGACTACAGGTGAAACTACCTGTGTAACTGTTGGTGGGCTGTTCTCTGGTGTATCAAGTTCCGATTCCTGGAGAAAGAAGAAGTTCGTCGTCGGTCCAATGACATCGTTGATTCTGGGTGGCTGTTGTGGTTGTTGTGGTGGAACCTGAGCTTGCACAGGCTGGGGCTGTTGTTGGTGCGAGAATTGTGGGGGTACTTGAGTAGTTGGTACAAAGGTTCCAGTGCTGGTATAGAAAGAAGAGTCCACTGATGCTTGAGGTAATGTGTGGAGTGCAGGAGCTACAACTGGGATTGGAGCTGCCAACGGTGCGGCACCAGAAACTACTGGAATAGCAGCTACTGGCACAGGGAAAGTTTGAATGGCTGGTGGTATGACTTCAGCAGGTTGGGGTTGTGGAATGTGTGGTTTGCTAGTTTCAGCAAATTCCTCTGGCTGCTGCTGCTGCTGCTGTTGCTGTTGTTGTTGTTGCGGTGGTTCGACCATGCTTGGCTGGGCATCGGCAATTGAAGTCTCAGCCACATCCTGCGTGACTTCCTCAACTTCTTTCTCCACAGCCTGCACACGATCAAAGTAACCACATTCATGGACAGAATTTATGATTTCCTTGATTCTGGCATAGGTGGTGCCAACAACTTCGCGCTGCTTGCCATCAACAATATGGACAAAGTGCTCTGCGATCTTCTGAGCTTGAGCGATGTAGGAAGGCTGAGTTTCCAGACGATCGTGCTTGAGCTGCAGCTCGGAGTACAAATCATCCAAAAGTTTCAGGTCTTCTTCACTGATCTTGACAGCACCATTGGAACCAGCGAGGAAATCCTTTCTGGCGCCATCAAAGCCCAAATTCGTCATGGTGTCTTGGATCAAAAGAACCTCCTTGACCTAATATAAAAAAAAAAAAATAAAACGACATTGTCAGTGAGCCTTGAATCAAAATAAAAAACTTGAATTGCCGGGGTGGCATAATATAGCTTGGCCAAATCCTCACCTTGGCGATGTCCTGCTGCACGCGCTCCAGCGCCTCCTTGCGCGCGATCTTCTTTTGTTGTTTGGCATAGTCATTGTTGATGCCGATGATCTGCTTGTAAAGCTCGCGCGTTATCTCGAGGGTCTGCTGCACCTCGTCATACTTGGCGACCGCTGTCTTTTGCTCCGGTTGAAGTTCACCGCCACGACTGACGGTCTCCCGGTATGTCTCGAGTTTTCCCTACATAGAGAGAGAAACATGAATGAGTAAACGCGTCGTGATAGCATCGCAGCCCATCGTTATCATTATCATTATTTAGGGAATGCCCTCGTGGACGTGTGTCGCGGTGTTTCGCGACTCTCGAAGAAGCGGGGTGTGCATCGTAATTCGAGACGACGGCGAGCACGGTGCCCATCGATCGCATTGCGGGGGCTGCAAGTGTGCACACAACGTCGACGACGCGGGCGACAAAGGAAAAAAACGTTCGTCGTCGAATCATTGATAAAGCATAGTAGCATATAGGCATCGTGTATAGACTCCAAGGCGTAGAAAGAGAGAGCACATGGGGACTGCCACGGTCGCTCGAGTTAGAAAGAGAAGGCAAGCACAAAAGAAAACATGGCCGACACGGCAGGCAGGCAGGCAGGCAGCGCGGAGGAATGGGATATAGATATATATGGGTTATAAAGTGCGACTCTGTATCTTCGGCTGCGGCGCGCCGTATAGAGTTTTGCCCTGCTCTCTCTCTCTCTCTCTTTCTCTCGGGTGTCCGTGTGTGTTTGCAGCTGCGTGCGTGCGTGCGTGTGTGCGTTGGCCGAAAGCCGGAAAGTTCGAGATGACGATGGCGAGTATTTTACCGGTGTTGGGCTGCACCAATGTTCGATGACTGTATTTTAATGCAAACACACACGCGCACACGTATACACGTACTCGGACGAGGACGCGGGTGCGCGCGAGCCGAGTAAATAATTCACGTATACGTGCAACAACGCAAGCATAACAAATTACCTTTTTTATAATTAATCCGCGATACGCAGAAGAGAGAGAGACAGAAAAACACTCGCGCGACACGACGACCAATGTACCTATATGTACCCCGCGCGCGCGATAAACACAAGAGAATCGCGGAGGAGAGAGTAGCAGCAGCAGCAGCAATAAACGAAATAAATAAATGACCACCAGCCGCGGTGTCTCGAGGGTATAACGTGTGTCCCCTTCATCGGCTTACCTTGCGCTTCTCGAGATTGCGGATCTTGTGCTCGATCACGATGATGGCCTGCCGTATCGGGTCCGCGGACTCCGTCGAGGCCTGTTTTTCAAGTTTGGGGTTGACAGAAGGCATCCTTCACGGGCAACAAACGCGAACTGAGATACTCTGGCTGTGCTCTCTGTGGCCTGCTCGCTCGGCGCGCAGCAGCATAGCATACACAGTACAGACAGAGAGGAGAGTATTTTATATAGTATACGCAGTATGGTATACGGCATTGGGTATACGTATGTGTAATATAAAGGTGCCCGTTACAATATTTCGCTGTATCGCGGGTGGGACAGCAACGCGACCGACGGAGAAGTGTGGAACTATTTTTCCCAGCTGCTGTGCGCCTCCAGCGATGTAATGATTCCAGGCCAGCTGCGATGTTATTGTGGAATCTACTTCTATGCTCGAGGCGCGCCAATTCAATTTTACGCGAGACAAGGATTAAGGAGAATGATTTAGACTCGGTGCAATTTTCTTTTTTGATACGAAAAAATTTCTTTTTTCTCGCTCTATATTTTATTGAAAAATTATCGATAAAAACATAAATTATTCCATAGTTTTGTTTTATAATCTCGCTATACAATTCGCACGTGTTGGCAATTCCATTTTTCATTTCATCTGTTTTTCGTTTGATACATAAAATTCATTGAATACAATGGTTATTTATAATTTTAATCGGAAGTGATTGGGTGTATTTGTTCTGGGGCGCATGGAAAGACGTTTATCAACACGTGAAATTTTACGCGATACAACTATAGGCATGCATTCGTTTTTTTGTTTCTTTCTTGTCTAATAAATGTACGATGTTTTAACAATTATGTTGTTCACAATTTTACATTACATAAATTTACACTTAATAATAATAATGGATGACGAAGAACCGAGAAAATCATCGGGCATGCGGAGCGGATGATTTTCCGTGCAGGTTTTTCGTTGGATGCCGTACGATTTTTTTAAATTTACTCATCTTTTCTCTTTCAAGTCTTGCTTTCTCTGATTATGAAGAGCAATGAAAATATTCATCCAAAGTCAAGTATGAATATCAATTATGGAGTGACGATACCGTGGAGGTAATCGGTTTTTGGATACGAACGCAACGAAAAAAAAAAAAAATTATTGGAAGCAGTTCTCTACACAATATAAAATATTACATGGCACAAACCCTATAACGTTGTTACATTTTTGTATGAACGTTTATTTTTTGTTTTTTTAAATTGATTAGTTATTCTTCACTCCGCCGTGTTCACACTTCGAGCAGTGAAAAAAATATTTTCCCTCTATTGTATTTATTCTCTAAAAAAAATATTTATCAAAATTCTTAAAAATAAAAATAAAATTTGAATAGAATTACAATTCATAGCGAGTACTCACGTACTTAATTTCATTTATACGTATATAATTACACTACGTACTAGGTCAATTGTTTACATATTTTTACAATTTTCGAATATGACTTTGCATGCACATATTCGCTTCAATAAAGTATTTCTCTCTTGATAAATACAGACTCATTGTCATACATTCCTCCACCATTTATAAAATTCAATTCTATCAGGCATACATTATTCTTGGAACATTTTTAAAACTTAAACGACGAATTACTAGATAAACTATAAACAGTAAATAATAATACCAGTTGAGGTTTTAAAAATGTTGATCAGCGTATTGTCGAAACAACTATTACAATGATTGAATATGCCATAATAATCGAGGTGGAAGCTAAGGTGAAAACTAATTTTACTGTGCCAATTGGAAGAAACAATTGCTTTATTATAGTACTTATTAATTTCATAAGTAGTAGGAAAAATATTCAAAAATAGAGTTGTACACTTTTTGTTTTATTTAATCGAACAAAATCAAGTTTTTTCAATAATTCATCAAAAATTATTTGTTCGTTTATTACTCCTCAAAAAAATGAATTGTATAACTTAAACGAGCAAACAAGGTATACAATAATTTTCATTACGACTATTCAATGATCGTCGGTAATTTAAAATCTTGAACTAAACAACAACAAAATATCAAAAAAGTAAATAACCGAAATTTCATCGTGATAATTAACATCTAGACACGTATCACAATAATTTGATTCGCAAGATTATTCTCGCCCATTTTGACGTACCTTTTTCTTTGTATGTAAAAGATACAGTCACATTACTTTCATATCCAGATTCGAAGAGAAAAGAATTTGTATCAAAAATGTTTGATTTTCATTCTCTTATATAATTTTGATATTATACTAAAAGATATCTTTACTAAATCTACATTTAGAAGTTTTAACTTGATAATTTGCCACTCGGTATAATTGTCAATGATATTTAACCTTTTTATAATCTGCTATTTATAATATTAATATCGTTATTCATAAATATACTTCTTACTGAATGCTTCGAAATAAAAAAGCTGCTATATCATAATAATTATTCGTTTGGCTCATGATCTTACATGTCATAAAGTGGAAGAAAAGATCCGGTATCATTATGCATATACTCGTTTATACATTTTGCATTTTAAGCTATTGAGAGAGAGAGAGAGAGAGGAAGATGCAATTGTTACGTTACGCAAAAAGAAAACAAAAACGATAACTTTCCATATCGAAAAAAGAAACAAGCACGTATCTTTACTTATAGCCTTATAATATAGTTGCCATCTCGTGATTAGTGGACTAGCTTGAATGCTATGAGCATAGCACTTATAAATATATCTATACATTTAAAAAAATAATAATGTACGTAACAAGTACCACCTCCATTATTATCATACGAATATCACGTCGCTAATCGATTGGATATGCTGCCCTTAGCGCTAATGAAATTTTCATTTTCACGGCTACCTCTCTACACACACGCATACGTATAATCATATTACACTACCGAATCATCACACATTTGCAATTTTTTTCTTTCATCTAGCGACGCCTTTGGAATTCGTCCTCTGCGTAATAATTATGTCCTATTTATACATACGTACCTAAGGATATATTGCAGCAATTATTATTATTATTATTTCAATAACCTTTTCTTTTTCTTTTTTTTTTTAAAGCGAATCATCGGATTACGTGGAGAATGAAGAAGGCGATATAAATTGATGATTGCTCTTCGGAAACAATACGCACGCGCTCGGGTTAGCCTGCAATACGTGAGTCATTTAATACATGTACTTTCATTGGTGGAGTTGAGAGAAATAACGCTTCTGCTCAAATCGGCTGAAATGCACTTATTATCCGAAATACTAGGAATAGCTTAGTCCGTTCATCAGACGTTGCTGTAGATTCAGCTGCTGCCGCTGTAATTGATTCTGTCGAATCTGCTCTTGCTGCATTTGCAACTGCTGCTGCTGTTGCAACAGTTGCATTTGTTGCTGAGCGGCTTCGTTGTTAAAATTGTCCTGGAGATTACTTTGCTGCTGTTGCTGCTGCTGATGCTGCTGCTCCAGTTCTTGACTCTGTTGCTCCTGCTGCTTATTCTCGGATTCGGCGGCAGCGGCAGCAGCGGCGGCGTTGGCGGCGGCGAGTTTTTCAGCTTTTTTGCGCACCTTCTCGTGTAAACTGTCGATCTCCGCCCAAATAGCTCGAACGTCCCTGAAGAGCTGCGCGCGCGCGAGCCAAGCGTGAAACATAAAAGACATTCTATGAGTATTTCGGGAGTATATACGTATATATATAAAACGGGTGCACGAGGACGAGATCCACCGTGCGCAAAAGCGAAGGAATACCGGAAGAGAGGCATGCACGGAGTGGAGAGCAGCTGTATTTTTTTTGCTCCCTTCATTTTCGAAAACTGACTCGAGTAAAATAAAAAAAAGAAGAAACGAGAGCACACGAGGAGAAAAGCTTTCTTGACGAGTCATCGAGTACGAAAAAAATAAAAATAAAACAAGAGTAAAGTGATCTCTCTCGATAAAACGAAACGGAGAAAGACGAGTAAGAGAGAGATGGAAAAAAATTTGCGCGAAGGTGTTTCTTCGAATTAGACGAAATGCAAGCGCGAGAGAGAGAAAGAGGCAAGAGGTATAAAAATTATACGAAACCTGATTGAGCCACGCCTCGTCTGCGAGCAGTTCGTTGAGAATGATGGTCGTGTCCTTATGCACGTCGCCGGCCCTCTTCTGGGCCACCATGCGTGCGCACTCGAGGAACATGAGGTACTTCTGATGCGCCACTTTGTTGAACAGGTTCACCTTCGTCTGGCACACTCGGCAGAAAAGAAAGTCCTGGCGAAACAAACAACAAAAAGAGTATAAATACAAAATTTCGCTCATTGGATTAATTCGTCGACATTTGTTTTTGTCCGTCCGTGTGGCTCGCTCGCTCGCGCGAGAATCCGCGCGCCTATAGGGACAACGCCATGTTACACCAAGACGCGCAACAACGTGTTGTATAGGTAGTATACATGCAACAACTCATTAATTATTCAACTTTAGAGCCTAGGTAAAAGAGAGTGAGAGAGAGAGAAATGCTTTTTTAGGGCCAATAAAACTGACACGCATTAAAGCATACAGCCCGGTATATATAACAGAGATTGACCGGCCTCTCTCTAATGCTTTTAAAAACTTCTTCAGAGAGGAGAGCAGAGAGCATCGAACAACGCAGGCAAAAAAAAGGAAGAGAGAGAAAGAGAGCAGCCGCCGCCGCTCCGGCCAAAATTGTAAAACGAAAGACAAGAAGAAGAAGAAAGAGAGACAACGGCACGCTATATACGCGCGCATCATCGTCGTGCATGCCGCGCGCTCCTCTCAACATATATAATACACGGTGTTGTTATACTCGTTTCGGTTCTTAATTAAATTACGTTTTTTCTCCCTTTTTATCTAGTCAATCATTCATTTTACAAATACTCCGAGTAGTATCATCTTTTTCTCTCTCTCTCGCTCGCGCTTATACATCTTTATTTACAATCATCATTACACGCGCTGGTGTGGCTGGCAGGTGCAAATTTTTTGAATTCTCTCTCCGATTATCGTTACGGCTCGTTATTATCATCGTTAAATGTGGCGACGGCGCATTAGAAATCTTTTCTATATGAGCGTTAGATGCGGCGGGGAATACGAGCCGTCGCGCGCAGAATGAATTGGACAGTTATTAAGCGAGAGCGAAAATTAACTTTCCGATTGCGATAACGAGGCGGAGAGAGAGAGAGACAGAGAGAGACGGTATAAATTTAGTTATTTCGGTACGCGAAACTTTACGCGGCGCAGATGTTTTTTTATCCTTCCTTACTTTTTTTTACTGTCGAAGATGTACACCACCGAGAGCATTACGAGCGTGTTTATGTGCTCTAATAAGGATTAAACTTTTTGCGCGCCGGCTTTTGCGCTGCTTTTTCGCAAAACGGGCGTATGTAACTACTATTCAACCTATACACACGCACACATATGTGATTCGGCCTGCGCGCAGTAATGTAGCGTCATTCTCACCGCGGCTATAAAGGGATTCCCTTTCTTCTTATTTATTTTTATTTTTCTGCTGCCTTTACTCCTTTACTTCTTTCCATCGGACTCCTCTCTTCTCTTATACTGTCTCGTGTATATGTGTGCTGCGCTGCGCTGCAGTATTTCGCGTGTGTCGCGCACTTTTGTGTATATTTTTCCAAGTAATAAAGCTCTTGACATTCGACAAAGCTGAGAGAAAGAAGACGCGCGCGCGAGACGCGGAGAGAAAGAAAAAGCAGTCCGCAAAGGCGGGAAGATGATTCGCGCGGCAGCAGCAGCAGCAGCATACGTGCATCGGTCGTAAGGAATTCGACTGGTTTTGCTATTAAAAAAATCTCGAGAACGCGGCATTTTTTCTTAATTAATTATATCAACGATTTCTCGAGGCATATAATGGACTTCTCTCTCTCTCTCTCTCTCTCTCTTCGGAGTAAAAATACATATTGCACGTCGGGCGCCTCTCTTTCGCAGCGATGCAATGCGGGGCTATCTCGCGCACGAGCCTCCGCACCACTCGCGTGTGTGTGCATATATAATATATACATATGTAAACCGATATAACACGCGTAAATAAGCGAGCTAGAGAGTCGAACTAGTTTCGGTCGGGCCCGCGTCGTCGTTAACGTCAAAAGCATCCTAAATGAATTAGCTGCAGCGATGCGCTTGCATTATTAAAAGAGATAGGGCTCTCTCTCGAACGAACGAACAGGTATTGTAATGGCTTGCATTATACATACGAATGTTCGACTCGTTCCTGTGCTTTTTTTTTCTTTCTTTTTGCCTTCGTTTGCGCCGCGAAAACGCCCCCCTTCGCCAAAAATTTAATACAAACAATACGCGATATTTACATATCCTTTTATGATTCGAGAACGATTTGTATACGTGCGCGTGTGCGTGTGCCTCCGCGCGTATTTAATACAAAACCGCGCACGTTGATAAAACTCATCGCAACAAAAGAAAAAGTAATCAAAAAAGAAAAGGTTTTATGGAGATTTGTGTCTTGCGCCGATATATCGTCGCGCCGCATCTTTATATAACGAGAATTTCCGCATGCGCGGCAGCAGCGACAATGTGTGCGCTTAATACGCATTTTGCGTTGTAGCATCCTACAAAACGAGCCGTGGTATGAGTGATGAAATACAAATTAGTCCCGGTTCGATGCGCGCACTTTATAGACGTGCACGCAGGCCAGGCCAGGCAGTGTGTTCCGTGTGCACCATACATACTATACACGACTGCACGATTTGTCGCCGTCGTCGCACTTGCGCACTTTAGCCTCCGCCGCACATACGGTCGTGTATTACGGATTTAGCGCAGTGTATAGCAGTGCAAAAGAGAGGCAGAGACAGACAGAGAGAGAGAAAGGAAAAAGGGAGAGAACACACAGGATGAAAAAAGGGCTGACTGTACACTAACTACTGCTCTGCTCTGCTGCCGCTGGGTAATACCCTCTCCCAAAGGGATGTATACGCACCGCACATTGCACAGTCGAAGCACACGCGCACGTATCTGTGTCTGTGTGTATACACGTTTTCTCGTTGTGTGCGTTTAGTATAGTATGTAGTTGGGCTTCGATCGAATGTCACGATACACACGCATGTGCGAGAAGAACGACAGATGCGCTGATTTCTATTTACGCTTCAAGATTCGTATAATGTGCATGCCGCGCGCGCTGATGTATGCGCGGCGCGGCGACGGCTCGTGTGCATGTGTGCGACGAGAGACGACGACGACGACGACTAACGCCCGATACATTATTCGCTTGGAAATTGAATTTTCATCGATTTCCGAGTGCCTGCGCGAAACCCGGCTACTATATGCACAAGGAAAGAGAGACAGTACAGATATAACAATAATCGAGGATTAATCAAATTACACTTGATTTCACGTGATCGTTTTTTTTTGTTTGGCATAGAGCTTTTCGTCGATCGTATATACGCGAGAGCGCAAAGGCGGGCGCATTAACAGATAACGATTAGAGCAAATATATGGAATAATAACAATCAGACGGTGAGAGAAGAGACAGGCGGCGGCGGCGGCGCGCACAAATACACCACACATAGGCACAGAGAGACACAGTCATCGCACACCACGTACCTTCTCCTGAGGCACTTGCGGAACCGGGGGACAGCCTTCTAGGGTCGTGCTATTGTACGGCTGCCCGTAGAGCAATATTCGGGAGAATAATTTGACTCTGCCGCAGCCCGAGCACGTCTTGTTTCTGTCGGCTATGTTGTCTTTCAGTAAGTTGATGCAAGGCCACGTGGACAAAGCCGTTATGACGTTCGACTGCCACTTCGTCGTCGACAGCAATCTCTGCTTCCGCTCCTCCGTGATCTCGTCGACTTTCTTCACGTTCAGCAAGAAGTACTCGTCTGCGGGAAAGAGAGCGAAACGTTAGCGTTGCACGTTCAACTTTGTTTTCGAGACGTTTTTTTCACGATAAAATTGTTTACCTTGCTCTTGGAAAATTTCAGTCAAGAAGTTGGAGTCCAAAGCTTGCGAGATCAACGTTTGTATGTAGACTTCGAAGTTGTCTTGATACTTTTCCGTGTCCTTCATGAACCTCGTGATCGCCTCCCTAAGCGCGAAACGAACGAAGAAAGAGAGAAAAGAGAGAATCGTGAACGTTAATGTCGTATAAATTAATTGACAGATCAATAAAATTCAATATCAAATAATTTACCCCTCGTCGACCGTCATTTGGTCGCGCAAAAATTCGACGATCGTCTCCTCCTTGTTCTGCTGCCAGAACTTCACGGGCACGCTTTGATAAATGTAGCGACTCTGCGGAGCCCAACCGGAATACTGTTGTGTGGAAAAGAGAGAGAGAGAGAAAAAAAATCATACATAAAAACATCGTATGCAAAGGTTTAATATAATATCACGGTGAAAAAGGAAAAGCAGCCGAGCTTGCGGCGGAAAAAACCATACCGTGGATATATTTCTGTACAATGTTTTTCCATTAGCCTGAAACGGCTCGTACTTCTGCAGCAGCGTCTTGCCGTCTATGCGCCAGAGCGGAGGGTACTCCTGATCCAAGTCGGTTTTTATCACAACGAACTCGCCGGACTGTAATAAAACGATTGATGGCATTGGTATCAAATTCATATAAATACATATATCGTCGAAGCGAGAAATACTTCCATACTCTGTATGGCAAATTCTATCAACGTATTTTATACGATACAATTAAATATATAAATGTTCCATTGAAATAAATAATACATTTATAAAATAAACAAGTATACGAATCGATGATGGGGTGCAGTTCTATGGATACAAAAAATAGCGTGTGCCGTTGAGCTTGTATAATGCATTGAGTGCATGAATCGTCCATGTGATAATATCGTGATTACGCAGATCATGACTCTTTTCAAGCCTAAAGCTGTATAATAATCTACCGTACTAAGCTTGCACAATTGAAATCTCTTGATTGAGATAAAGACTGATGATGAGTAATTGCTGTGATTTACCGTCACTAAGGACTCTCCGCTAGCCGATGTCTGCACGTGTAGCGAGGCGTACATGAGTTTTCGACGCATACATAAACAACGACAACGTAAAAGACGACGTGGAAGAGAAATAAAAAAAAAACAACATGGCCAAGTTAATAATGCGAGCACAAATTAATAAACAAAAATGTGAATGAAACGAATGAACGTATTCGAAACAAAAAAAACACAACGAACCTTGAACGGAGCGATGTCGATCTCGTCGTCGGCGAGGGGCGAGTGCGAGGAGTAGGAGGACCTGTCCTCGGCGGAACCCACCAGACCATTACCAGCGACGCTGCCCGCAGCCAAACCGCTGCTCCTGCTGTTGGCCACTCTCTGCGCCTCCACGTGGTTCTTTCGCTTTCTTCCAGGTCTCTTTGGTTGATGCTGCTGCTGTGTAGAGGACGAAGAATCGTCGAGAAAATCGCTGTGCCTCTTGTTGTAGGCACGCTTGAATATGACGGGCGGCCGGCCGCGCTTGCGCCGATGCTTGTGCTCGTCCTCGTCGGCCGACGACTTGACCGGCGTCCAGGCCGGATCCGAGTCCGAGTCGCCGAGCTCGTCGTCCATCTCGTCGTTGGGATCGTCGCCCTGGCCCGAGCGGCTCTCGCTGTCCAGCTTGGGCTTCTCCTTGGCCTTGCGCCGGCTGCTCTCGCGCCTCGGCATCGATTGCTGCTGCTGCTGTTGTTGAAGCTCTGCAAGCAGTTGGGATACTTTCATGATGCGACAATTTATAATATTTCACTGATGCACTTATATATTATTTATTATGTGCTAAGGTTGTATTCGCGGGCGCACGTTGTGTATAGGTACTGTATTACTGCGTACGAATACGCATTTATATCAGAAGGGGTCGTCGGTGTTATTATAAGGTTATGGCAGTTACGTATGTACGTAGAAAATGAGGTACACGCATGTGTGTATATCAAAACACAAAACAGCGTGAGAGAAAGAGAGCGAGGAAAATTTTTGCGGTCGCATCTCTCCGTCTCTCTTCTGCTGCTCTCGCGAGGTTGCGTTTCTCTCCTCCTGCGCCGCTGCTGCTGCGGTCTCGTTGTGTTGTTGTTGCGCCCCGCGCGCGCGGAGAGAGACATAATATACAGGCTCTACGTTGCGATTTGTATAGATACCATACAGCAGATATAAGTATAAGACAACAGGCAGACGTTCTTGCACACACATACACACACAATTCGAGATTCGAATAATACGATTATTACGTTTGCGTATATGTATTGTAATTTAACGTAAAAGTATGTGTGTGTGTGCCTGCAGATAATGACGGAATAATGCATCCGGTAATTTGGGAGCAGCAGCAGCAGCAGTCGCCAAAAAGTCACACATTCCCTCATTTAGTGCCCCGTGCGCTCACTCGCTCTGTGTAATTTGTGAAACCCTTTTGTTCCTCTCTCTCTGACAGTATATACCATACACTAAGAGCAAATAAATTTATTAAAACACGTCGGGGAGTAATTTCGCGTATAATCGAATTAGGCCGCATGGCGTTCGACACACAGCACAGGTCCGCGCGCAGTGGCGGTTGGCCCTTCGTATATATCTGCTGCTACACCGCCCCGAGTTGCTCTGTAATTTTCGAAAAACTGAGCCCATCTTCGCTACTACTACTACTACTACCTGCTGTGCAGCAGCAGAAAGAGGAATAAGAGAAAGAAAGAGAGAGAGAGAGACGCTTCCTGCCTTCATCTTTCTATCCTATCTTGTATATATACCTTTGCCTAATCATCCAATTATATATTGCGAAATAAGAACAAAAAAAAAAAGAAAAGAAAAAACAAATGAAAAAGGGCAACAAACGAACGAGAGAAGAACCTGTACGTATATATACAGTACACATCGTTCTGTGTACCTGCTGCTATATAGAATAAAAGTGTATCACGTGCCATGTTAAGAAGTATTCCAAGAGGGAGCAACGGCAAGAAAAAAAAATCTCGCTCGCTGCGAAGTTTGGAATGAAAAGAACCCCGTCGTCGATGCGCGGGGGTAATGGTCGGTAGATATATATAGGTACGTAGCAGCAGGTAGTAGCCCTGAGAGAGAGAGAGAGAGACGACTTTGAAATTAAACACGTTCTCGCTAACTTTCTTTCCGAAGCTTTCTCGATTGATCTGACACCGGCAAAAAAAAATTAACCCAACGACGAAGACGAAGAAGTAGCAGTGGGTATAGGAGGGAAAGAGAAGAGCAACGAGATACAAAAAAAAAGAGTAAATAAAACAAACTCGCGTGACCGTGCGTGTGTGTATTATGACCATTCCATTAATGTTTAGAGCTGCGTGTACGCCGCGAAATGCATGTATACGCGAGAGAAAGTCAACTTTTATTAGATAACATACAATGTAATGCAAAAAAACAGCGAACGCGCAAAAAAAATCAGAAAAAGAAGGAAGAAGAAAGGCCGAATAAAGAAGAGAGAGAAGCAGCGGCGTAATGACGTTGTAATCGAGGCGTTTTTATAAAGCTCTAATCAAATATTAAGTAAGCCACTTAGCCACCCGGCGGCGGCAACAACAACACGACGAACGCGTATATATACCAATACATACATACATAATGTATTACGAGAGATTAGAGATAAATATTTTTCAAGCACATGTTTTTGTTACAAATAAGTCGAACGATACATGATGTAGCTCAATTATAACATCGCGCGTCAAATTTTGAAGCAGAAGAGAGTGACCGATAAGTATATTATATATGTGTGTGTTTGTACGTTATTTGCGACATACAAGCGCGCGAGTTGCGAGCAAATATTTTCACAACGCCAGCATACTATACAGCAGCAGCTAAGCGGCGGCTCTCGAGAATTTCTCGGAGTTATGTCTCACAAGATGATTCGCGCTGGTCTCTCTCTTATAATACACGACTTTGTGTCGAAACTCTCGGTAATATAATGTGTGTGTGTAGCAGTAGCAGTAGCTTTCGTGTATACATGCACGCGCGCCTCATCCGAATATAACGAAAAAATTACGCTTCGCCAGCGAGAAAACCGCAACAACTCCGTACGTATGCGAGCGCAACGCCGTGTATAATGCCCGCAACGATCCTCTAATGAATATGCGAACGCGTCTAGAAATCTTCGCGTGCGCGAGCCGCTCATCACATTGTAACATTACTATTCTTTCTTTCATTTTTTTTTTCATTCATAACCCGTAGCTCTGGAATGCAACAACGTTTATATCTTGACAAAAAAAAACGCCGGTGACAATTAATCATCTTCGCAACGATGATTGCCGTGCCAGCAATAAATAATCAGCTCTCCTGCAAGAGTTGAAGAGAGGGAGAACACGTTGCAAAAGTATATTACAAGAAAAAATTTGTATTAGTACGCGTGTGGTGCAAAGTACCCGCGCTGCTATAGAGAGATAACGCGTCTCTGGTCTTATATATGACGCGCGGTGACAGCGCGTCAATTGTATAATCGCTCGTGTGTGTTCGAATTATGTATATGATCGTAAGCAAGCTCGCCAACAATTGTAATCGTATCTTTCCCTCAGTCTCATAGATTAATGTATACGGAGCTTCGCGTTTCTCCCAAGATCGCTGCTTTTTTCATATCTCTGCGTGTGTATGTGTGCGTGTAGGTGTATATAAATCGGACCCGCGAATCACATGTCGAGATGAATATACGTTTATGTGTACGCGCGATGCAGTCGGTCGGAGTCTCTCTCCCTCGCTAATGAAAGCCAAAACCGCAGAATCGCACGGATACAGAGAAACGAGGCACCACCAGCAGCAATGGCAACAGCAGATGAAGAAGAAGAAGAAGAAGCCAAAGCCCCGCGAGACGGGCGAACAGTATATAGTATAATAAAATTAATAATGGAAAAAAAATAATAGTAATAAGTAGTAAGTGTATGTAAGAACTCCTGCGAGATGTGAAACTTCTTTATAATATATTTTTTGGTGTGTAAATAGCAGTATAAATAAAATTAAAATACGAGCAATTTTAAATCTAATCAAATCAATGAACTTGTTTATTTAGATCGTAACACTCGTTGTTTAACAATGAGTCAAAAAAAAAAACAAAATTATAGCTGTTCCTACATATCAACACATATGTATCGAAGCTTCGTATCATTTTTCAACATCTTTCCGTTATCGACAGCGTTGGCAGCGTTGGCAGCAATATTTACTACAAACGAAACTCGACCCCCCCGTCTAGCTCTGTCCCGTAGCCGCCAAGCAGACGTGCCACAGATCCCGATTGCCGAGGCGCTCGACGATCTTCTCGCAGCAGAGTATCGGCAGCCTGAAGCGCGTCAGCTCGACGAACGAGTCCAGGGCCCAGCCCCGATGGAAGCGCCGAGCCATCGTCTCGCTCAGATGCGCCGCGCAGGCGTGAAAGTTCCAGGCCGACAGATAGGCGAAGTCCTGCTGGCGCGTGAAGTCGAAGTAGTCCTTGTGGGTGAGCGGCGGCGGTCGCGGCGAGGCGGCGATCAGATCGTAGAGCGACAGGCTCGGCACGACCATGATCTTCTTGGCCTCCTGGGCGAAGTACTCGGCGTCGTACCAGCGTTCGGGCAGATTGGCCGGCCGCTTGAAGACACGATGCTTGTCGAACAGTCGCATGAGGGTGAGGGCGTCCTGGCGGTCGAGCTCGTAGCCGCGCTGCTCGAGGCGCTCGACCACCGCCAGAGCACCCGAGACGAGCATCAGCCGCTTCTCGATCTGTTTACTTCGGCGCGACTTGAACCACTCGTCGAAGTCGCGCTCGGCGGGGAACGCGAAGCCGGCGAGATCGGCGCCGCGATCCAGCAGCACGTCGACCACGCCGGGCAGAAAATTCGCCACGGCCAGCTGCAGCGGCGTACGGCCCAACTCGTCCCGGGCGTCGACCTCGACTCTCAGACCTCGACGCTTGCTATTGTTATCGTTATCGGCCATCTCGAAGAATCTCTTCACCAGGTCGTCGTCGTACTCGCGGCGGCTGATCATGTGCAGCGGAGTCGCGCCCTTCTTATTGGCCAGATTGGGATTGGCGCCTCGGCGCAGCAGCGGCTCCGCGAGCCACTTGCCCCGCTGATGCTTCAGCGCCAGATGGAGCGGCGAGTCGCCGGTCTCGCGCCACACGCAGTTCGGATCCTGGCCGAGCTCGAGGAATTTTTTCACGGCGTAGTCGCAGCCGTACTCGCACGCGGCGTGAAAATGCGTGTAGCCCGACTCGTCGCGATAATTGGCGTCGAACCGGTGATAGATCTCGAACAGATCGCCGATTATGAGGCCGTAGCACTTGTGTCGGGCGGCGTGATGCAGGGCCGTGGTGCGCGCCAACACGGGCTTGCCTTGGGCGTCCAGGTCGGGCTTGTCCTTGTAGCCGGTGCGTGCCACGAACCAGACGAAGCGCTCGATCTTGTTCTGATCGACGTTCTTGTCCATCACGGCCTCGGACAGAAGCCAGTCGATCTCCTCCTTCTTGAAGATGCCACGGAGATCGGGCAGTCGGCCCTTCCAGTCGCTGATCATGCTGTACAGCTGCGGCAGAAAGGCGCGCCGCTCCGCGTCCACCTCCCAGTCGACCTTCTCGCGCATGCCGCGCAGCTTTTCCGAGTTGACGATGCCGAGCGACTCGAAGTCGTAGACGTCGTCCTGGTCGCCCCGGCCGATCAGGTAGTAGAAGCTACCTTCCTCGTCGTCCTCCTGCATCCACATCTTACAGGCGCGCACTTTATATTCACACACGCGCACAGTGCACGACACGATCGATTTTCACTTCTTGTCGCGGGCGCGAGAATCACTTTTGGCTGTATGGAGGTCGAATTGCGATGGGTATTTTTCTTTGCTGTTTACGCTGCCGAGTCGTAAGGTGTACTGTCGACTGTATGTGCAGTACATTACGCGACCTGTGTGGATAGAGTGTAAACATGTGCGCGCGAGGCAAAGTACGAGAAGCTGCGAGCTATGTTTCGTTTGACCTCGAGCGAGCCAAAAGATACACGAAGATATTTATGGATACAATAACAGTGACGCGAACGACTCCGTATTTAAGGAGTCTATAGTAAGTTAATCCTACAATTAGATTTATATTTTCATATCCAAAGTGCCTATAAAGAAGTTTCACATGAAAAAAAAGAGACAATTCGAAGAATGTTTCATATAAACCCCAGTAAACTAGACACAGGTGAATAAAATGCATCTATCAACAGGTGAATCGAGTACATGCACGAAATGAAATTTCAGCCTTCGCCGGTATTATCCCACATGCAGCAAAACGGACAAGAAGTCTGCTGCTGCTGCTGCCGTTGGCGTGCGCTTCACGAGCTCTCATTCTTGCTCGAGGATCGAAGAAGCTCTCTCTCAAAAAAAAAAACAGAGTCACAACGAATTTCATCGGAAATCTGCTGTTACTTTACCGCGAAAGGACGCGGAATTGGGCAAGGGTTATAATGAGGCATCGGGAAGAAGGTGCACGAGCGCGCGCGCGTGCGGAGCATCGACGATGACGATTTCTAACGAAAAATCCTTTTACTCACGGCAGCAGCAGCCGGTGTATATACGTGTGTGTCGGTGATGTAGGTATATATAGAATATATAGCACGGGTGCATATATAGCATTACGCGTACTATACGTTGGCTTCTTTCATTGAGCGAGCGAGCGAGCGAGAGAGAGAGAGAGTAGAGGAGGGACAGAAATTAAGCTCGGAGCCCCGGCATCATTTTTCTTTTTATTTCCTGTGTGCGCACGTTACACAGGGTTGTTGCTAATATGCACACGATGATAGATGAAAAATTTTCGGACAAAACGCGCAGCGATCATTAGCTTTCTGTACCTACATATATATCTCCCTTCTCTCTCTCTCTCTCTCTCTCTCTCTCTCTCTCTCTCTCTCTCTCTCATTCACTTATGCTATACGTGTGCACATCCCGAGGGAGCATATACAACACACCGGCTCGCGCGCAAAACCTTCGATGGGTCATTAACTCCCGCTCCTCCTTCCCCTCCCTCGCGTTCCTCTTTTACTGCGCGCCTTCGCTCTCGAAAATAAAATAAAACAAAAAAAACAAGAAGTCATAAGCAACAAAAAGGACACACACATTATATATGTATAGCAGTGAGCGTTGGAAGGCAACGAAACACTTACTCTTCTTTTTGGACTCGGGTATGGGCGGATAAGGCAGGCCTTTAGCGGCTGCCTCGGCCGCGGCCGCAGCCGCCGCAGCGGCAGCCTTCCGTTTCCTGTCGGTCGGACCGCCTGGTTTTATGGGACGACCTTTCTTCGGCCGACCCTCCGGCGGCTTGATCGGTAACGCCGGTCCCAAGCCGTACGGTAAGCCGCTGCTCGCTGCTGCGTTAGAGTCCTCTCCTCCGCCGTTCTGGCGCGAGTTTTCCTTCGATTTGCCGCCAGCCTTGTTGCGGCAATTCGCTGCCACCAAGTGACTGCTGCCGCCGCCGAGTTCGTTCTCGCTCGAGGAGAAACCGTCGTCGCTCGAGTCGAAGCGTTTGCGCTCCTTGGGCAGTGGAAAATAGCGCGGATCGTTGGCGTAATCGATGACTGGCTTGTCCTTCGTATCCGTCGTACTGTTGGAGGTGCTGTTACGGTTGTTGCTCCAAGCGTCGGCCGAGTTCGACGCCGAATTGCTGTACGGCTTGTTGACGGCCTTCGGCCAAGAGCCCGTCTTGCGACCTGTTGGCACGAGAACGCATTTCATTGATACAAGTCATTTGATTTGAATTAACGTTATTTCCAAGCGCGAAACATTGTATACACGATGAATAATCAACCATCGCATTGGTCTCTCTCTTTCTCTCTCTTGATTAAAAGTTTTCTACATTTTTCGGCGATGTAGCGTCATTGCGCGCGCGACGATTCTGTACACATTGCGTAAGAACCAGCAGCCACCACCGCTGCGCGGCATGCATAATCCAGCCGCGATTAAAACCTTCCGTAGAGAGCGAATAAAAAAAAACGAATGAAAACAGCGAAGTGAGCAAGATAGAGAGAGAGAGAGAACGAGGGAACGAAGTGAGAGAGAGAAAAAAATACTTCCGTTAGTGCGAGCGCGACCGATAGGGGATACCGTCCTCTTCGTCGTCGTGTTATAGGTACGCAAAGTTTATCTACCGAATCGTCTATAAATAAGTAGTTGAAAAACTCGTTTTCTCTCCGTCTCTTTCTCTCTCTCTGGCGTCGCTTCAAACGGCAATTAAAGATCACGAACACCGCGCGAGTTACAAAAGCACGTGTGCGTATATAATACGCATTACGCTATGCATGGCCATTGCGACACCTCGCACACATTTTGCCTGCGCCGTTCGCGTCGAGAGAGCGATGTGTCAGAGAGTCTTGTGCGTGCTCGTGCGCGTTAAAAACGATCGAAAAGTTTACATTATAACTGCGAAAAGTCAAAGCCACCTCGACACTTTCCAAGTCTCTCTCTCGAGAGAGATCTCTTCGAAGGCTATTTATAATTATCCTGACGCGCTTCGATACACTGCAGCTGCACACAACAACACAGTAGTAGTGCACCGTGCAAAATTTATTATAGTCGAGCTAGCCACTATAGTAGCTCCATGAATCGCTGTGCAGTTCGCGCATTATAAACTCGCGAACACAATCGATGCGTGCGTGCATATACACGCCGACGAGATGTTATATAACCACGTTATAGCTCGAGCGTAGAGAGAGAGAGAGAGAACGTGTCGCCTGATTTCCCAAGCACCGTACACAGCTGCAGCCGCCGCCGCCGCCACAGCAGCAGCAGCGTTCATTGAAAGTGCACGCAGTGTATGCACAGCGAATAGTTAGCTAATAATTTCGCGCGAGCGAGAAGCTGGAATATCGTAAACGTAAACGTCGATTTACCTCCTCGGGCCAAGGGCGGCGGCGAGCTGTCCTTCTCGCCTTGCAGGAACTTCAAGAAGCTGGTCATAAAGCCGGAGTTTGGCTCGTTATTGGTAACGACACCGTGATGATTATTGTGATGATGATTGTTGTGTTGCTGCTGATGCTGCTGATGCTGAAGGTGAAGCTGCTGACCGTTGCCGTGACGAGACTGCTGATTGTGATAATGACCGTTGTTGTGGTGATTGTGTCGATGATGATTCTGCTGTTGATGCTGAGAGTGTCGCTGCGTCGTCGTCGTCGTCGTTGTATTGTTGACTTGCTTGAGAAAGCCCAGCTCCTCCTCTATATCCGGCACTATCACCTGCGGCCTCTCCTCTCTCACCACGTTGTCCGGATTGTACGAGTTGATGTCCTGCTGCTGGATAGTTATCAGCTGCGTTTGCTGTTGCTGCTGCTGTTGCTGTTGCGGCAGATGCTGCTGACAGTCGTTCTGCAGGTCCAGAGTGCTGATCTCTATCGTGTGCTGCAGATCCGACGACACGACCGTCGTCGTCTGTGGCTGAGGCTGCTGCTGCGGCTGCAGATGCGTCGTTATGTGCGGCGTCGCTTGTGCTATGTGAAAGGTCGGATAGTACGAGATCGTGGGCGGATGGGCGACCAGCAGCGTGGGATTGGCCGTGACGAGGCTCGCCGCTTGAACAACCTGAGCCGCGGCCGCGGCGGCAGCCGATTGCTGCTGCTGTTGCTGATGCTGCTGCTGCGTTGTGACGTAGGTCGGGGCGGCCGCCGCCGGCGCCGCGGCGATGATCTTCGCTCCGTTCTGCAGCGGCGTGAGATTCCATCGCTCCAGTTCGATATATCCTCCGTTTTGTTGACTCGTCTGAGCGTTGAGCACCACTTGACCGCTGGCCGTCAGGGCCTCGAGCTGATAGCTCACCGAGTTGGCCAGCTCGCTCTCGAGGCCCGTGGTCATGGGCAGGGCGCGCTTCGGCGCGATCTTGGCGCAGCGCCGGCCGTTGAGCTCGCGCGGATCGTCGTCCGTCGACAGGTCCTGCAGATTGATGGTGCTCGTCTCGAGATGATGATGATGTTGATGTTGATGTTGTTGCTGATGATGATCGAGCAGGCCGTGAATCTGGTGGGTCGTCAGCACTCGCGTATCCGATTGGTCGTTACCGGTCAGATACGCGGTTGTCGTTTGTTGCTGCTGTTGAATATCGCCGTCCCACGGGCACAATTGCTTCGTCGTTTGCACGTAGTCCTGCGTTCTCTCGTAATTCGAGCCTGTGTACAGAAAAAGGGGGAGAAAAACAAAAAGGCACACAGTGTATTATAGTAGCAGCAATTATCACCTGTGTCGAGTCAAATTAACACACTCCGAACGTTATCTCTACTCACCATCGGCCGTATTATACGCTTTGCTGACGCCGCCGTCGTTCTGCGTACCCAAAGCCCTCGTAATCACCGACGAGTACACGACTTGATTCTGCTGCTGCTGCTGAGAGGGCGACCTCGTCACGGCGTCGATCATAGGCGAGGGCGGCGTCATCTGCACAACGTTTGCCTGCTGCTGCTGCTGCTGCTGCAACGGCGACGGCGACGACATGCTCGTCATCGGACTGTTGTACATGGGATAGGTCGCGGGACTGGGCACGTGCCCGAGCGGACTGGCCTGCGAGTGCGACGAGGACGACTGCATCGGGCTAGGCCGGCGGGGCACGACACCCGGAGCGCCGCCGCAATCGGGTCCGTTCTGGGACGTGCTGGACGAGTAGGCGCTGTCGGTCGAGGCGGCGGATTTGGAGCGGACGGGATGATGGTACTCCTGATCGGTCGTGGCGTAGAGTCGCTGCTGTTGTTGCTGCGCCTGGCCGAGCACGTGAAACTGCACCGTGGCGGCGGCTGCACCGTTGCCGCTAGCCTTGCCGTTGTTCGAGGCTTGGCTGGCCTGGCTGGGTGACGCGTAGCTCATGATGGAGTAACTGACGGGCGACGACTGGCTGCTCTCGTCGTGGCTATCTGCGAAACGCAACAAAACAAAAAATCAACGCGTTTAGAATCTCTGTATAAAATATTTTATATTTTAAAGTCATTTAATGGCTGATTGACACGTACTCGCAACGACGGTCTGCTGATTCTGCGTCGTCGTCGTGGCCGCCGTGAGGTAGATGGTCGTCGGCACGGGCGAGCTCGACGACAGCACGTTGGGCGTCGTAACGATGCAGGACTGATGCGTACCATCGGCAGGAGAATACGCCGATGCACCGCCATTGTGATGATTGTAAAACGACGCGTTATCGTCTATGGGCGACTCGGTGGTCGTTCGGCTCTGCTGCTGCTTCGAAGAGGAGGACCAAGCACTCGGTGTCTTGGCTGCCTCCGTCGCGGAACCGTTGTGAGGACTGTAGACGCTGTAGCTACCGCTGCTGCTATTAGTGGGCTGCTGCTGCTTCGTAGCTTGCGGCGGCGAGGCCACGGCGGTTACGCTCTCGTGCGGCAGGATACCGAACGGATTGTCCTGGGTGGTCTGTGTTTTGGGATTGGTGAGGCTCCAGGCGGCGGTGGGCGACGACGTCGACGTTCGATAGTACGACTGCAAAGATAAGCCAACGTTAAAAATAAAGGTTCAGGGAGACGGAAGAGCCAGTCAAAAAACATCGAATGACAGTCGCGAGCTTTCGAAAAGCTCTACTAAACCTTCATTTCGATTTTTATTGATTTTTATCTAATACTCACGTCGTTGTTCTGCGACGAAGCGAAGCTCGCCTCCTCGGGCGATCCGGGTTGCGAGCTCGACACTCCGCCCTGAGCGGTGCCGCCCACGCTCTGGACACCGGACACGTAGCTCGTGGCCTGCTTCGGACTGTTGAACGAGAAGGGCGAGAAGACGTCGTAGCTCACTGGCGCGGCGCCGCTCGCCTGCAGAAAGCTCGTCGGGCTGAAGGGCGACGTCTGGCCCGACGAGCCGAGGCTCGCCGTCGTGTGAGTCGCCTGTAGAATGATTTGTGGAGCGCTCGAGCTGGTCGAGACGATGATGGAGCCGCCTCCATTCTCGACGCTGCCGCTAACGATCGCGGCCGGCACGGCGCTGGACGACAGCAGCAGCGTCTGGTCCAGGTTGTTGTGATCCGTGGAGAAGGCGGACGACACGGCGCCGGCGACGCTCGAGCGATTGCTGCTGCTGCTGCTGCTGCTGCTGTAGGTGGCATACCAGGGGCCAGGATCCATTTATCACGGCAGGCAGACAGGGTGGTGGATATTGGTGGTGGTGAGTGAGTGAGGGCGAGTCGCTCCGCTCGGAGTGGCTGCCGTGGTGGAAGATGATGGATGACGATTTCGCAGATTTGTTCCGATTATTATCAGAGTCGATCAGCTGATGATCTCTCGATAGAACAGAGTGTTATGCTTGACGAGCCTGTGAATGTCTCCCTTGATCTGGCACATTATACGCAGCTGACATTCGGAGCGATAGCGGCTCTCGAGTTGCGTGTATTATATACCTGTGGCCGGGGCACTGCAGAGATCGCAAAAAAAAAAGAAAGAAGAAAAAAATAGCGTCAATGATTATGGAGTAACGCGATCGGATCGATAAGACGATTCTTTCTCTCTTTCGTTCTTCCGGGGTGCGTGTGCAGCGAGTCGTTGTGTAAACAAATACAGGTATATACGTTCGTGCGCCAGCTCAAGTGCAACAGTAGCAAAGTAATCGACGGTTACGGCACGAACACAACACGAAGGCGGCACTCCGTGTATAATAATGCATCGATGATCGCGCGAGGCGCATGCGAAAGAAAGCGTATATTTAATAATAATACAACAACGCGTATGTGTGTGCATTTGTGTTTATATACCTCGCTCTAATTTTCTCTCTTACTGCCACGCTGTTAAACAAACGATTTAATTCATGCGCGTGATGCGTGTGTGTCTATATAATATACACATCGAGGTATATTAGTTTAAAAGCGTCGTCGTCGTCGCGCGGCGCCCAGCGAGAAACGAAACTATGTGTGTGCGGTGTACGCTGCGCTACTGCGATATTATTTAAGCAGTATGCTGCTACACCAGTTGCCAAAAGAGATCCGTGCGAAAACCGAGAGAGAGAGAGAGAGAGAGCTATTATAAACGAGCGACTGCACGACGACGACGACCAAGAGAGTTTAGTTGTTGCATTTACGAGTCTCTCACTCGCTCTGCGCGGCGCTGGTATAACAAACGGACTATAACACGAGTAGTAGTAGTAGCTAGTCGTAGAAGAGTAGCAACATCGGTAGCAGCGGCGCAGAAGAGGAGTGAAAAAAAGCGGACCAATTTGTACGCCGGAGCAGCAGCAGTAGTATAGCATCGTCATCGACTGCGTTATACATTGCCGCGTGTTCCGTGCATACGCAATGCGTCTGTGTCTGTGTGCGAAACATCCGCGCGCTAAAATAACGCTTACTCCGGCTCTCTCTCTCTCTCTCTCTGTCTGTCTGACGTGTGCAGCTGCACCAGAGACAGAGACCCGCGCTCCGTCTCTCTCTTTCTCACTCCGTATACATTATACTTTCTCTCCCTCCTCGTGAATCTTCTCATTCTTATATACACGCTGCTGTTGGCAGTGTATAGTACGGAGGCTCGGCAGGCAAAGAAACGCATATCGTGTGTATCTATAGATATATAGTATATTCGCATCAGGAGCGCGCGCTGTAGTACGTGAGCGCACGAGAGAGAGTCCTGAAATATTCAAGATCGCACATGTTCGAGGCCAATGCCTTGGCGCGTTTGTATTATATTATATATATATAGAGAGAGAGAGAGAGGCGAAGAAGCAGAGAGAACGACTGCAGATGCGCGACGATATAGGTATACGTGACCGCGTCCGCGTGTGCATAGTATACGTATAAAAGAATGGAGCATTGGAAAATGTTTAATAGCGAAAGGTCCTTCGCGAGCGCACAATCGTCCGTTTATACATACACCTTATTGTACACAACATCGAATGCCGTATAAAGCGAGAGTTCTATAGTGTACACACACGTGTGTATAATAATTCCATACGCGTATAGAGTTTACGTGTGTGTGTGTGCTTGTGTGCAGGCATGCGAATCGACGACGACGACGACGACGCAATTTGGCATTGCTCTCCTTAGTTGAGCGCAAGTGAGAGAGAGACTTAATAGCTTATAGAACCGTTTACGTGTTTGTACAGTATCATTACCTACCGCCTGCGCGACTGAACGAGCGAGAACGAGTTAGATAAAAATGTGTTTATCGCGATACTTGGTACAGAGCGTGGTATAACGATCGTTGGCGTTTCGCGCGCCGCGTAACGTCGCCTCTTTTTTTACATAAATGCAAAAAAAAAAAGAAAAACAAATAACGCTCGATACGTCTGAATACACCTACGTGCGCGAGACTGCGCGTGTGTACCTGTTACCTTGCCGACTCTTTTATAGAGGAAAGAAGCGACAAAAAAAAAGACCAACAAAAGGCCAAAGGCATAGAACGAAAAGAAAAAAACAAGCACGTGTTTGCGCGCATTATCTCGCGACTACTGTATAATGTGTGCGCGGCTGAAGTACAATGCCGTAATAATGCGTGTATACATTAGCATGCGTGCCTGTATATGTAACACTCGGGGAATTTTTGGCATCTTCCCCCCGCCGCTCCTACCCGTACCTATATATAATATATATACCGTAATATACCCCGAGCGCCTCCGCTATATATTTTTGGCTGCGCTACCAACGTTGCTGCTAGTCATTGTGCGTATAATTCATAATACCGCGTTCTCCACGAGTAAATTATATGCGCGTGTGATCTATTTGTCAGCGCTCGTTAGAATATACGAGCTCTCCCGCGCCCCGGCTTATACATGTATAGGCGAGTATATAAACAACGCGAGACGCGACCTGCGTCTATACTACTGCTGCTGCTCCGACTTTATATCGCTCTCGCTCGCGAGCGTGCACACTTTGTCATCGGCTCCGACTCCAACGCGCGTGTTTTTCGCGCACGATTTCGCGAGCAGAACGCAGGTGTGCGCGCGATTAAAAGCAACAACAAAAAAAAACACACACACGCACACGATTACGTATTACAGAGAGACGCGGAGACAACTCGATAATGCACAAAGTCGTTTATTAAGTCGAGAAGAGCTGCGAAAACGAGCGACGGCGACTGCACACACAAGGCAACACAACGTGCGCGCGATTCCGCACGCATATACGTGTTTTGCGAGGCTTTAATGCGTATGATATATTGCGTTCGCGACTATATCTGCGATGACGAGAGGACGTAGACTACCACCACCACCACTACCATTATTACTTATTAAAAGCGGGTGCTGCTGCATAACACAGCGCTCGTCGTCATCTCTCTATGTGTGCACAAGGTTTTAACGCAAAATAGCGTATCTCTCTGCTCGGTGTCTCTCTACCTATATACCACGTGTGCGACACGGCCGCCGCTTTGGTAGGTGAAAAATCTATATATGCAAAATAGAGTATAAACTAACGGAGCGTCTAATAATATTGCCGTCACCGTTGCTGCTGCTTCTCGTAACATAGCGTGAGGAGGCATCATCGTGCGAAAATGCGCCTCTCGGTGTACGTGTGTGTGCCTAGGCGATATATATTGAAAACGTACGCAGAGGGAAATGATTCAAAAGAGAAAGAGAGAGAGAGAGAAGGGAAGAGAAGAGATGCTGCATCGGCCGTATAGCTCGGCACAGCACGACGACAGCGGCGCGGAGGCTTTATTTTATTTATAACGTGTATCATCGGTACAGGACACGGCATTATAGGTGGAAAATGCTATAAAACTTCCGCTCTCCCTCCTTCTCTCTCTCTCTCTTCGTCTGCTATATGTATGAATATCTATGCACACGCGCGATTGAGCAACAACCTGTTCTCGTGTGTGCATAGAGATGCGTGTATAAAGTGCGTATACGTGTGTGCGTTACTATATGTGCACGATCGTGTGCAAAGTATCCGTTCTCTCAATAACGCACGCAATATATATAGTATATATTGTAAATAAGTCTCGGCATGGCATGCATTCCCACAAGCTTATATGTAGTAGTTGTACACGTAAGCTCGGGCATTCATGACTCGCGAGTTACCGGATCCGCGCGAATGAATTATGCACGCATGTGTGCTTCATACTACTACTACCATACGTGTCGCATTTAAAAAGTATATAATATATATGACGCGCACGAAAAAATTGGGTTATTACGGCGCGATGATAATTTTTGCACGCGCTCGGCTATTATACGCGTGTATGCGGGAGCAACAGCACGGTAGTCGGTATGTATAAACGAGAGAGAGTACCTTCACTTTCTTTTTTCGTGCGCTCCGCGCGTGTAACAGTATCAAAACAGCGGCAGTACAGAGAGAGATGCACCGACGATATATACATATAGCGCAATTGTGTTAAGTGCATCGGTACGCGGCGGACGGCCAGCAGTGGCACGTTGCACTCTCGACTACTTGGCTCGCTCTCTCTCGTATACTCCGCTACATAATAATGTATACACTGTTGCTGCTGACTACTCTCGTGTCCATTATCGCGAGACAGACAGAGAGAGTATCTATCGCAATGACACACAAGCCGGTTGATCGAACCTCGGCAGCGGCACTCGTGCTTTGTTGTGTATTATTATGTGTGTATTATCATCGTGCGTCGCGTATATTACACGTTACATATAGTAGCTGCACTGCAGCCTCGAGTATGTTACATATACAGCAGCGGCACAAGTGTATTTGTCAACCTATACCTGTATACGTGTACGTTGTGTGTACTTGACAATCTATATAATAATATACAGGCACTGACTGAGCTCTCGAAGGGTATCGCGTATATATATATATATAATACGCTGCTGCAGGGCGCGCACGCGCCCGAACGCGTGGGTGGCGAGCGAGTGTAAATATCCATATCTCGCATCTGCGCGCGACGACGACGACGACGACTAACTAAACTAAACTACTACGACGTCGAGTGTTGTGGACGCGACTCGTTTGCGATCCGCGCGTTAATACACATATATTTGCACCTACGCCGCGTCTGTCTATCTGTCTGTTATGTATATACGATACGAGCTCTCGTTTACACACGCGTCTTATACGCATGTGTGGGTGTAGTGGTATACTTTATGTAAACGCGCGAAAATATTTATACACCGTAACCGATATTAGGCATTGAAAAACGCGATTAAATACGAGCGAGTGAATCGATGCGTATAGCGGCTGCAGGCACATAAGCGCATGGACAGCAGCGGCAGCAGCAGCAGAATCGTGCTTGAGAAAATTCATTCGCGAGCCTCCTCTTCCCCTACTACTCTCCCCCTATAGTACATCGTCATCGTGTGTGCGACAACAAGGCTGCACCGCACTCGTGTGCTTTAACTTCGAGCGTGTATAGCTCTACACGCGGCTTTTTTTTTGCATTTTAATTGATAAAACGCGCGCGTGCGTGCGTGCGGCGGTGACGATGATGATGCTGCTCTACATAAATGCTACTGCTTCTGCTGCTGCTGCTGCCATTTTCTCTCCTGTCCTGCTCAGTGTATGCGATCGCTTGCTAGGCAGTTTCTCTCCCCTCTCTCTCTCTCTTTCTGTCTGTGTCTGTCCGTGTGCAGCTTTGGAGCGCGCACTGCCATTTGGCACATAACCCTGTCTCGTCGTCGTCGTCGTCGTGCGAGCATACATTGCAGATACTATAAAGTGCATGCACGCAGAGAAGAGAGAGAGAGAGACACTGGCACTTGTGCATGCACAAAATATGTATCGGACGGTCGGATCTTCTGTCTTGTCGGAGCATTAGGTCTTTCGCCTATATTTCCATGCCTATTTGTACACATGTTTACGTCGCAATGTATGTATATCTGTTTACGTCAATCGCGTGTATATATACACTTCTTAGTTTTTTATGTAACAAGAACGAGATTCGAATAGATTAGGGGGAGCTTAATGAATCGAAACATCGAGGATGTAAAATTCCGAGGCGATAATTTGCTTTTCTTTCGGTCTCGAATATGCCAGTGTCGTCGTTGTCTCGCCGTCATGCTTATATACAGACAGAGAAAGAAAGAGAGCCCCGAAGAACGACGTGCGCGTTATAACCACCGTATAATGTATACGCGAACTTTCACTGGAATTGACGCTGGACTTATACTGCGTATAATGTGTGTGTATACGAGCGAATCGGAGTCGAGAGAGAGAGAGAGAGAGAGAGAGAGAGAGAGACCGTTCGATTCTGACTCTCCTCGCTCGCACGCAAAATTGCACACCTTTTAAAAAAGAACTCGGCGAGACTCACTGACAAACAACAACGACCGACGAGCAGCAGTACGTAAATTATGCGCACTCACACTTGTAACTCGTTGGCGGCCAATGGCTCGACGAAAAAGAGAGTGTGCACGCTCGTACAATATCTATATACCTATCTAAACATTGGCAACGAAAATGCAAAATAAGCCGAACGAATCGTCTATACACGTCGTGTCGTCGTCGACGTCGCTGGGCAAGTTGAGAAGTCGCAGCAGCAGCAGCAGCTATAAAGCTCAAAACTCGCGAGTTATGTAGCCGAGAGAGAGAGAGATACTCGACGCTCGAGTATCGCACACACGCGCGTGTATATAAAACTCGATTGTGTCGACGTCGGCGCATTATTATATTCAGCGGGTAAAAGCCCCGCGAGGATTTTCTCACGTACTCATACGTATATGCACGCTACGATTGTATGTAAGGCCCGCTGCACTGCACTATGCACGAAATCGAGAGCTAATTTTCTTATGTGTATGTGTAGGTGTGATATCACTCGACGAAGCACCACCGCGCTTATTACCCGGATCGAAGAGAGAAAGATTCGTACCAATATTCGCGCGTATATTATTTATTAAGGTAATCAACGTACGAATATTATCGTAACTATCTGCGGTTGACGACACTTTGCGTTGTTGTTGTTGTTGATGACGACGATGACGATGAAGTGAACACGTTGTTGACGGAGCAGTAGCACGTTGTATATAGCACCCACACCGAAGCACAAATATCATACATATATCTGTACTATCACAAACACTTGCACACTGCAGGGCACATATACACACGCCTGGCACTTTGTAGGGTAGCACAGTAGTAGTAGTAGTAGTAGAGAGCAGAAGCAACACACTCTCTTTGTTGATTCAAACTTAATTACTATTACCAAGCAACGTAGCTTAATTCAATAATAATACGAAAATGCTTTTCGCGCCTCGGCACAGTAGCAAGCTGACACAGAGGCTAGAGCTAGTGGTGGTAGTAGTAGTTGTCGGCGATCCAGCACATCAGCGACATCAACGCTGCGTTTTACTGCTGCTGCTGCTGCTCCTCTTCTTCTCTTGCATATGGGGGTTATATATACGTTGCGGTGTGCGTTGCAATAGTGCACACACGGACACACGCACGTACACACACTTGGAAAACACTGCACTGCACACTGCACTGGAAGAGAGCGAGAGAGAGATGAAGCGTGTAGATGTGTGTGTGTGTGAGTATGAGTTGGTAAGTGACTCTGTGTTTAACACTGCACTCTCGAAGCACTTGCTGCTGCGGAGGCAAAAACACGCACACACACTCGCGCAAGCACACTGTACACTATATACCGCAGCTGAGCAGCGTTGTTACATGAACTGTGTGAATATCGATGCGACGATGCAACAAAACAACAACAACAACTAAAAGAAGGGAAAACGGAGTGTCACTCTCCGCTGCCGTGGTACACGCCTGCTGCGCGCGTTCGAGTCGAGAGCTCGGGCGCGCGGGTTCACGAATCACCACTGCTTCACTTTTTATGTAATTATTATTTTATATCAAAGCACGAATTTGCAGAGTAGTAGCACGCACGAGTGAGCAGAGCACATACACAGACACTGGCAATTTTTTTTACTTTTGATTATCGAGCGCAGGTGTAACCCCAAGACGACGATGCTTTCTGCTCCTTTGTGACTCTTGGATTCACACGTTGTTTTTTTGTAAATTAAAAACAAAAAACACAGAAATTAAAAGCCGCACGATCGTCGTAGGTCGTCGTCGTTGCCTCGTGCTATATATTCTCAATGTATATGTAACGTCGAGCTTGTTGTTGTGTGTGCTATATTACACGATAGGAGTAAGAGACGTAACGTTGTTTATGTGTGTAATAATAACGATACGCCGCGGCGCAGCGCACACAACGCTGCTGAACGGCACAGCACGACACACTGCACACTGCACAGCGTAGACAACGCGACACCCTGCACTCGACTACTGCATGTATTAAACGCACAATCGCGACTGAACTGCGAAGTCTTGGAGCCGTCGCGCGGCTGCGTCGGTATATTCGTCGGTACCCTACGCGAGGCAGCAGCACTGCGCGGTGCTGCCGAGCGAGCGAAAAAACAGAGGAGTATAGATGCGCGTATAGTGTGTGTGTGTGTGTGAATGTACGATTCGCCCAGGTCTGCCGCCGCCGCTGCTTCACTTTGCTGCTGCTGCTCCGATAATGCGTAAGAAAGAGAGAGAGCGAGAGCGAGAGAGGATTATTATTCGCACACAAACAGCGCGGTGTAATGTACGGCGACGGCGCTGCTGTTGCTGCGGACGGTCTCTCTCTCTCTCTCTGTTTGTCCGTGTACAAGTGTGCTCGTGTCTGTGTGTACTGTAAGCGGTAAGGCAGCAACAGAGAGCGGTGGGTATATACATTTGTATAAGAGGGGAAGCAGCTCGTGTGCATGTCTCTCTCTGCTGTCTATGTGTGTGTGCGTTTCGGAGCAGAGCAGAGCAGAGCTGCTGCTAGGCTGCTGCTGCTGGCTGATGGCGGCGCGCGTTCGGAGCGAGAAAGAGAATTTGTGCGCCACCTACGTCGAGTAGTAATAACGAAAGATTCTCTTCGTCATGTGCTCGCGAATATATAGTCACTATATGCAGCCAGCAGCTTTACTATACCTAATACTATAATACGCTACTTTGCAGAAAAGCACACGACATGACTAACTCTCGTGTCGCCGTCACCGCATCTGTGCTGTGCTGCACGACACAGCGTTGGAGTTTTCCTATATTAATACATGTATGCAACATCGCCGGCAATATACTATGCGCCTATCCTACGCGCTTCATTGATAACGTAATATATTATAGGCGAGTTTCTGTTTGTCTTTGCAGTTAACAGGCGGACGAACCTATCGCCGAGAGTGCATACCTTGTATCATTACATTGGCACTCGTTTTCAAGATTATGGTCTATATACGTGCATATGCGGACCTTATATTATATTATAACAACGAAACGACGTCTTAGCTCCGCAGCTTGACACACGTAATATAATATTACACGCATTAGACGCGATAAGCTCCAACGCGACGATCTGCTCCGATTTGTCTCTTCTCGGATCGACGCTTTTTTTTTCTTCTTAATACTCACCCGTCTAGATGCTTAAAGCACATACGCCCGGCTTATCGGTCGATGCGTGCCTATATAATATGTACCACTCCAGAACCTCGAGACGTGGGTTTTTCAACGAGATTCGCGTACATCTTTATCGTCGTTATCTCGTATATTAACATAGTAGTATATAAATTATTAAAGTCGAGTAAAAATCCAAAACTGCATATAAACAGGATAATCGTGTGCACGGCCCGCTCGGGGAATTTTCTCTCTCTCTCTCTCTCTCTAACTCTCTTCACTCCATTACTTATACTACCACTACTACGCATCGTTACGGGCGTCAAGGCTGAAAATCAATTGGCACGCGGCACGCGGCGTCGGGCAACGCGGCCAATTGTACACCGACGCACTTATTATTTGGCCGCACCGCCGCGCAAAATTAAATAATAGTCGTTGGCGCGGTGTGTGCGTGCGTGCTAAGCTTAATATAAGCGACGTCGTCGTCCCGGACTCGGATGCCAGAGAATAATATTATTACGTGATGTATAGCGTTCGTTAGTAGGTATAGATATCCTCGCGCGCGCGCATCATTAAATTTTATTTACACCGATTATACGCGTATATAACAGCATTTAATAAGCCTACATGGGTTACTGCATTAGAGAAGAAACTCGAGTCGAGATTCGATCTCTCGTAGATACGTATTAAAAGTACTGAAAAGCTCTCGACTATACGATGCGCAGCACCGAAGAGCTGAAATAGATGTGGGTGAGCTCCGATCGTCTCGTCGTGCGTACGCATACATGCTTCGTAGTGCTCCGTGTGTAACGCGTTTTAGGTACCCTCGAATCTGCCCTCGAATTATTTTATATAGATTATATATTGTGTATGGCCGATCAGGCGTGTTAATACTTACTGCAGCCTAGGCTCTCTCTCGCTATACTCGTCATTAAACAAGCATCAGACTGACACACACGGATACAAATTGCGTCAAGTGCGCGTAGCAGTATAGTAGCTATATAGCAGAGGCGATCAGTAAAAAGTAAAAAAAAAAGAGAGTGAGTGAGAGAGAAGGGCACATTATATACAGAGAAGAGTGAAGGGGGTTCGTCGCGCGCTGCATGAAAATATGCCCATGTCTGTCTGTCTTTCTGTCCCTGTGTGCCTGTGTGCGTGACAAAGAAAAGTCGAGCTTGGTGAAACCCAGGCTCTCTCTCTCTCTCTCTCTCTCTGGACTTTACGCATAAAGCTGCTGCTGCCAGCCGGCGAGAGGGTTGCTTTTAGAGCTATATATATACAGTTGCTGCTGCTGTTCTCTCTCTCAGTAGTCTCTCTCTGTTGCTAACACACCACGTCCTGCCACCGCCGCCGCCGGTAGTAGTAGCAGCTAGTATACAGTCATAAGTGGGGGAGTTTGCGCCGAGGCACACAAGCTGATAAAGATAGAGCGAGAGCGAGAGGCGTTGCACGAGGCGGTGGTGACGGTGACGGCAGCGACGATGGCGCGTGTCGTAGATGTGTGCTTCGGCTCTGTTTATATCCTCGTAGGCCGATCGCGCTGATGCAAATATTATATAGGCACACAGCTCGCACACACACGTATGCAGATCGTATGTTATAGGTCCTGTTTGTATATATATGCACGCGAGGGCGTACTTTTCTTCTTCCATGTCGACGAAGTTAAAGGGATCGAAGCTTGTGATTCTGCTTGTGTGTCATGCAAACGTTATTATGTATCCTACATAGAGACGAAAAGACCAAAGATTATTTAGCCTTATTATCCGGAGCAACACGCGTGTTGTTCTGCTGCTGCTGCTGAACTATATATCGAGTGAGTCAACGTCGTCGTCTCTCTTTGTATTATGTGTAACTACAAAGCGTAAGAGGACAATTATTGGCCCTGCCAACGTAGGATATATCTAGCTCATGGGATCTATAATATAGCAGCAAGGACACGGCGACGACTGCATCGATGCTTTCCTCGCATTTTTATTTTTTTGCCGTTATTCCGCTGTCGTTAATTCGTCCTTCTCGCTTTTAATACGAAACATCGACTAATTACAATAAAATAAAAAGGATAAACGAACTGCGTATTCGTTATAATATACGTATATGCGACATCCATATACACCTGCGGCCCGAGATCCTGACACACGATCGACCAATCATCGTTATTACGTTATTAAATTGCATCGAGTAGCTTAATCCATCGTACACAAACACACACGCAGAGAAACATGCACCTGATACCTTTGAGAGGGCACGACTATCGACGCGTGTGCGCTCGCGGGCATCATCATCATCATCATCGAATTTATAATATTAATTAATTGTAATCTTCGCAGCTATTATTATATCGCTCTGTATTATTATATTGGCTGCGCACGTTCGATACTTGATCGAATTGTACATACGATTCTCTCGAGCTGATGTTGCTAAAACTGCTCGTATTATATGCAGCTTAAATGGGAATGTGTGCTTGCCTTGTTGTGTACTACGGGATGACGCGTGTGTAATTCGAGTGTACACACTTGAGGGGTGCCCGATGGCTGCTGGCTGCTGTTCCTGACTGTGTAGAGTAGTGTGTGGCCCCGAAAAAAAGCTCTCTCTCTCTCTCTCTCTCTCTTTTTATCGAGCCGTATACTCGCCTGTAAATATACATAATATGCAAGAGCGCGCGGGCGGCCGACAAGGAGCTAAATAATAGGCGATTCTTTTTATTTTACTGCCTTTTTCTTTCTCTCTCTCCTTCCTTTATACACACGACAGTCGGTTCTCGGAGTCACGGCGCACTGTACGTCTACCATTACTACTACTACTGACTACTGACTACTGTAACTGCTGCTTGAAAACAGAAGAAGAAGAGCGTTAAAAAAAGCAGCAAAGGCGGCGGCGGCGGTGGTTTAAATGTTTCAAGAGAGACACGAGTGAGAGACAGAGAATGAAAGAGACTTTGTAAAGTTGGGCCGTTAATACATAGGATAGGACGATTATATTATACTTGAACAGAGAGATGCGGGAGTTTACAACGTATAGTCGTTCGCTTTCTGGCTTGACTCGCGCGCGCGCGCGTGCTGTGCCTTCTTAATAAGTGTGTATACCCTATATATATACACAAGCTTTTTTTCTACTGTATAATATACAGGTACTTTATACCGCCGTTTTGCAGGCAAGTATAAGAGAGCCAATCGAGAGCGATGTTATTTATATATACGGGCTGCTGCTGTGCAGGTGACGCACTCGAAGCGCGCAAAAAAAGGCCGCGCGCGTGTACCTGCGTAAAACTATAAAGTAAGTTCGGAGTCGCGAACGATATACTTATAATTGAATTCGTCCTTTTTACCCAGGCTCTCGCCTCGTTTATATAAACGTTGTAAACGCGTCAAACGTATATAACGGATCGTTATCTCTCTCCCGATTCGGCATCGAATACTTATAAATATATAAAATGTACATGTAACGCATTTAAGCGGTATAATCATTAGTCGAGCGTCGGCAGCAGCCAATCGAGGATTTAGAGCCGGGGCGAGAGTGTAATCTTTGCAAATAGAAAATGCGACGCGAGAGAGACGACGATGATGAAAATCGCTCTTGTTACTTGTATACTTTCAAGGGGATTTAGTTCGATTCGACTAAACGAGGAGGAGCAGCTACCCAAGGCAGAGGCAGGCAGACGGTGGCTGCTGCTGCGTTTCGAGAGCCGAGACAATTCGAGTTGTATATAATATATATAATCGGCTGTGTGTGTGTGTGCCGCCACCGCTCGGAAACTGCCTCGAGCCCGTGCCGCTCGCCCCGAAAATATATATGTACGGAGTTATATCATTATTGTTATTATTATTATCGACGCGCAGGTCTCGCAGGGAGAGAGAAGCATAAGCAGCTATGGAGAGACAGAGGGGGATGTAAATGCGTATAAATCAGCCCGTGGTGCGCAGAGAGAGCAGAGCAGAGCAGAGCACGGAGAGCATCGACCACCGCATT